TAGTTTAACTAGACTCTGCACGCAGGGTAACTAGAACAGGTCGTATTGGGCCCAAATGAAGCCATGTAGGGCCCAAAGTGTGTCACACAAGACACAACATTTAAATATAGCTTACTGAACAGCTTTCACGTTCAGTAGAGTGAAACGATTGCCACATTTACGATTAAGTACATCTATTATTAAATAAAATTGATTGCTTTAGGTTAGATTATTGACTATTTATGACCTTTAAATGTTTTGACCAGTTTTGTTCATTTCTTTGTCATATTTACTTAAACTGAGAAATTTTATCTGGGTGAGTTACTGCAATTACCAATTTCTGTGTCGTGTGGGAAAAAATTAAAACAAAACAAGACACACATTAAATATTTCAAAATGGCCACCAAGTTAATTACTCAGGATGTCCAAAGTCTTCTCTAGCATCTTTCAAATTGAACAGGAATCTTCTTACCAACAGAATCACACTCTTTCATCAGTAAAATGCATTTTGAAAAAGTTCAATACAAAAGATATTGTTCAACATGATGCAATAAACCATGTCTTGTCTAATGTCCTTAGTCCTCAAGTCTCTAAAACACCTTACAAGTAACATGACAGTGATCTCCCCAGCATTAAAGCAAGTGGGCGCAGCACCCATCTGAGATTTTGGAAATAGACTTGCACCCACCTGAAAATCCAGTTGCACCCATTTGAAAATGAGAAAAATTATGAAAAACTGGCATATTTTGACCAATCTTTGTCTGAATTGTGAAAATGAGAATTTTGCACCCACCTGAGAAAAAATCCTGAGGAGATCACTGCATGATAGAAAGATGTGATGAGCATTATAATATTATAAGACACAAAGTTGATTAACCCATCAATAATGATAATTCTTCTCTCAATATGTGTGCACATCCTGTATTTCATTGTAACTCTGGAGTTCATTAACTAAAAATCTACCTAAGTTATTGATCTACCAGTAATATTATCTTTGAAATTGGCCACTTTTAAGAATTTGAGACTCCATTGAGAGTCTAGAACATATATCATTTATGGTAGAGGAATATGCAAAATTTCACAAAATGAATTTCAAAATCTTTCCCTGAATTGTATACTTTCTAGGTTACTCTGAACAACACACGATGTACCTCAGAAGGGTGGAACCAAAAACTGATTTAAAGACTAAGGCCATAGTAAATTTAGTGGTCAAATGTCTCTTAAGAAACATTACTCATGTGAACTTGATCCATAGGGAACAATATATCAAGAATAATATCCCTGGAGATTTCAGTAAATGCCTAGATGGTCTTGGATTTTTTCTAAGTTGAACCCATAAAACATGAGATATTAGATTTTTGGAATAGCACTGATTGTCAGCACCTTTCAATGTGACCCTCTTGCCTCTTGGTGCAACTCATGTCCCAACCTAATAATTCCAGCCTTTAAATGTGATCCTAACTCAAGGTGAACCTACCTTGATAGACCACCTCTCAATGTAAATACTTAAACAACCTGAACAGTGTTCACTTTAGTTTGAGTTTCACTGTATTTTGTTTTTAAAAACATGTTGGTTTTAGTTGTTCTTGTAGGAAGACAGGGGTTAACATATTTATGAGGACAACTTCTAAACAGCAACTCGGCTTAAACTACTCAGAAAGATGTTATTCTGATTTTGATATCATGAACAGTAAATAAATATCAAGGAACTATGTTCTTTGGTTTATTAGTATGAAAGTCTATGAAATAAAAACATCTAATAAAAGATGTCTTATATTGAGGATTGTTCACTGATGACATCTTCTGGGTTTTTCTAAACTGGGAAAAAGTTCTCTTTTGTCCAAAATATCTTAAAATGATGAATAATGCCAATGTTTTAACAATTTTTCAAATTATTATTTCCCAACTTGGTTTCTTCAACGCTTTAGGGAACATCCTGATTTTTCATTACCATTGCATTAATGAAAGTTTCTCCACTAGTTACTGTTACCAGTTTCTTCATTACTGGGGAGATCTCTGCAAGATATCAACACTAAACAGTGTGATGACCTTGATATTCATGAGCAACGATCTACCAAACTCATAGATTTTTCAGTGAAATTACTGTTCAAATAACTCCTAGCTAGTCTAAAAGGCAAAGTCAAAGATTCAGAGTTCATGCCAAGATAAATGAAAAAAATCAATGGAATCATTCGAGAAAATCTGAATAGAGCATTCAATACATTAAACAATTTGCTATATTTATTTTTTCTTTTGCACAGATTTAATAATCAATATGCATACTCTTATAGCAAAACTTCATTCATATTTTGGATAGTTTTCAATGATATGTAAATATGGCATTGTTAGAAATATCAATAATTCATTCTAAACGGCCTTTTATTTTATTTGTATCAAAATGAGTATTAGGAAGTACGATTTAAGAATATTAAATGTGGTGTTCTTACTGTTCTCTGAAAGATGTGAAGTCTCATTTTCAAGATTCTGTCTTTTCGTTATAAAAAATGCTAATTTTTTTCAAGTTCATGCAACATGAGGTTCCTAATGATTTTCAAATTATCAAGTGGGTACATCTCCCAATTACTTTGACGCTGGGAAGACCTCAATGAAAAGTGAACACCTTTAAATATACAGAACACTTGAACATCTAGCAAGTAAACACCTGCTGCTTCTGCCTTTATGGAACATCATACTTGAGCTATATATATTCCAATTTTCTGCATGAAGAAACTACATATTCTGCCCAGACATAGAAAAAGGGAAGATAAAATTCATGTTATCTGATTGGTCATAGAATTTGTTTATCTGAACCTGATTTGCTGCCTGGTTCTGACACACGTGAACAATCCTGTCACTTGACAGGGATTCCCCTCAATGGACGCGGAATCAATGGTGTTCAATTCTGACAGTTGGTTGTTCTGTTGATTATTTCAATGATCAACAATAATTGGTTTCGAGATAAATCTAAGGTATGAGATTTATATATATACTAAGCAATTATTTATAATGGGGCATAGTATTTTCCATAAGTGTTGTACTGTCTGTCTCGACCAATAGGTTTAGCCCTGACCCTACAAACTCTGTCAAATCACTGGTCCATAAGTCATACCCTAAAATGAAAACAAGTTTACCTTCTCGTCATTGTTCCATACTCATTTTAAGGATTCCTGTTATCTACACTGTCAATCTCAAACAGCATGAAACAGCACTGTTCATGAAACTGCTGGACAGCGCTGTAAAAACAGTACTGTATATTGCTGATTTCAAAATCAGTACTGTACAGCGCTGTAAAAACAGTGTTGTACTACTGTATACATCACTGTACAGCGCAGTGCTTGAACTGCACTGTTCAGTACTGCTTACAGCGCTGCAAGATGATGTTGCAGATTGGGGGTGTACCTTGCTTGTGTAGATGAAAAATATGGATCAAATAAGCCGAGAATGAGAGTTTTTGAAGACAAAAACTTTTTAACAATCAGCTTACCCTGTACCTTCACTGCTCTAATACGACTTTGTGTGCAACCAGACAATGATTCTGTATCTGGATTTCTAAGGTAAGGAACGCTTAAATGAAATCTAACTCAACAATATTTTAGAAATCTCCAGAAAAGCCTCTCTAATTAAATAATTGGTTTTCCCCACTTCTCTTCATTATTTCTACTTCAGACTATTGGATATATTATTGATCTAAAATTGTATGATTTTAATTTAATGATAGATCAACATTTTTCGCGTAAGAAGACGTGAGAACAGAGAGGATTGTTAGAAAGGAACGACCTCGTATGCAGAAAATATGCGCAAAATACTTCCTGGTTAAATGTCGAAACGAAACATTTAACTTTGAAGAATTCCTTCGTTCATTTTGGACTATTTTGAGAGAATAAAGTTTAATATGGTGCGGAAAGAAAACAATGAAAGATATTCATTGAAAATGTATCAAATAGCAAATTCTGTCATTCTATTATGTATTAGTATGAGTAAACTAAAACAAATAACTTAAATAGAATCATCATTATAAACAGTACTATACATGTTGTATTTAAGACGCCTATCATGAGCAATTTTCTTGATAAACAATATTCTAAAACGTTTAGCTTTGCATATACAATACAGGCCCGTAGCCAGAGGGGGAGCTGGGGGAGTGGAAGCTCCCCTCCCCTGGTCAGGAATTGTTTCAAAATCATGCAGTTTTTCACCATTCTGAGAATTTTTCGCATGATTTTTTGCCAAAATTGTGAAAAAGCTCCCCCCCCTGGAAATAGGCTCACCCTCCTGGTAAAAGCTAGCTATGGGCAAGCAATATACATTCATATAAATCAATTTGTGGATTGTTATCTAAAAATATTGGGATAAAGCGTTGATTAGTGGGTGAAACAAGTTATTAGGAGATTCCACATCTACAACAGAATACATGTGTATGTATATCTAAAAAGAATTTACCAAGATATAAAACATAGATAATACTTATAACACAGGCTTATAACCAAGACTATTGGACAACATTAATAGTCAAATTTCTATTTCAACTTTTATTTGAAATAGAAACATTCCCGAAGACAAGTCATCAAACCTTACATGTTTATAAGTAAAAAATGTTGAGAAAAATTAACATAAAAAGCTGCTATGATGAAGATGAACAGGTTCTTGGAATGTGAGAATGTTTTCATGTTGATGTATGTACCCATTGGCCTTTGACCTACTTCTTTGGCAGTGCATAAATTCTCAAAATCTAAACCAACTCAGAGGTGGCTAGACTCAAGAAAAACTGGTGGGATTTCTCTACTTCATCCAAACGATGCACATGGATAGCAAGATTGTTATAAGAATAACAGCTTTTTATTGTTATCATAATACGACAAATCAAAAACAGTAACCAGTTTTCAGCATGTGCTTGTATTCACTGTTTTTGAAATTTGACAACAGATTCCATCAAAACAGGGTCCGTTTCTCGACATTCAGCCAACCGATTTCTAAGCTAAGCATACCAAAAGAAAGGTAGTAACAAACAGTTTTTGGCTTACCTGTACTGCGACTCTTACGTGGCATTTTAGTCCCAAAACCGCCCGAAATAATTCCTTATTTCTTTCGAACTTTTTTCGACCTCCATGTTGGTTAGTAGCTAGTTTCTGATCACGTGACCCAATCTTTGTAATCTGATTGGTTAATACGGATCAAAGCATTGTGGCGGCAAAGATCTAAGGGTTTGCTCAGTGAACAAACAACCGGGTACAAACAAGTAAACAAAACACGCACAAATACATTCTTATGCCATTTTATAATTTCTATTGCTTGGCGCAACCAAAGCATCAGCATTCTGCAATTTAGAAAAAGAAAAAAAATGATCATGGAGATGTAAAAGAGTAAGAGAACAACCAGAGCCCGGAACCAGAGCTCCCCAGGTTTCACCCCAGGCCCCACCCCCAATGCTTTAAGCCTATAAATATTAAAGACATTTGGGCAGACAAACCCATGTGTGTACTTATTAATCCTAGTTAACTAACTTGAGGCTAATTAGACCAGGTCAACTGCTCTATTTAGCCATGAATGTCAAAGATTTCAAGTAAACCATGGGCTTTCAATAATCTAGTTCAAAAGTCCATTACATTCCAATGAGGAAGCTAATTTTAATTTTTTTAAAAATTAACATTTTTTAGGGAGGAGGGAAGGAGGTATCTAGTATGTCATTCATTAGGGTCCAGAATTATTGAAATATCGACATGCACAAGAGCAATGGTTAACCTATTGCTTCATCTTTATATTCCATTTTGTTTATCCCTCATATTCCATGTTATACCAACCCCCAACCCTCTTGATCATACAGCGTATGTACTATGAAATATATTGATGGGTCAATGTGTCTTTTTATTGCCATGTGTGACTTTTCATATCTTAAAGTGCATAAAGAAACTCGTATGATGTCAATTGTACATTATAACTTGGACCTTGTTTTTTCTTTTAACTCTATGTCTGTTTATTATCTATAAGTTGTTGTTACTAACATTTTGTCTTTACATGAAGGACTGTGTAATAAAAGTTTGATGAGAAGGCAATAAATACCATTATCCTAATTAATCCATTTTATTCGGATAACATGAACAACCTTTCTGTTTCAAAACAGAATGAAGAAGTTAAGAATTCTTCAATGACAAAAACTCAAACCTCTCTTTGCAAGATTTTGGGAAAATATAGGATTCTTGGAAGAATACATGAATGTGAGGAAATTCTCCTTAAAGTTAATGCTATATGTATTTGAGGCTGTACTCTTTTTTATTTTTGACGAAGTAAGATTTTATGTGTGTCAACTTTTCATTGCACCTACATTAATATTACTTGAAGGTCAAGGTCAAACAAAAGATGTGAATAACTCCCAGAAGTCCTTCATTTCCACTAATTAATAATTCATGTGGATTTAATTTGCAAATTAGTCAATACACCTCCTGTTGATATGTCATTTACGTGCCCACAAAATACAATAAAAAACAACAAATTTGCAAGGGATTATGACTATTTCTCAAAAAAGTTGCAAGATGAATATTCTATTCTGTATTGTAAAATGTGTTAAGCTTGTCTGAATATTTTTGCATTGCTTAAATTCTATGGTACAAGACCTGTCGAGAAAGTCAAAATGTCACCAGTGCACAAAGGTTCAACTTTTCATTAGAAATAAATCAAGTCTGCATGGTCTGTAATTAGTTGACACTATCATAAATGGTGTTTTTTAAATATACCCAATCTAACTTTACTAAAATAATATTTTGTTATGATAACGTCACCTATAAGTATTATTACAGGTCATGTTGACCCTAATGCTCGATTTATAGCAGGAAGTATATCAGGATAACCGACAACTAGTCTAATTTTAATGGCAAAGGATTCCATAGTATTAAAGGGGTCATATATCAAATCAAATCATTTTTTGTACATCGAGATATGAATAAAATTTAAAAAACTTTAAAAAAAGTTGTATTGTAGGATCCCTAATAATTGATATTCATCTATCAAATAAACTTTAGAATTCCATGTGCCATTATAATACACTTATTGGTATAATGTACTTCAGAAAATTTGCAATCATGGCTTGTTTGTTTGTTAAAGGTATATTCCTTACCAGACCATTTCTCTCCTAATATGGTAGCAATAACCATATATACACTTCCCATGTTTAGCAGAACATGGAAAATGTTTCATATGACCAATATTGATCATTTAAAATGGAGTGTTTAATTCCAGTAGGCTGCCATCTTTTAAGATTTCACCAGGGATTTCACTCAGGAAGTGATGTCATCAACTCTCAATTTTACATATAGCAGTAGGTAAGGAGCTATTAAGAATTACAGAACCAGCTGAATATTCTTCTTATGATTCAATCCTTCTAAGTCTCTTCTTTTATCCTTAGCTGACAATCTCTGAAAATATTTTGCACATAAAGTAAGGACTACCTGTTTAGAAGAGATTGAGTGCTTCTTTCCTATACTGTTATAGGCAAGGTTATAAAAGTTGAGAGACAATGACATCACTTCCTGAGTGAAATCTTAAAAGATGACAGCTTACTGGAAATGAGCACTACATTTTCAAATGGTCAATATTGACTATATTAAAACATTTTCCTACGTTTCGCCAAATATGGAAAGTATATATATATATATGATTATAGCTAGCATATCTGGATAGAAATGATTTGGCCAGGAATGCCCCTTTAACTTTCTTGCTTGATGTTAAAATATATAACAGTGAAACATGTAAATTGGAACACCTCTGATAGTGGAACACTTTTCAGAGTCCAAAAACTAAATGACTTAATGTTAAATGAACCCCATAATTGGAAAACCTCCCAAGTGGAACACCTTATAGAGGTACCAAAGGTGTTCCACTTAGATGGGTTTTACTGTATATAAATCAAAAGATAACACTCAGATACATGTCAGATAAACATTTACAAATAATACCAAATTATCATTTTAAATGATCAATATTTATTCTTCTATTTGACATTTTGTACATACTGTACACCCTTCTATATTTACATATTAATCAACACATAATATTAATTCTGTTATGATGAAAATATAATCAACAAATAACAAATGTACATTTTATCATACAAAGGGTGTAAATAAATTATCTGAGTGACAAGGACATCTTTGCTATGCAGCACACTCTGAAGTGAGCTCAGGGCATGCGAAGATGTCACATGCTTTCAGTGCCCATTCTAGGAAAACGTACAGAAATGTGAATGAATATTCTGCACCCTCCCATACATACCCAATTATAAAGCAGGGTCTAAATTCTCTGAACTTCTATAAATACAGTAATAGGAAAGAGATGTGAAATACTGTTGTCTATAGCTGAAGTAGTATTACCTTTCATTGAAAAAAAACTGAATACAATATAGCCCCCAAAGGCTGCTATAAAAATCCTAAAGGTTAAATAAGTATGATACAAAAATAAGAAATCTTTCTTGTAACACCAGAGAGTGCATTTTTGGTACATTTAATGCAGAATGTCACTCTGTATTTAAACTACACTTCCAAAATATCAGCCTTACATCAATGTAGTTTGAACACCAAAAAGCTTTAAAACTTGAATGAGACCCCAATGAACATATTATACACATGTACAATATTGTTATTTATTTGTTAGCCAAAAAGATCAGATACAATTTGTACCAGTACAGTGTAAACCATCAGTCTTGTGAGTCGTACTATTTATAAATAAATAAATACCTTATTAAAGACCATGGGCTCATATGTAGCTCTAAATCCCTTCATTTATTGGACCCAAAATGTATACAATTGTATCTATTACATACACTTTTTCAAAAGAAAATCATTTCTCTTAGAGTATGAGATTTCTTTAGTTCAATTTTGAACATATGATATAGCCAATTAGGGCTACCAATAAATAAATAAATTAAAACATTGTCAAATGTCTATGTTACACTATTCTGAATACATGTATTTAATATAAAAGGCACATGAATTTTAAGTTATATAAATAATTTAAATACAATGCACTCAATAACTGTAACTATTATTTGACTTAAGGGCCATATTTCTTTATAAGCCCATGGTCTTCTATTAAAAACAACACTCGATTCATGTATAAATTAGCTGCTTGTAAATTCAGAACAATCAAATGAGAAGGGGGTATTTCCCTGTAGTGCCTTATTCAATATGAAAATATTCATATAACATATTCACCATTCAGATATCCTTCAAGTGACATTTAATATGTTTAAATAAATCAGAGAAAGTGTGGCATCAGTGATAGATTAAGACACTTTCAAATTCAATGAATCATTTCAGATCAGGAGTGTTACAAAGGTGCCAGCTAAGAAGAACAAAGCAAGTCACATTTGTTCTGACCCAGCCTATTTTTCAGCATGTATATGTAAAGACAGTAAAATGGCATCTGGTCCTTTATTATTACCATTAACCAATAGGTCTCATGGTTCATGACTCGTCCTATGCATGATGTAGCTTTTCAATGCACATTCAAAACCTTATGATGCCCAATAGATATGACACTAGTTGTAGCAGTTGTTTTGGGGTGCATATTTTCACCATCAAGCTTAAACTTAATTTTCAAACATATCTAAATATCTCCATTTTCTATCTCTTCCTTTGCCTTGAGACAGAGAGAAACTGCGATAAAAATGGTAATTCCACATCAATGATACCATCTTGTGAAGACCACTCAAAATTATCATCCCTGCACTATCAAATAATAATGAACTCTTCCTATTTGTCATTGTGGATTAGTCAATTTGCTTCAAGGGGTGATGTATGCAGATGACCCAGATTCACTCCCCAAGTTGGACTAGTCCAATTACTGGTTATGGCTCAGTTCATTTAATACCTGAGGGATGATGTATCCATATTGTTGCAACACACTCATTAGTCTTCTATTCAGGGCAAATTGACCATTGAAGTATGAGTCTCTGTTTTGGTAACTGGTAAATTTGTAACCAAGGTACTGTACCCGAGTTAGATCATATCTGCCAAACTCTAAGTACAATTTGTACTCAAGTTAAACCCATATTCAAGTCACTCTGTGTTGCAATGATTTTTTCAAATCAGCTCCAGAACCTTAATGACTCCCTGGCTGTTGGCTGCTACACATACATTAGAGCCCTGAAAAACATACACATATATTATTAAACTGAGCCCCAAAAAATAACATACAGATACATTAGAGCTCCGAGAAATAACATTAGAGCTCTGAAAAAGCACATTTTACAGTAAGCACTATTAGCAATTGTTTAGTATAAAACAAACTCAATGAAGCAAAAAAAAATCTTAATATCTAAAAGAAGTTAACAAAATTTTTGGATCTAGCCATTTGTAATATACATGTACTTGCTACATACACTGTGTATATTTCTTAAAGTGCAATTTACTACATACACTTTATATTTCTAAATGTGCATTCTATTTGTACTCACGGGTCTCCAACATACTGCACTGACAAACTCATTAGAATCTTCCTCTTTCTTCTCTTTCTCCTGTAAATAAATCAAATTCCAAATCATTTAATCATAATACCCTCTGGATACTTAGATATACATGTAGTTTATATGTATTGGCTATACTTTAAAAATTAGAGCATTTTATTGACTCTGCACCCAGTGTAGGAACTTTGAATAGAGAGGCCAATTCTTTGAAACTTTGGGCCTTTTTAAAAGTATGACCAAACCAGTTAAGAATTTTTGACTTTACTTTTTTAAAAATGACCATAAGTATTTAAGAGCATGATATTCATCGCGGAAATGAAGGGGTTTAGAATATCAGCTTTACCCTTACTTACCAGGACACTCCTTACAGTATCAAACTTATAGGTAAGCAGATGCTTTGATAGTCCTTTGTAATAAATATAGAGGGAGTTATTCTCACTGCCACACGCTAAATAATCTCCATCTGATGCGAGGCCCACAAAGTTTTTCTCGTTTGTATGTCCCTTGAATGTCCTTATACATTGTGGAGAGTTAACATTCCATAACTTCAGTTGGCTGTCTGTGGAACTGGAAACATATTGAACTTATTTGATCATTTCTCATATTCAACAGTTTTGACCATCATATAAAAATATACAACTTTTTGATCATATTGTAAAAAATCTAACAGATAAATCTAGAACTCATATAAATGAATTTCAGAATTTCCAGGATGGAAACAATTAAAGTATTCATTAGCATCCAAAATAAAGTTTCGCTTTAATGTACAACAATAAGAAACTCACCAAATCAAAATGAATTTATAAAGAATTTGAGGAAGAGAAAGATTTACTTACGCTGATACAAGTTCTGTACGGTTAGCAAACTTAGTGTATGATACTGCTTTTCTATGGCCCTTGAATACAGTGAGCGCTTGTTTGGTGTGTCGTAGATCATAATAATGAACACAGTGATCTGAAAAGGATACGGGGTGTGTCATGATAGATATTTACAGCATTTGTTCAGACGAGAGGCGAAGACATTTTACACTGTCAGAAACTCAGTAAAAATATTCAATTCTGATTGTTCAAAAAGAGGTGAACAATTTACTAAATTGACCTTTGGAAAATGAAACAATTTGATTAATTTACTTCTGGAATTCGACTGGCTGTAACCAGAACAACGGCAACGCCAAAGCGTAGCGAATCCCATCGAACAGAAATGGCTGGCATTTTTACAAACGAAATATATAGCAAATATCATAAAATAACACACAAGAAAGGCCACCATTTTCAAAATGGTTGCTCACTAGCCAAGTTGTCATCAGAAGTAATATGCTTTTTTTCTAGCATTCGCAACCAAATATGAACAAAATCGCTCCACTACTTTTCGAGTTATAGTAAAATACTTTAAAATGGTGGCCATTTTTCAAAATGGCCGCCTTCTACCAAAAGTGTCATTAGACAGTGTGCCATGCTTATAGTATTCACATACCAAATATGAACAAAATCGCTCCATTACTTTTCAAGTTACAGCAAAAATTGTAAAATAACAAGTAAAGGCCCAGTAAAATACGTTTAAATGGCGGCCATTTTTTAAAATGGTCACCTTCTACCAAAAGTGTCATTAGACAGTGTACCATGCTTATAATATTCACATACCAAATATGAACAAAATCGCTCCACCACTTTTCAAGTTATAGTAAAAAACGTTAAAATGGCAGCCATTTTTCAAAATGGCCACCTTCTACCAAAAGTGTCATTAGACAGTGTGCCATGCTTATATTATTCACATACCAAATATGAACAAAATCGCTCCACTACTTTTTGAGTTAAAGTAAAATACGTTAAAATGGCGGCCATTTTTCAAAATGGCCGCCTTCTACCAAAAGTATTATTAGACAGTGTGCCATGCTTATAGTATTCACAAACCAAATATGAACAAAATCGCTCCACTACTTTTTGAGTTATAGTAAAATATGTTAAAATGGCGGCCATTTTTCAAAATGGTGGCCATTTTTCAAAATGGCCGCCTCCTACCAAAAGTGTCATTAGACAGTGAGCCATGCTTATAGTATTCACATACCAAATATGAACAAAATCGCTCTACTACTTCTTGAGTTACAGCAAAAATCTTAAAATAACGAATAAAAGGCTGCCATTTTTCAAGATGGCTGCCATGTGCTTCTTTAATATCTACATTTCTAGCTTTATCAATGTCCTATATAATTTTTTTACATTTAAAACATATTGCAATTACAGTTTTACATATTGCACCTAAATTACAGTAAAATCGGCACTAAAATGGCCGCCATTTTTAAATGAGCGGCCATTTTGAAAATCGGCTTTCGAGGAGAACTTCTACCCCCATAGGGTATATGTGTACAAAATATGAACAAAATTGGGCCAACGGTATTTGAGTTATTGCCCGGACGGACGGACAGACGGACGTACGTACGGACAAACGGACGGACAGACGGAGGCGTTCCCTATATCCCTCCGAACTTCGTTCGATGGGATAACAAACTCATGTATTACAAATATGAAAATGACCACAGTATATGAAAGCTCAAACCAAAGACATATGGCAAAACATCAAATGCATCATGTTAAAGAAACCATACCTGCAGATCCGAAAGCCAGATGGTATCTGCTTTCAGGATTGAACTTGACACAGCAAACGTTGGCCTTAGCTTCAAGACTTGCGATACTGTGTTCAGCATTGATTGACCAAAGCTTCACTTTTGCATCGTCTGAGCCTGAGGCTATAAGCTTTGGATCCATGCGATTGAAGTCAACACTCCAGCACCTTTTTTCATGTTCCTATTAGGTAAAAGTATAGATTATTAGCTACAAATATTGTGATACAAATAAAAATAATCAGATCTAAAAAAAATATAAAGTATAAATGAAAATCTATGAAGTTGTTATTTCTCATTGAAGTTCAGAATGGGATAATTAGCTATGTGAGTACAGATTGTCATGACTTTTTTTTTTTGGGGGGGGGGGGGTCAGTGTGATTTGGAATTAGAGGTTGAGCCAATTTAAGTCATTAATCATTTGAAAACTACCAGGCACATTTTCTAAATGTGCAATATAACTTGAGCCTTTATGGGTTCAATTGTTGCGCTGTTATTAGTGAAATTTGAGATGTGTTATTACTATGAAGTACCTGGAAGGTTTTAGTTTTAGTTGCAACAAATGCATCCCAGAGTGTCACTGTGCCCTCGTAGTCTGAACTCGCCAGGATGTTCTTGTGGTAAGAGCTCCACATCACGCAACTGAAACCCAAAAAAAAAAGCCAAAAGTGTTACTGAAAAATGTTCCTTTCAGATATCACTTTACCTCCTCCCAAAATACAATCAATTGAGTGAAATCATGCAATGCATTATCTTCATGGCCATATGTCAATATATTGACCTTGTTCCTAACAGACTTGTCTTACCTTATTTTTGAATTACACACCATTTCCCCAACAGGATAATGCATGTCTACTGCATCTTGTATGACTGTTGAATACTCAAAGACCTACAACACATAGCACTTATAGCATTAACTTGTTAAAATCATATTAATATAGGGTCCTCACACTCAAAGTTTGAGTTATGGAGAATCAAATAAGGGCAACTCCGCGGAGTAGCAAATCCCAACGAACAAAATATAAATTACCGAATTCCAATCAATTATACTCATTTGACATTACTTTGGTAAAAATTGAAAAAGAATTTAGATTTTAGAATTGCGAATTCCTGCAAAGCAGCCATTTTGAATTTTCTGAGGTACAAATCTGAAAAATAATACCATAATTGTGATCTACTTAAAGATTCCTTCAATTTGAGTATAATATAGCCATACTTTGAAGGGATCGAAAAATTATTGTGAAATCGTACATTAGACGGCCATTTTGAATTTTACGAGGCTCGAATCAGAAAAAAAGATACAATATTTGCAATCTACTCTTAATTGCCTTTCATTTGAGTATAATAAAGCTATACTTCAGAAAGTTCTAGAAATTAGCGAAAATTTCTGTTTTCCTGACCCCCCATACACGACCCCTGGGGGTCAGGATGAAAAACACGGAACATATGTGAAATAGATAGATGTTGCAAATATACTACCAAAATTTCAAACAATAATATTAATTGCTTTGGTTTAGAATGAATAATTTTTGCGAAAAAGTCCCGTCATTTTTAAAGCGGCGACCATCTTGAAAAAATGCGTAACACTATTTATCAATATACATCTTTCCACCAAATATGAAGAAAATCCGTCAACTAATATTTGAGTTATCTTCCGGACGGACGGACTGACTGACTGACGGACTGACGGACGGACGGAGGGCTTCACTATATCCCTACCGAACTTTGTTCGTTGGGATAACAAACACTGAATCAATGAAAAACTGTTTTTTTTAGATGATTGCTTGGTCTAACATGTCCAGTGATTCTACAGTAAAACCTGTCTTATCCGAACATCATTACTACCAGCTAAAATGATCATATTAGGTGTTCACATTTTGATGTTTTTGCGTTTGCAAGATTTTTGATTTTGAAGAGAAGTGAACACATTTTCAATACATTATGACTGAAACCATTCAATGTTTTTTCAAAAGTATAGACATCATAAAAACAGTGATCAATATAAAATATCTGATTGATTTTGAATCAAACATGTCATATTTCATAATAAGACAGGTTAAATTTTAAATATGATTGTTCACTGTTCAAACTGGAAGGTGTTCACATTTCAAGGTTTTGTAACATTGGCTTCAATGGAAGAAAAAATGGGACCAGAAGAAAGTGTTCACATTAGGAGGTGTTTGGATTAGTGAGCTCTTTGGATATACATGGATATGTTTTAATGGATTTTTCAAATGGGCATGAAAATGCATTCAATGAAAGTGTGTGCACATCTCATCTTTATTTCGATTAACTGGAAGTAAACATTCATGACGAGAGAATTGTGCTTCATGATACTTCATTTTTTTAACCAATTTTTTTCCATTGACTTCAGTCACAAAATTGTTACTTTATATTAGATCTGTTTTTCAGAATACAATTTTTATTTCTAACCTTTATTTTCTTGGTTACCCCTGCTATGGCAAAGAAATCACAGTCCCTGTCAAATTCAATACTGAAAATAGAAGAAATAAAAATATTATAATTTTTTGCAAAACTGTTTAATAAATCACATCTATTAAACTGTTGTAAAGAAAAATCTTAAATAGCTATAAATATATCCAGTTTGACAATATATTGGAACATACCTAAGCTTATATTTCATGAAAAAGGACAGGAATCATTATCTCTAGTCGAGGAACATTTTTCAACATGATAGGGCATGAAACATCATACTATCAATCCACAGTGTTTTCCCCAAGAGTTTCTTTATTGGGTACAAAATTCTCATTTCAAAAATTATGATTTTTCTCATTTTCAGGTATGTGCAAATAGGCCTTCAAGTGGGTGCTAGTCGATTATCAGAATCTCACGTGGCTCCAAAACAGACTTGCTCCAATACTGGAGAGATCACTGATCTATATGGCATCCATGCCCTGTCACAGTAAACTTAAGGCATGTGTATTTTCAAATGGCAGTTCAATGGCAAATCTAGTAGAGTAAATTTTGCCTATTAACGGATGATACCTTAACTAACAGTCCATCCGTCAATTAACGCATTTTGCCCATTAACGGACGATACCTTAACTAAACGCATCAATTAACGCATGGCGATAACCCCGCATGTCAACTAGTTTAACGGGTGGTCCGTCAATTGACGGTTGATAGTTCAATTGGCGGGAAATTCAAATTACTCTATTATCGGCCATCACAATGAGCAGAAAAGGTCCCAGCGCGTAAGTTTTTTTTAGTTTACCGTGAATTCTTAGCGATGTGTCATGTCTATTAATGTCTATATTTATTGCTGCCGATTGTTGTTACGGAATTTTGAGAATTTCTAGGGACAAAATGGGCTATCGAGCTCGAATTTCACCCCTCCCCCGACATCCCCACTCCACATTTTGACTACCTTATCCAAAGTAATTGTAGAGTTTGTTTGATATTAAATATTGAGTGTTCTGACTTAGGAACAGTAAATGGAGGCACCATACTGGCCCGAGGTCGGTCCAGTATGAACCAGATAAAAAGAAAAGGTCCCGCTCTAAGAAATATGAGAGAAGGAGGGGGCTGTTCAAGTCAGCAAGTGAACTGTGTCAGATCACAAATGGGAAAATCTTCATAAAATACGTAGATGGCTCTTACTTGTAACCTCTGAGCACTGCTGATTAATCCAGTGGCATCCATAAGAGTAAAATACTTGAATATAAAGTTAAGAACATTCGTTTGACGAGAGGCAATCTGCGCAAGGTTCGTTTTTAGGTTCGGTTTTTAGCACATGCACTTGGAATAAGTATTTATAATTATTCATAACACAACCTTTGCATTGTCTTATCGTCAACAACTTCACTATTTATTGTGAATTTGAATACAACAAAAAAAGTTCTACAATAATCGGCAATCGTTTCTTTACGTAATTACGTATGGTATGTGTTTTAGAACCATCGTATATTTGGTGTTTTCCGATCACATATAAAATAAGTTCAGAATTTGATAATAATATAATACGTCAAAGCAGGTCCGTATTTGTGAAATTAACAAATAAATAGGTAAATAAAATGCTTTATTGATGTTAAATAAATGTAATAATATTACAAACAAACAAATGATATACATAACACAGCCAGCATTCTATTCAAACTTGGCGTATTTACTTCACATGCTCTTAGAAATAAAACAACTTATATTTACTTCCGTGTTTTTAACGAATATTCGGGGCCGAACAGGGATTTGCTGGCCGAATATTCGGTATGAGAATTTACTATTCGTTTCAGCCCTAAACCACAATGTACTAGGGTTTAGGCTACATATATGACTTCGAGCTTCGTCGTTTTTCTATTGTTAAATGTACTTGGAAATAGTGACTGATTTTTGGATTTATTTGATGAGTCGTACTAATTCACTTGTACAATGTATCTCGAAATCGCCACATAGAAATTCAAATTGCCACATACAATTTATAAGGTGATATGCTACAAGCATAACGTGCTTTTTCCATCCAACTTTTGTAATAAAATCTCCAACAAGGGGCATGAAAATCATTAGAGCGTTGCGTTTAGATGAAATTTAATTTGTTTAGGCTTTTTTGACGTATAATCTAAAGTAGTTGAAAAGTAGATAGCCTATATATAAAATTACATGTTCCATGTATTTTGCTGACAAATTCCGTTAAAATAAATTGTTTAAATCATATCTTACCCATATGTCCTCTGTGACACCGACCTTACTGCCGTTTATGAAAAGAAAAACCGTTATTTTTAATTTTTTTACTCATCCGTTAATTAACCGATCGTGGGTCAATTAACGGTTCGTGCTTTAAATACCGTATCATCCATTAATAGGCAAAATTTACTTTACTGTATTTACACCAATGGTTTCATACAGTAAGACTCCTCTTTGAATCATGTCTACCAATGAATCAGCATACCAATGTATATAGATTTTAACCTAATAAAATAACTCATACCTTGAGACGATACTAGAAGTGTTATAGATGTCACTAGCATAGTTAAGTGTGGCAAGTGGACGGCACGAATTGAAGCGAATGAACTTGGATAAATTGTCTGTAAATTCTCCAAGACCATCATGTGAAGAACTCGGCCAAGCAGACTCATTGTCGATTGTTTTTTCTGAGTTTGGGGACACAATGTCTAGTTCTTTGCTAGTATTTTTAGAATTGTCTGCAAGGTAAAACAAACAATTTATTATGTAGCCGCGATATTCTTGTCATGTGCTTAACAATGAAAAGTAGTAAAAGATAAATTATCAGAAAAATACTCTATTTGGTGTAATTTGAAAACCTTCATTTGATAGTATATAACACTGATGTTCTTGAATAGAATACCACATTTTCATACGATTAATTCTCTTGTTCAAATCTTGCACCTTTACTGTACTGTACTCATAGTGTGCCATTTTGTAATACACTGTACGTGAACAGCATATGCAAAAACAGTAATCTGTTAATCTGAGTAAGTTTTATTGAGCTGAAGCAATATTAAGTGAAATAATTTGTATCTGATGTTATATGTGTAATTCACTGATAAATAAAATATGGACATTTCCAAAGCATACTTATTTCTTTCTGTCGAAGGTCAAAGTACCATTGCTCAAGATCGTCAAAGTGCTGATGTACCCTTTTCCTCCTACTGGCCATTGTTTTGTTCAGCCATTGCCTTCCAACCTGGAATAAAAACCAACTCAATTTAAACTCTAACTCTGATTGTTTTAGATTCAATATTTCTCTATTTTACATCTATACCATATCTATACATATGTTGACATCTATCTTTATATTGACATCTTTCTATTTGTTGACATCTGTCTTCATATCTATACTGACATCTATCTACATGTTGACACCTATCTTTATAATTACATCAATCTATATGTTAACATGTATCTATATGTTGAGTTGACAAATATTGTTTTATCAACACTGATCTATATTTATTTCTGTCTTCATATATGAACATCTATCCCAACTAAACTGACATTTTTACATAGACATATCTATCTTACTGTTTTGCTGCCATTGAATCCAGTTTGGCCCTGGTCTGTGCCAACACCCCCACTGAGGGAGGGCTCTATTCCATTAGGTAAATGTAGGTCCTGAAACACAACCTCAATGGATTATAACCTATTTGTGTAGTTTGATGGAACATTTCTTATTCTTGAATTTTATCAAGTTGATCAGTTTTGGCTTCAAAAGTAGTTTATTATTTATCCTACAGGGGGCAGTTGACAAAAACTTTGTAAAGTTATGAATTCCAAAAATACATTGTTCTCTAACTGTAATGTCATTTGTTCATGGTTACAATTGATTTACGAATAATAAAGTTTCTGTTAATGACCCCCAGCTTCACACTTGGAACGTGTACCTAGGTGAGCTGTGTTCTGTTTAAAATAACATTTCCCAGTACAGTTGCTTGCTCTATACAAATAGACACCACATACTACTTACTAAGTGTGGATTAGCTCTCCGTTGTTCAGCTATGTACGACTCAACTTTACGGAGATCTGTGTCAATTATTTCCATGTCTCTTTGTAAGTCTTCAAGTTGCTGTTAAAAAAACAATAAAATTTACTTTACAAATCATAATATAGGGGTACTGAATGGACTTTTCATTTACATTGACTGTGACATCATCCATCATAAGTGGTTTCATAGTTTCATAGCATTAACAAACATTGCGTGTAATTTTCAAGATTTTTCATCATGTTAAAATGATAATTCCCAACAACTTTGCCTATTGTTTTCAATACTTTTGCCTTTGTTAGAAATTTGAATGCTGTATTAAACTCTAGAATATTTTCTGGGTATTGCTGCTTCATATATTTGAATTAAGTTAAAAAAATTATATCATACATCATCTAGTAGTTATTTTTATGTTATAATAAGAAAATGTTTTAGATTTGCAATATTTTGATTTATTCTATCACAACTGCACTGTACATGTACAGTATATGCAAAAACAGTAATCTGTTAATGATTGAAAAAAATTTATAAAATAAATCGAAATATTGCAAATCTAAAATATTTTGTTATTGTACATCATTACATCATTAAATGGACAATTTTTATCACTAAGTCTTGACATTCAAACAACACTTACTGCTTTTTTCTTCAGTCTGACTTGCTGCAGGAATTCTTTCATTATTTGATTATGTATCGCAGTTGTATCCTGTAAAATAGCACAACCGGCATACGTGAACATTTCAATAACACGATTATTCCATTTTTAGTATCAGACAATTTGAATGAATGTCTACATTGCTTCCTTTCGTTTATTAACACATCATCGTGGAAATAATTGACCCACTTATTGTTCATTACTATTGCCTTTTCCACTCTAATTTGCATTTTATTTCTCCGTGAAAATTGCTTTATAGTTTTCTGAATTATTCTAAATCCATTAGGCGAGAGATAAACATTACTGTCATTATGTTCAGTATTAATCTGTTTAAGAATGAAAAACATATTTATATTTCTTTCATTCTCATTTATGTCTAATAAAACACATACCGTATTCTCTGTAATTACCGCCCACTCTCTAATAAGCGCCCACCCCGCTTCACAAAGTTCAAGAAACATCGAGGAATCAACAAGAATTGAAGAATATATCAGGAAAAAAATATTTCTCAAAATCCAGGAGCGGGCGATAATAGAGTACTTACCCTAAAACTGCTGTAAACATGACGCGTTTTGTAATTCTATGCATCCTCTCGATACATATCTATCGATGGGTGCTTCCCACACCATACCATGCTAATATTGTCTCCAAATAGTCCATAATGAATGAAGGAATTGTTCTTTATCGGCATTCAGAAATTTCAAAAGCTACTGCGCAGATGTTCTGCGCATGTCAAGGTCGTGAACTTTCTGGTTTCTTTTTAATGTTTCTCGACTTTTACACGACTTTTGCACGAATAATGATGATATCTCATCAAATTAGAAATAATGTATAACTTTAGATCGATATCCAGCAGTCTCTAGTGGAAATATTGAAGGTAATCGGCGATAATGACAAAGTGGGCATGCCGGAAATAAATTAGACATAGACGGGTCTTCAACCACTGTCAATATTGTCTAAGCGATCTTTACCGTATTCTCTCCAATAACAGCACTTGTCATATTATTATAAAAATATGTTGAAGAAAATGCATTATTGTCAAGAAAAATTGCCATACATGAAATTCCTCGGGATTTCTGATTTCTTTCATACATGGGCGCTTATTAGAATGGTCTAAATAATGTATTTTCAATTTTCTAAACGCCCTGGGCGCTAATTACAGAGAATACGGTACATGTAGTTCAAAATAGATGAAATATAATATGTACATTTAGATATGTTTATTTTCATTTCAATTGATGAACAAGATTTATACTTTACTGGTTTATAATTTGAACCAATTGCATTTAAGATAATATTCACCTCTTCTAGCTGTTGTTTTTTCTGTATAAGCAGTTCAAGCATGTGGTCAACACTGTTCAAGTCTATACCGTCACTTAAGTCTGGCAGTATGCTACCATTTTGCTACAATAAAAATTGATTAATCAAGCGACCCTTTTCTAGATTTCAGGTTTCACTACTCGCCACCAGCAGGCCATTGCTGCTTGAAGGGTAACTAACATGGGAGAGATTTGCATTGGAATATAAATGACAATACAAGATACATTTTACATAGTTTGACTAATTTATGCATTACTTGTATATAAAAATATTAAATCAAAACATAAAGTACATTGTAACTGAAATCCAGTACATGTACAACCACTATCTTAATTCAATGATTCTACTTTATTTAACACTGTGTTATTTTGCCTTATAACTTACTTGTAAATGTGGTTGAATATTAATTTTTTTCTCTGCATTTCTTTGTCGATGTTTCAGTATTAGTTCTGTGACTGGAAGACATAATAGATAATATTTTAGAGCAATTAACATGTAAACGTTTCTTCACAATACAACTTCACCATCATATTATATACATAAAATATCAATATATTGCTTTGATTTGTACCATATAAAGGCCCCATTACATTGATTAATGTAAGTTTTGTATTTTTTAGCACTGTACATCATCTTCAAAAATTGTAAATATTAATATAATGTAAGTGCTTCCCTTAAAATGTAGTCTAGATATAACAAAGCAAAGTTAGAATCTGTTGATATAGCAAATGAAAACATTTTTCTGAACTTACGTGCAAAATTTGGGAATATTTGGTCCGACTTCTCTACATTGAAGTTACATTTTGGGCAACGGTTATTTTGCTCCAAACTCAGTTTAATACATTTGTGGCTGAAAAAAGAAAAGGTCACAGAATATCAATTAATTATTCACAACTTCTTATTTTCTGGAATAAATATTTGATTTAAAATATCAAAGGTGCTTTTGGGTTACATGAGAATTCTGATAAACTTTCAACTCCAAGAGCAAATCAATGAGATTCGCAGCTAAAGTAGACTCGATCATCAAAATGGGAAACAGAACAAGAAAGTTTTGCTAATGTTAGAGTAGAAAAATCTTATCTTTAGTCAGTGTAATTTTTGTAAGTTATTTTTTGTTATATACACTCAGAAATGGCTGAATTGTGATAAAATATATGTTTAGTCAAAACAAGTCATAATGTTAGAATCATAATTTATTATTTTGTGTAAATACTGTGTTAATGACGAACAACAATAATCTGAGGCATTTTTATTTATTCACCCAAGGCTAAGCTGAGGTATTCCTAGATAACACTCCTTTAATAGAAAAATAATCCAGGGGCATAATAAAATCTTAATATAATGTACTGTTATATATTAGATTTCATGTGTTAGTACATGCCTTTCTCCTTGATGGTCTATTGCAAGAAGTCAGTATGACCCCCCTCCCAAAAAACTTGTTTTTCTAATCATTTTACAATACAGCGTTAACAAGGTTACACATGACAAGTCAGAAAGGGTTTTCTTCTTCATATTTGTTTCTTTCTCAATATAATCAAGTCATTTGGCTTCAAAGGAATAAATACAAATATAAAAGGTTGATGATTTGATCTCAAAGGATTTCTGCAAATTACAGCTTGGCATGATTCGATAAAATCAAGTGACAATATATTAGCGAGAGATAAATTCTAAAGGAAGCAATATCCGGCTTCATACTCTCGAGTTAACTAATAAAGTGTGATTAAAATGTAACAATAGAGCTTAGTTGACAACTTTTGCCATTGTATGAAACAAATCTACATTCAATTGAACATTTGAATAATTCAATATAATGCACTTCGTGAAAAGGTCATTGCGGATGTCATGATTCAAAAAGCAAAATAGAGTAATACGGTGAAATAAGAATAAAATTCAAACACAGGGGGATAAAAACCAACATTCAAAATTATATAGAAATACCAAGAAATCAGATATATCATCCAAATTTTTGAGAATTAAACACGATGGAAAATGCCAAGGATGTAAAGCAATGAAAGAAATGTATGAGAATGTGGTTATTGGGTACATTAGGTACATAGGCTCTATTATCTGTTGCCTGGCTGCTATACTGCATGTATTGGCTAGTACAACTGTATGCTATTATCCATCCCGGATGTGAATACTATTTCTTTATTTTTTTATATGATTTTTGCAGTGCTGTAAGATATAAGTATGGTTCATTACTAATACTGTTTGCATGTCTACTAGGGCTCAAAGGGCAACTTTCAACAGTTATATCTGTTAAATTCTAATGATAAAAGCAATGGTTTTAAAGGGGAAGTGTCCCTAAATATTTGCTCTGTTGGTATAGGGTGATGGTCAATGATTTAAATCTTTGGTAATTTTGAAGATTCAAAATTTGTGAAGCACAAAATTGATGTAAAATCTTAATTCAAACCAGTTAACTAGTAAACACACTTATAATTCAACATTAAAATGCTTATAACAAAAAAGAACAGAGTTTTATGGCAAAAAAATATATTTAGAATTATAAGAGTAAAGGTTATTTACATATCAAATGACATAAGTTTGCTTGGTACAAACATACATGTGAGCATTTAAACTGATCTAAGAATCAATGTCTGTTTTATTAATATGTCACCATGACATCAAGTTGTGTTGCCATGACATCTAATATAATGTCAAAATAAGCTACTGGCAAATACATGTTCTGATGTGAGACTAAAATGGTCCGTTTTAATGTCATGCTTTTGAATATAATAAGACAGGGGAAAAAAATCTGGCTTTCATAAACAGAACTGCATATTGATATTACGTGTAACATGTGAGAGTCATTGCATGTTGACATCTTGGCTTATTTGTCCCCAAAGAAATGCAATTGAGTATACAGTAATTTTTTAAAACATTTTTGTTTGAAGATTTCATGAAAATAAATCTACTAACATTTAATATTTTATTTATTAAACACAAGATCATGATCTTTATCATTTCATTGCTCCTTGCAATCTTTACAATACAGATACTTATACTCTGTAATGTAAAAGATCACTGAAAATCATACTCGTATAATACCCCCAATGATACCACATATGACACCTCAAAGGAGTAGCAATACAAATCTTATTGAACAAAATATATTTATTTGAATCACTCATGGATTTGATCATTATATGATTGAAAAATAACCAGGGAGAAGCAGGGGTTTCATTAGCAGCAGGCAACAGGCAATTTTCACCAGTTGTTATCATAAAATCGCCTGTTGCTTTAAGGGACTTTTCAACTTTTCCATGTTAAATTCACGATTTCCATTAGTTTTGCCTGTTGTTTTCATTTATTTAGACTGTTGTGAGAAATTCTAAAGAAACCCCTGTAGAAGCATTGTCTACTGTTGGCAAAATATACACCCCTGAAGTGATGCCATAATATAAATTCCTTCTCACAATGGAGATCTTATTGCATTAGCATATATAATTTGCACAAAATGCATCAACTTGTATTTGAGTTATCAAATTACCAGTTATCAGATTATATTTTTCATGCAATATGATAGCCATTTTGAATAAAGTGGCCATATTGGAAATTCCTATGCACTTATGACATCAGCCAATAAAATTTGAATCCAATCCATCAGCCAGTATTTGTCTCATTCCCATTCTTTACATCTCTCCTGAACTATGTTCAGTGGAATAATTATATAAATATAACAAAATGTGTTTCTCACCAAAAGCTGTGACCACACTTTGTCATATAAGCCTCTTCCATCATCTCAAAGCATATCGGACTGAAAAATAAAACATATATAAGGTAAATAGATCGATATACTATTATTTTGGGGGGCAAATCAATATGACATTTTTGATCGAAAAACTATATACCTGTAAACAATTTTTGGAAAAGGGAGGAGGTTGATTTTATTACTTTGTGTGACAACATCAAAATACTGGTCCTTATACACATAGCATTACATTTTATCATGGTGCTTTAAATCATTAGAAATCTCAGATCTTGAAGGCCTAAAACTTTGTAGATAAAACAAGCTTAGTCTTACACCTAGGAGATAATAGTACAAAATATGTACATGTACATGAGTCAAAATATACCTTGTACCTAGTATTAACTTCCTATATACTGAAAATGATTGATCTCTCCACTACTGAAGCAAGTGTGTACCCACTTGAATTATAAGATGCAAGTGACACTTGAAAATGAAAAGAATTTGTGATAATTTGGCATATTTTGACCAAAATTAGGAAAAAGAACTTTGCACCCCATCAAAGGAAAAATCTGTGTCTAAGTGTTTCCTGAAAATTTGTTGGAAAAAAACTTAACACTATAAATACTACAAAACAGGTAAGAACATAAAATGCAATGCACAGAAGTTCAATCATAGGTGTACAATGTACATGTAGTCAGTGAGACCTTTGTACAATGCTGTAGACTAACAACAGAAGTACTGAATATTGATAACATTGGCACACCCACCCACACTCCTTAGTTTGATGACTATTCACGAAAAAGATTAAGAACTTTAAATTGTAAACACCCATGTTCAAAGGTAAAACAAAAATTGTAAAATATCAAATGTCTTCACTTATCCCTATAATCAATACTGCACCCCTCTATAACAGTGATTACTTTTTTGGAGGAGCCTTCAACCACTGACTTCCAAATGAATCAGGAAACATACGTTTTCCAACATTTAAATATCTGCATCATAGCACCTCCTCTAACCTAATAGATTCATAACACCAAGGGTTGCCTCTAATATTTGATGTGCCTCTTGTAATGTTACAACAAAAATCTCAAAAATGTCACACAAAAATTATAAATCCTAAAATGTTGTGTTAAAAAATTTTCCACATATAAAATCCTTGAGGGCACTGGGAGGTGATTAGTGGATTGAAACGGTTCATATAGCTCGATACAAGATAAAAGTTTATCTTGCAATTTGTTTAAATAATATACGAATTCCATAAGCATGTTTCTGACAGCTTGTCTGAGAGCATTGCTTTATATTCATCACTCCACTCTTGTGATGCAGGATTAGACATAAATGAAGTGTAATCCTTGAGAATTTATTACTGGAAATGAAATTGATTGCTGTTAATCTGGCGACAGTCACTTGTTCTCTGTGATTCCCAATAATTAATTCTCCCTAATTATATTAGCTCAAATTATTTCATATTAAACCGATGGACTTTGATTCTTTGATACTTGTCAATCAGTAAGTGAAAGTTGTCTTTAAATGAAGGAACAAAAACAAAATTTCATTGCTAGAAATCTTGTGATTTGATTGGCTGTTTCGGTACCGTGTGATCAAAAATACCATAGCGTATTTCACAGCTCCCTCAATTTTTGGATAAGAAAAGACATATTGCCTGCCCGGGAATTCTGCACTCAACGAAAATAAAAATGTACTATAGTTATGTTAACATATGGGTTTATGATACAATTATTGATTATAATAAAAGAAATATTTCATTCTATGGAGGGCAATACCTGTTGCACTTTCAATGATTTTTGCAGAATGTATTCATCTCGCCCTATGGGCTGCAGGCAATACATACTGCAAAAATCATTGAAAGATGAACAGGCATTGCCCTCCATAGAATGAAAAATACTTGCTAAATACATCTGATGTACTGAATAAAATTGCATAGTGATTCAGAGGTATGGAATAAAAGGTTCCAAATTCCATGGAATCTACAAATCAAGTCACCATTAAAATCCAGACTCAATTAGCCTAATCAGGAAAAGTCAGTCGATGTCTGGAATAGTTTCTTCAGTTCTTTTTAGAGATGTCACGGAACAAAAAATTGTAACGGTTTCGTTTGGAACATTTTGCTTTGGAACGGAACAATTTCAGAACGGTTCGGAACAGAGTGAATGTGTGTATTAGATTAAAATGAGTTGACTGTCTAGGTCTATTTGGTAGCGAAAAGCTCTTCAAAACTCTTCAATGAGAAGGAGTGAAAAGAATGAACTTCTTTTGATGCAAAATATTGAAAGAAACTGCTGTTCTATGGCGATTTAAGGGCGAATGATGTCAATGAAAGCCTACAATAAAATGAAGTGTTCAGTATTTCGAGATTGATTCAGTGAATTTACAAATTCATATATACAGATCTAAGCATAAGTCTATAAGTACACAGTCTTACATGTTGAAAAATGCATGAATAACGTTGTTATTCTAATGGTGGTTAAAAACATGAAAGATATTCCTGGAATGTGAAATATTTGATCACCTGCTTTTGTTTGAAATTTTTGCAACTTCCGGCTGTGTTTTCGGATGCTCACAAAAGAAATTGAAATAATTTAGGAAAGTAAAAGACCTACCAAACAAAATCGTTGTCCTTGTCTTCATATGAACTACTAACACCATTATATACTGGCGGTGGTTGATTTCTTTTACGCCTTTTTCCAGGAGCAATATTTCTTCCTGCCATCTTTCAAGATTTTTTTTATCTATTTGAAGGCTAAAGTTTCACTACTGTTCATTACATGTCTACGGGTATTCAACGTAATTGTTTTAGTTATATTGTAACCGGAGTATTCTCTGAGTAGTATGCACTTCATTTCAGTTGTTTACGTTCCCATCTTGTTGCTAAAAAGACAATATTATTGCTAGTGTACTAATGTTTACGTTCAAGTTCTGACCGCGGATGGCGCATGCGTCTTCCTCCCATAATGCAATACCGCAATGAACGAAATGGCAAGGAAGAGTGAAAGTGGATTTCAGGTACATTTTGTCGATTTACCATTGATTTGTCTCAGTTACACGAACATGTCTTTGACTGGGCAGCTTCACTAACAATATTTTCTAACAGACTCCAGTAATCTAGATTTGACTACATTTCTTGTATATAGAGAATACAATTTTCCGAATATTTTTGAAGCTGAAGAAAGACACTGACTGACAGTGACATCTAAATCCCCGGGGAATATTATTTTTGGTACTTATTTAGGTTGATGGTGGTATTTATCAATATGTGTATTTGTGTGATATGTCATCAAGTCATCAGGAGTGCGTCTTCATGATTCTCCATTTTGGTGCATATGGAATGTTGCTTTAGTGTGACAGAAAGGTGGCATTTAGTAGGGATGTCACAGTTTCCAGATATTGTCCGTCCTGTCCTTTGGGACTTTGGTCTCAGGACAGGACGAGATGGGACACCCCTATGAACCAAATGTTTTGGTTCATGCTCAGAATATTATAATCATCCTGTAAATGACCCTAAAACTTCCCAAATGCACGATAAATATGATAGAAGACTTACGATTTTTTACTGATATAACATACCATGCGTTTGCATGATTGACTGAACCTAAAATCGTTACTCTTACTGCATTATTATTACTTTACAGGTTCTTGCAAGACTTGGTGCTAGACCTGACATCAGTAGACTTGACACCATCTTGTTCCCCGATGGCCTATCTCAGAGACAAGTCATTGAATTGTTTGGAGGTGAGGGGACAGGTAAAACAGAGATGCTGATGTATTTAATAGTCCGTTGTATACTTCCAAAAACATGGAATGGACTGCACATAGGTGGACTAGGCATAGGTAGGGTGTATGTTTTCATAACTCATCTGAGACTCATGTAAATCCTTCTCAAATATAAAATAAGCACCTCACAGAAACGAACAATTTATAAGGGCACCCATCTCTTGGGATCTTCCATATTCTGTGAACATCATATAAGCATCTATCAAAGGTGAATTTAAATTAAATAAAACTATGCCAACTTGCCAAGGTGAATGTCTTATCTCATATGTATACAAAATTATACCAAAACAATAATCCTCATTTTTAGAGATAATTGTTCGTTTGATGAAATTCTAATATTTATTGATGTCATTCATTTTCAGGTGTGGTTTTCCTTGACACTGATTATCATTTCTCCATCCTGCGCCTGGCAACCATTTTAGAAACGCATCTTACCAAAGCTGTGCAGCAAAACAATGCTATGAAATGTGAAAATAACACTTTGAAAAATGATACCATCAAATTCAACACAAACCAAGAGAATGAGAACCTTCACGATGCCAATGGTGATAAAATTACTGGTATCACCAATCAAACTGGGTTGACGGAAGAACAGATTGAAACATTTGTTAAATCGTGCTTTCAACGGTTACATGTAATAAGATGTAATACTAGCACCCAGTTAGTGGTGACTGTACACTCACTTGAATCTCTACTCGGAAACCATCCAGATATTGGAGTTTTAATGCTCGATAGTGTTAGTGCATTTTATTGGATAGATCGAAATTCTGGTGGAGATAACGTCGCTACTCAAGAAAACAACCAGAGACATCTAGTGAGAGCTTTGGATAAACTAATCAATGAATATAATCTTGTTTTATTTGCAACTAAACAGATGATATTTGTGAAACGGCAAAAACAAGATCAGGATAATGATTCAACACCTGGTGGTTATCACACACCAAAAGGTGGCAGCACAAATTATGATGAAATTGATCATTGTGAGTTCATGTGTAAACAATGGCAGACATTGGTATCAGATCGTTGGATATTTTCACGCCATGAAATGAAACAAGTCCAGAAGATAAATTCTAGAAGTTATATATTTAGAGTCCTTCAGACTTCACGTGTAAAGCCAAAGGGTCATGTGACATTTGGAATTGACGATAGTGGAATTGTTGATATGCAAATAGTGACTTAATACTTTGCTCAAATTTAAAATTGGAATTAACAGTTTACAGATTTATATTCAGATTTGGAATCTCTTATAAACTTGAGATATACTTTGTTGTGCTCTAAAGTCTTCCAACTACATGTACCCTCATTAACTACATTGTACATGTTTCACTGAAATTAATATGAATGAACAAAAGAAATGATTATATAGTCTCACAAAATAAATATATTTCTTTATTATATTTTTGACATGTTTTACATTTTGATTTGAATTACATGTAATTTACATTAGAAGATGGCAATGAAAGTAAACCTGATTTTTCACATTAATTACATGTTCAAGCCAAATTTGAACAAAATTACAGCTACTGTCCCTTTAACGTGACAAAATGTCATCACTTGGTATCATACTGCAAATGGGTACACAATTGTAACAATTCTGTTACAGTTGCCAATTACATGAATTACCAATGGCCAAATGCTAGACACAAAAATGGACCTAACAACCTCTTGGTTAGGTTGGGATGTAAAAAATTAACTGAGACATGATATTACAAAAGATCTGGCCTGGAAATATGGTATAATAGGGAAGAAGTGATTTGATTATATATACTACTGCAATCAACAATTGCTAAGAGTGGCCCATTATCACTCTCATCTACTCTCATTTTCTTAATGAAGAAATCAAACCATGCATCAAGCCTCTCTGCTCCCTACCCCTATTCTTGATCCAATGTGACTGCTTCACTTGTTATTGCTACATGTAGTTATCCAATGGATACTACAGGGTGTCCAAAAAAAAACAGGACCGTAAGAAAATTAAATAACTCGGTCAATTTTGCATATTTTTCCTTGAGATTTCAGAATTATTTAGTCCATTCAATGTGAATTTTGTTATGAAAGTTTGATAATAATCTACCAATTGAGTCAAAAACTACAGCTCCTTACAAAACATGCCCCAAATGTGCAAATCTCATCTCTATGCACAATTCAATCCGGCAAACAAAGCTGTTGATGATCCTCCTACACACATGTCTTTCTGAATGGACAAGTTTGTTCCAAGAACAATTGCTACTGGGGCTTACATCTTCCTGATGAAGTGTTACATCATCCATTGCATTCTGAACAATGCACTCCCTGGGTGGTAATGAGGAAACATGGAATCATCAGTCCCTTTTGGTTCGAATGTGACTGGGGACTTGCTATCACCATGAACAAGGACCAGTAAGTTCTCACCAAGTTTTGGAGGTCACTAAGCACCGGAAGGGTCATTTAAGAAGATAATTAAGCAGTGGTTTCAACAAGCCAATCCCACCCCAACACTGCAAATGATATGCTGAAATGGTTTAGGCAATGCTTTGGTGGTCAGCTCATCAGTTGCAGAATGCAAACCATATGGGCAGCTCATTCAAAATCTAAATCCCCTAAGTTTTCATCTTTGAGGATTTCTCAAAGCCAATGTGTATACTGACAGGCCCCTAACAATCTTAAGAGGGCAATACCTACCCCAATGTTTACCATTCACATTAATGTGTATAGGTAAGGGTCATTAACAACTTTGTTCGTAGGATTCGTTTGTGCATAGAGAGAAGAAGTGCCCACTTTGAGCATGTTTTGTAAAGGACTGTATTTTTTGACACAATCAACAGATTATCATCAAAGTTTCAGAACAAAATTCACATTGAATGAACTAAATAATTCTCAAATTTCAAGGCAAAATATGCAAAATTGACCGAGTTATTCAACTTTCTTACGGTCCTGGTTTTTTTTGGACACCCTGTAAATGTGTATGGGGATAACAACACAAGATAATTATCGTACGTGGCACTAAATTCGTATCCGATCAATATTAGGTGATATCCAATTGTATCCAACAGATGCTATTTAAAAAACATACTGAAAAATATTGTGAAAAAAAGTCTTGAAAAATTTGAAAAGAAAAGAAAATAAAAATTGAAAAATAACTTTTGGAAATCAAATTTTGAACAAAAATTGTGATAATCACTTGGATATAGCCAATCTCCACTCATTTTCTGTGCTCACTCGTGTACATGTAGATGGGCGATATCCACCCATGGATAAAAATGGTATCCCTCAAAAATCATAGGATATTCTCTATAACTTGTGATATAATATGAACCAGGTTATTTGTTCACTGTAGAAAAATAACATTGTAACTGGTCCATAATATCATTTTGATCGCATGTTCCTTAAAGAATCAACAGATTAACAGGTAGGAAATATGAAAGAGGATACTTGATGCAGGGATGGAATCGTATCAGAGTGGGCATAAAAATCAATGAACCATATTATATAACACGTAATGACATTATAACATGTTATGACATTATAACGTGTTATGACATATTATAACATTTCATGACACATGTGATGACACACTTCATTGTGTGATGGCTCATTATAGTATGTAATGACAAGTTATAGAATGTGATTAACTCTGACACTTCAAATGGCACAAGGGGCACACTCTTATATCTCCCATCTCCATCCTAGCAGAACTACCAGTAGAAGCTACAATAAGTAGTCATGCCACAAAATCAGGCAAACTAAATTTGAAATAATTTCTAAAAATGTTTCCAGGCAGGTGTAGTACTGTATTATCTTAACAGCATGAATACATTGTATCTTTTAAAACACTTTTACATTGTTTTACCACTTAGAAGTTTATAGTACATCACTTGGATTATTACTGTCAAAAAATAAAATAACAAGTTTAATACAAAGTATATTTGTGTTTAATCATTTGAACTCAAATAAAGACTTCCCTATTTCTGTTTGTCTTTTTGGAAATCTGTGAAAATATATGTCTAAATCTGATACTGCTATCTGGTTATTTTACCACAATCATTTTTATTTATATTAATAATTTTAATAAATATAAGCATTTATATCGATCAACATTTACAAAATATACCCAATTTCTTGCACATAATCATAATAATAACATACTTTATAAACTACTAGCAAAATATAAACTATGAATATCACATTTAATATTATATGATATAACAATTGAATAAGTAAATAAATGTATTAATAAAGAGATTTCACAACTCACTTATAGCATGTTCATTATTCCCGTGTAACTTATGTAGCGTTTGATTACGTCATCATTTATTGCGCAGCACTATATGTCCATAAGTGTGATATTATTAATCATTGTCTATACATAAGAATATCACACTCATGAACGTATAGAGCTGCGCAATAAATGATGACATGATCAAACACTTAATTAGTTATATGTTATACAGGAATAATATACATGCTATAAGTGAGTTGCAAAATCTCTCTTATATTTTTTAATATATGGACATTCCACCACCATGACTGTACAATGGGTATTTACACAAAATATATTTATCCATTGACTCCAATGCTATCTGATTAGTCTACCCGTACTGGACAATATGTGTTCACATTGTACAATATAAAACCTGTATATGTGAACATCTCTCTCTAAAGTGAATACATTAAATATGAACAATACATTTCCATTTTTGTCACTTTGTTTCAATTTGAATTTAGATTATATCAGTTGGAAATGATTTCTATGTGAAAATATATTAATGAGAATACAGTTTAGCTCTCTAAAGCAGAATTCACTTTAGACAGGTTTTACTGTACATTAACTTGTTTTCCACACTCTCAATTTCAGCATTATAATATGATAAAAAGAATGCATTTTGATTTTGTGAAAACAAATCAAAACTGACCACGTATGTTAACATACATTTTGACTCAATCATTGCACTTCTAATTACACTGTACGTTCCCTTCCAAAAGTTAGGCAACTGGAATTCCCCATTGGATGGCATGTTAAAGTCAATTACAATAGGTTCAAATACACTTTTGAATTTGTTAAATCACCAACCATGACCAGATCTAATGTGATACAAGGTGGAATTTCTGTTGCCAAACTTTTACAGGGGAGTGAAAATCAAAACCCAATATAAATACATAACAAAAAGCTGTTCTTCATGACAGCATATTTAATATAATCATTGTGTCCCATTAAGGTGGGCCATGTGCAATGTAATGAGTTGATTCTTTGACTTGTATACATGACAGCAGTGTCGCAAGCATCCATGTAAAAGGTTCAAGATAAGAGAAAGGATCAAAAACAGTTATAATCATAATTAAAATCAAAAAGTTTAATTGCAAGTTTTAAAACGAATCAAAGCTGCATTGTGAAACTGAAATTCACAAATCATGAAGTAAAAAGTTTATTACATATTATGCATTTTACTTTGAATAACTTAAACTTTAAAGCTAAATGTCACATACTATGTATAAATTGATTCAGTTGTTGATTTTAACCTAACAGGTTTTACTGTACAGTTTTTCAGCACAAGGAATATTACCCTTAAGACTAAATCAGTTCTCCATATTAAAAAAAATATATACAGTATATCTGATAATTTTAAATGCATCAAACATTTTCTGGAATATTTCCTTAAAAATGTAAATGGCAACGGCATTAATAAATAGAGTTCACCATTCATGCTCTAATAACAAAATAATGGATAATGAAAAAGCACTCATTGCCTTTCAAGGAATGCAAAAATTCTTCAATTACTCATGTTCCCTTACAGGGTGATCATAAATTACAGGTACATTTATTGTAACACCCTTTTCTCAAACCAGTCATCTAGACATAATGACCCCCATTGTTTTACATATAAAACAGAGTCCTACTTAGTACCCTATATGATAATAGTCTTTGGTGACAACAAGTTAAATTGCAACAATTACGTAGCTGTATCAACATATAACTTGAGAGTTAGTAATATACTTCCTTGTCTCCCCCAGGAGAACTGTTATCTCCAGCAGGAGATCCTAACTGTGTTCAGCTGTTGAATCAAAGTTATTTCTGCATGGTGTCCAACCTGATTATCTATAATCAATACTATTGATAGAAATCATGACAGAATCATAAATAGCTGTTTAGGACTTGTGTTCCAAAAGACAACCCTTATCTCTGTAAAAGATGCTATTGACTGTTCATCCATTATCAGTGCTGCTTTTGAAAAAATTGGTTAATTTTGTGATAGACTTAACACTGTCAATGCTCTCGTTACTTTTCATAGAGGAACTGCTGGAGAATCTGTGACGTGTACGTGAGGACGCATTTATCGGCTCATGTGTATCGGGGGAAATCTCAACTATTGGTTCATTTGTCCATAACTTCTGAAAAATATATTTCATGTGCATCAGTTGATATTTTACTGAATGAGTATTCTCAAATTTTAGCTTGGATTTAATTTTACTGGAGATACATCTTCTTTCCAATTGGCAATAATGTACCTACAGTAAGTTCTTTTTCCTTACATATAACCTAGTTATATTTATATTTTCAATGAATTATTTTGTCACTTTGACAACCATTCACCAAATGACCTTGGGTGGTTAGTTAGTTATATAATGCAGTGCAGTTATATGAAATGCAGTGTTTTGATTGGCTGAAATCGGACACAACTTGCCTAGCTATTTAAATATTTAGTCTCTAATTGAATATTTTGTACCTCATTTGGTTCTCTGGTCCATTTTAAAATTGATTCATCATCACCATAGCAACCAGCACAACTCACTATGATTGGTTCCTCCTTACATCTAGAACAAACATTAATTCATTACCATAGCAACTAGATGGGACACATATACAGATTATAAAAACAAGGAGGATTGGCTCCCAGGGTTCCAACTCAATTTTCTGCCATTTGGTGTTGTCGCGATTATAAAATTCGAACTCAAACAGCCACCATTTTTGTTCACTTCAGAACTGGAATAGCGAGATTTGGGCTTTTTCGAAAAAATTTCAGAACACACAAGAAGTGATTGAGATATTGATTCAAATCTTTTGGATTGTTGATTATGAATTTATAGTCAGCTATAATGTCAGAAAATAACAACATTCTGACATTTTCATTGTTGGAAAATATCTAATTGCGTTCCTGGGAGCCAATCCTCCTTGGATTAAGAAGAAATATAGTAAGAACATAAATAATCTCAATTAAACACCATGGCAACCATTACATCTTAGTATGGTCAACTCTTTCTTTCATTGAAACAAAAAGAATGATAAATCATATTCAAGGATATGGAAAACTTTATTCCCATAACTGTGAAGAGTCCCCTCCACTAAAGAAAGAAGATTGCTTAGTTTTTGAGAAAAAAGTTGTGAATTATTTACCCTTCTAAAAGTGCATTTTCAAATAAAATGCATATATTCAACTCACTTTGTTTCTATAAGGCATCTGATTGGCTTATCAGTGATTTTGACTTTTGCCTGGAGTTGCATCTCATAAACATAGAGGGCGTCCGTTCCACCCATTGATGGACTCATAAGACTCCCGACAGAAGCTGCACTCTGAATTCTTCCCCTCCCCTCAAGATTAAGTGCCATGTTAAGATCTCGATCTAGCTCATGTGTCGATGAATCATAGGGGGATGTTGATAAGGTTAATTCATCGTAACTGGACCATGAGACATTGCTCTGAATATTTTCTGCACTGGAACATTTTTGAATGCTCTCATTGGTCAGTTTATCATCAAGTGTGGGTGGTTTGCTGTGCATGTGATTGGCCATTGTTATGGAATGGGAAGACGTGTCAGTTATTGTAATATCAACAGGTTGTGATGTGGATGATAAACAAGGACTAGAATCTCTATGAGGACTTAAACTTCTGGGACTTTTATTATTGGAACATTGGGCACTTCCCGATTCACATTTTTCCTTTTCCCCAAATGGAAACATTTCAACAGCCTCAGAAATCGGACTTAACTTTTGCCGATACTCCTGAGTGACATCTAATGATGGCTGACTAGTATGCACAAAGTTCTGTTGATGATCAACAGGACTTGGCTCAATGTCTTCAAAGACTGCTTCATGAGTCTCAGATATTGGGCTCAGAGTCTGTTCAAAGCCACTATCTTGAGTAATAGACCCATCAGTAGGCAAAGGTTCAGGTATTATCTTAACCGAGGGTACTGTATTCTGCTTGCTCATTGCTTTTGCTTTAAGTTTTACTTTGGTATCATAATCATTAGGTTCTATTTTAGCATCATCACTTGTTTTAGTGGTAGTATCGTTATCAGGTTTTAAATCATCAAATACCTCTGTCCCAGTTGTGGAAGTTGAAGTTTTGCGATCAGAATATTCAGAATCAATGCCAGATTCTGATTTGTTATGAGTCTTAGCAGTGTCAATTTGTGACTCATTATTTTCTTGTGACATAGCATTTTCCATTTGTGACACACCATTATCTGTTTGTGACATAGATATTTCTAATTTTGTTTTATTTTCCTCCATTTCCTGAGATTGCTGAAGCTCAATTTTAGCTGCAAGTAGTTGTTGAGATTCAAATTGTGGTTCACAACTGTTGACAGGGATATCACTCGCTAGATTATTCTCAATATATTCTAATGATTTCGCAACCCAGATCTCTGTATTATTGTTCACCGAATCTTTTTTCCTCAGACTCTTCTTCAGACTATGGAATGCATCAGTTTCCTGAGTTTTAGCTTCTTCTGTTGCATTTTGGGGATCAGTGACCTCCTCTGTTGTAGATGTTGGTGGGGGAGAATCCATCTTAATTATGTCATCTGTTATGCTCACTGAATCTGATGAGATATTATTTTGTTTAGATACTGATTCATTCGTGAGTTTTTGCTCTTGATTACCATGGGAATCATGTTGATTCTTTGCACTGTCATGAATGCTGAAATTTTTATTATTTTCTAAGGCCTCTTGCCCATTTTTGGCACTTTTGTTTGGAAGCACAGTTGCAGGTGACATTACCCTTGGCGTGCAATCGCTCTCAAAACTCTCAGCATTGGAAATTGATGACATCATTGATGATGTCATAATGGCAGTAGGTGACATCACCCTTGGTGTATTATCACCCTCTGTATTTTCCCCGCTGATATTTTTTAATGTTTCAACAGAAGTACTGGATTTCTCATCTCCAGGGGACTCTATTTTCTTTGAATCTATCGGAAGACTTCTCTTTTTCTCTTCGTTAACTTCAACATTTTCAATTCCTTCTATCGAGAAAACTGGTTTCTGCTCTTGAAGTCTTTGGAAATAGAGCTCGTGGATTTTTTCCTCGATTTTGTCCATGGATGCAATTTTCTTGAGATGCTGATCCCCGTGTGGAGTTGGAGAGCTGGACAGACTGCCATTGGAAGATGACAGCCGTGTGGATAACCTGGAAATGAAACATCAAGGATCTTTATTTCACTTACATATCTCATTAAACTCTGACTGGTATAAAAATATTGATTGAAACTCAAACTGAAAATGTTCTCATTCATATCTAAAATGTCTCTAAAATATGACTGAACAATCCGATTCCTTCTTTGATATTCCAATACAATACAATAAAACAAGGCATTAACATGACAAAATGTCACCACCTAGTTAGGTCATTGAAGGTCAAATGTCAAATCTTAAGTCAAATCTAAAGTCAGATTTGAACTTCTGAGAACACGTAGATGATTTTGAAAATTTTTTTTAGTCAATTTGAAGCAAGTTGAAAAAAGACCTTTTTGACCTTGAGAAGGTCATTGAAGGTCAAATGTCAAATCTAAAGTCAGATTTGAACTTCTGAGAACTTGTAAAGTCAAATTTGAACTTCTGAAAAGATGTAGATGATTTTGAAAAAAAAATTTGGTCAATTTGAAGCAAGTTGAAAACAGACCTTTTTGACCTTTTTTGACCTTGAGAAGGTCATTAAAGGTCAAATGTCAAATCTAAAGTCAGATTTGAATTTCTGAGAACATGTAGATGATTTAGAAAAAAAAAATTAGTGAATTTGAAGCAAGTTGAAAAAATACCTTTTTGACCTTTTTGACCTTGAGAAGGTCATTGAAGGTCAAATGTCAAATCTAAAGTCAAATCTAAAGTCATATTTGAATTTCTGAGAACATGTAGATGATTTTGAAAAAAAATTTAGTCAATTTGAAGCAAGATGAAAAAATACCTTTTTGACCTTTTTCTGACATTGAGAAGGTCATTGAAGGTCAAATGTCAAATCTAAAGTCAGATTTGAATTTCTGAGAACATGTAGATGATTTTGAAAAAAAAATTTAGTCAATTTGAAGCAGGTTGAAAAAAGACCTTTTTGACCTTTTTTGACTTTGAGAAGGTCATTGAAGGTCAAATGTCAAATCTAAAGTCAAATCTAAAGTCAGATTTGAATTTCTGAGAACACGATAGATGATTTTGAAAAAAAAATTAGTCAATTTGAAGCAAGTTGAAAACAGACCCTTTTTGACCTTTTTTGACCTTGAGAAGGTCATTGAAGGTCAAATGTCAAATCTAAAGTCAGATTTGAAGGTCAAATGTCAAATCTAAAGTCAAATCTAAAGTCAGATTTGAATTTCTGAGAACATGTAGATGATTTTGAAAAAAATTTTAGTCAATGTGAAGCAAGTTGAAAAAAGACCTTTTTGACCTTGAGAAGGTCATTGAAGGTCAAATGTCTAATCTAAAGTCAGATTTGAACTTCTGAGAACATGTAGATGATTTAGAAAAAAATTGAAGTCAGTCTAAACAGTATTTGTTAAGTTATAGGAAGTTGTAAGAAATTGTTACAGACGCCGGACGCCGGACGCCAACCACCAACCACCAACCGCCGTCGCAAAAAAACGGAGACCATAACAATATGTCACCACTTTTGGTGGTGACATAATAATGAGTATTGACAGAATGCCTGTTTATTTATTTCTTGATAATGACACAGCACTACACAATATTTTGCATTTCAAAACATAACTACCATTATTTTTCCAATAAGCAAGTCATGAACCTTCCCATATGTCCCAACACCCACACACTTTGTATAAATGAAGTAAAACATGTACTGCAGAACCAAACCTCAGGAAAATTGTAAATATGTGTGCCATGATCAAACTAACTGTGGCAAATGGACAAGTCTTATATTTTCAACAGAATATATTAGCTAGGTTATATAATTGGAACTACCTGCTGGCCGCTGCAGATGGTTTATCCAGGATGTCATATATCAGGACATTGCCCTCACCCGTCCCTATCCATATAGAATTCTGGTAGGGTAACAGAGCAGTGATCCGGGCCTTGTTCAGGTAACCCTCATCCTCCTAAACATACAATAAATTCCTAAATACAAAAAAAAACTGTATATAGTGAACACCTGAAGAAAAGTGTTCACTGTCGGTAGGTGTTCACTACAGAGAGGGGATTTTATACCAGAGTCAAGTGCTGTTCACTATACACAGGTGTTCACTAGAGGGAGATGTTCACTAAGACAGGTTTTACTGTATGTGATTTATGACAATATGATTTGGTGAATCGGAATTTGAAATTTTATATTTACCCTCCCTTTCAAATTTAGAAAGAGAGGGAGTTATCTTTTTTCATTTTTACAAACCTTTCTAAGATTTGGATATTTGTTCTCTCTGACATCATACAACAGTTTGCACGTCAATAGCTTCTGGTCCCACAATTCAATAACTGAAGACCCCTTAACAGATATCCAAACTCCATATGGTGCATGGGCTAGTGTTAGGACATGGTCAAACAGATTTGGAGAGATCACGAAACTGTCCATGTTGTCAAGGGTCCTAAAATAAATCAAGAAAATAAAGCAATCATTGTTGGTGGAGTTACAACAGATGTTTACCCTGTGGTGTCTCACAAACTTTATTTATATGAGGTGGGTGGTTTTAAATCCTCAGCTACCATCAATATGCATGGTCTAAAATATATATATGATTCTCAAACTAGATTTCCTTCAATTCTACTTAATCTTGTACATTTAGGATGGAGATCATCTCAGATTTAAGGTGACTAATTTGTTATTTGAAACAAATCTTCAACAAATGTTCAGACAAATCTGTTACATTTTTTCTTCTATTAATTAGAGGCGTCACCTTGCATGTAGAATATGAACTGAATTCCCGCAAGCACACCAGAGTTGCTGTTCTATAATGACTAGTGATGTCACAGGTGATCGACCAATAGGAATGTAGAAAATATTATGGTCAGGTTCCTTCTCACTCACATCCTGAAAATCATTTCATTTTATTAAAACATTTCATTTAAAATGGGCTCAATATTGATAAGGAATATTACACATATATATGAGAGCTCTTAAATGGAAGTGCTAAATCCAATTTAAAAAAGACTCCCTCAATAGAAGCTAATGATCTAGTTTGACCAAAACATATTATACAAAAATCCATATGATATGATGATTTCTATAAACAGTATGCCAGTCCAGGGGTTAAAATAGATGAGTCAAATTCAGGCCAGTAATTAAACATTATTCCCTTTGAGTCTATTGGACAATTTCCATTTTTATTTGACAAATGATGTTAGTGAATATTTTTCTGTCAAATTTTGCCCATTTGCAGGCTGCCCCATTGCTTTGTTATACCCTTGTATAGAATATCATTCTATTAAGCCCTCTCTAATCAATTACTTCACATACCTCAATCACGCAGACAGTTCCGTCTGCTAATGCTGCAAACACCTTGTTTGAGTTGATGTCCTCCAGATGGCAGCACAAACCAAGAACCGCATCATGCAAGCGTATCCTCCACATTTCTTCCCTGAAAATATTATATTTTCTTAGTTCTTGTATTGTCTTAAAACATAAAATAAAACAATGACTGTATTAACATAGCACTTAGAGTGTTGTTTCATATACATTATACAGTGTATTATGTATCATATACATTGTATTTTGTCAATTTTCATCTGATTCCTCATAGAGTAATCATTTTAGGGAAATGACCAAATTTTTGCAGGTGTCAAACCAATGACCACTCTGACTAGATGTGTCATTTCCACATAAGTTTTTAAGTAGACATGATCCTTTTAAGTCCTACCTTGTTAATATGCTGAATGCATAGAGGTTCCAAGAAAGAGTGCCGATAATGACAACTTCGTCATTTAGTGCAACGATGCACATCACACGTGAATCAAACTATAAACAAAACAGGGTTGATATTTTAAAACAAATAATGAACTGAAAAATTGCAAACTTATTTAAATAAATTCAAAGGTGTTCCAACCATTCCCTCAAAAAAGATTTTCAGAAAGGCCACACAAATATATCATATTTCACATTCAATTATAATGTATTCACCTCTATTCCTAGGTCAATCATGACAGCCTCATCACATGACACGCCCCAGAGCTTTGCAGAGTTCTGTTCAGCATGGCACACCCACAGGTTTCCATTAGCCAGCAATGTCGCACACTCAATCACCAGAGCATTGCTGGGCATAAGTTCTAAGTCCCTGAACTGGAATAAGGAAGAACAAAGGGCAACATTTAATAGCAAGGCTTGGATTTATCTACTTGTTTTTGTCAGAATGCCTTTAATACAGAATAACTATTCTTTAATTCCATAAAATAATATTGTTTTTCAAGAACAGATGCAAATTGATCCAAGGAGACATTATCAGCATGATTACTTATTAATGGCTTTTAATTTTCAAATATCATGGCAAGTGTAAAGAAACATATGTGAGACATCTCAATAATACATATGAAAATACATGTACAATAGTACATGTAATTACCATTTGTTCTCTTTCTGCGTAGACTCTCCTCTCCTGCTCCCTCTTGCGAACCTTCTCCTTCAGGGCATTCATGTAACATGTCTGTTTGGAGGAGATCTCATTCCTGTGGGGAAATGGTTTCAGGTCCTCAAATGCAATCTAAATAAAACATAGACATCCTATAGTTTCAAATCAAAATATTGATATCAAACAAATATCATAACATTTTTTGATTAAATACCCTAGCTCATAAAATATCAATGAATACTTCAAAAAACTAATGATGAGAAGAATTTGAAGGTGTTACATAAAAAATGGCCATTTAACTCCCTCTTACCAAGCATGATATAACATGGTATGAGATGATGATTGATGATTTGACACAACCTCTTATCTAGTCTAAAACATGTTTAAAATTCCAATATCATAATTCATTAAAATTGGATCTCCAATCTAGTCAGTAGCCAATTTTCCCATGATTTACCAAAATGTTGACATCTTGAAAATAAAACATTTAAAAAATATAATTTATTTTGCTGAAATTCAATGCTCACTGAGTTTTATCAAAAAGTGCACTATTTACCTTCATCAAACCTTCCACATCGAAAGTTAGTTTTGCACATGACTTTAGATGGCGCATGATGCTAATGGTGTCCTTCTTATACAGTATACTCTGTTGATGCATACGTAACATTGCCAGGGAGAATCTGAACAAAACTTTGGGACCTTCCAGTAGAAAACAGTCCCAGATCCTCAACAGAGTCTGCAAATACAGGATGTCCACAGGTTTGAAAAACACAAGTGGCAACATTCAAAAGTGCTGGCACAATTACCTACAAATCATAGGAGTTCAAAATTTACCCTATGTCAGTGGTCATGTAACAGATGTTACATTCTCATTCAAAATGAGGGATGGCAAATGTCAATTTCTATTTTTAGTTTTCATTGAATTAAACCACTTTGCTGTAGATATTTAGTTTTGAGATTTCGACAACAGCAAGCTTGTATAAATTGTGAACTCTGTAAAATTGATATATTGTTCCTATAAATCATCCGGATGCCACAATCCAACAATGTCTTCTTCCACCTAGGGCATGGAAATATGTATACTGTACATCAAAATTGATAACCATCACTCTCTGAAAGTTCCAAAACATTGTCTTCACAGCACTTAATAATTAGACCTGAAAATAGAGGTTGTTCAATGTAAGTAAAGCTACTGTAATTTGCTCCAAAACTTTTCTTTTGCAATATCAACAGCCCAAATTTGCATTGGAGAAGCATGATGCATTTCACAAACCATCCTGGAAAAAGGAAGTGATCAGAAATCCTGTAGCACCCCTTATAGATAATGTTTTAAAACTTATTTGAGAATGGGTGGAATAGGTATGAGAGATCTTAATTTTCAGTTACCGGTATTCTGTTTATTTGACTGAAAGAAGATGACTATAAGATTAGTATATTCGCAAGTAAGTGAGTAAATATATACATGTACATTGTATATTACTTATCAGTTAAATTCAATTATAATTAGGACTGTAATTTAATAATTTATTAATGGTATCATGATGGTATGTTTTATTATATTGTATTGATAAAACGAATGTTGACAGTTCAATGTATGCTGTCGAAGTACTTTGGACTGGGAGGCCACAGTTATCTTGAGTATCAACTGCAGTTGTCCCACGACTCCCTCGTCATTGGAGTGTTGAGAATGGCATTTCAACTTATAAAATCAAACATGAACATATGAGCGATAGATGCATACCATGATACTTTAGGTACTTCATACACATCTACTGTACTGAATAGAAAATGGATAAATTAAACATTGTAATGAACTCCATTATCTTTACCCAAGATATAAACAATTCTACAAAAACTGAGGATGTATTTGGTGATAAACTGCACAATTTTGTTAAGCAAGACCAAGGAAAGGTTATCTTTTCAGGAAGCCTTGCTGAGGGAATAGCATTTATGCAAGATGAGCCCCTTGATATAGAAATCAATTATGATGGACTTAATCGCAGAAGAACATTTGACATGGACATTATGTATGAGGACATGACATATGTTGTTCTGGATGATATTATGATCGGTAAACCTAAGGAGTCTTTTCGTGATATAGGCTTGGTGCCACTATTTTTCAGACAAAAATCTCAAGAAAACCTAATGATCGTATACATCAATATGGCTGTATCCCAGAAAATATTTTTTAAGATCACAAATGGTAAAATGAAATTTGATGGGCAAAAGCTTATTGAATTCCAAAAGTTGGAACCATTTGACTTTACAAGATCGACAGAAAATCTTATGGCAGTCCCCAAGAATTCCCATTATTATTTGGCAAAATTTTTGGAGAAACTTTCCGTGATTCCTGAAAAATGTTTTTGCCACTTTGAGCATGGACATAATCGTTATGGCGATCTTTGCCGTTGTTGCAAAAATAACAGTGATGTAAAGTTTTCAGAGAATGACATTACAACCCGTTGTTGGACAGATCAGAGACGTATACACGGACCTGCTGTAAATGAAGCTGTATTTATTGAGAATAATTTGGAAACTAATAAATCTAAGAATGCCCATGGGCTTTACACAACTCTAGGAAAAGCATCCGTTTACATTGATCATGTGCCAGCAATTTCTGTCTATCTATGGCCAGTGGATGGATTAGAATTTTTTTTCCGTAAAACATCGAGCGGATGGCCATGTAAGAAACTATTACAAAAGATTGTTTCATCTGGATGTCATGTGGTTCCTCGAGGATCTCTTCCTGTACCCGAAACCAAATTCAAAATGTATTTGTCTATGTTTCATAGAGCATCAGGATGTGTTGAGTGGAGCTGGTCATTTTCAGTAGCCGAGAAACAGCTTGTATGGAGCTTAAATAGAACACAAATAAGATGCTTTCTTTTCCTGAAATATTTGTACAAGTATTCAGAAAAATGTTATTCAGTTATGAAGGACTTAGAATACAAGGATGCATTGGAGTCATTTCACATGAAATGTACCATGTTTTGGCTTTGTGAAGAAGTAGAACAATCTGAATGGATGAGAGAGAATGAAGCGAAGTGTTTTATGAAACTTATAGACAAGCTGTTAGGGTATCTCAAGAATGGGGTCCTGCCTCATTACTTCATACAAGAACATAATGTGCTACATGATATGTCTGCTGTAGGGAGGGAGATAAATATCAAAGCATTGACGTCTATCAAGGAATCTACATGTGCTGTGCTCTGTTATGCATTCCACCACAGATACACAGACATGCTTTATCAACAGTGGCCCCATCTATGGATCAGTCTACGTGACAATGTATTAAAAACTGTCTTAAACAAGTCCAGTACAATATGTGAAGACAGGCCCGTAAGACACTTTTTTCCAAGGGGGGTGCGGTTTTTAGCTTACTAAAGAGAATATAAAATTGTCATTTTTTTGCCGCGTAATCAAATCGCGTAAGACAGAGGGGGGGGGGGTCAGTTACTCCCTATATTGGTTTGGAATTAACAAATGCAACTTCCAAACGTTCCAATTGTTTCGTGGGGGGTATGAGGAGTGGTCCACTCCCCCTAGAAAATTTTACAGTTTTGAGATGCTATTTGGTGCTTTCTGGGCACTTTCAATGTGTAAGTTTCTAAGTAGTACGCCACCACCACGGGAATAAGAGTTGAGTGAATAAAAAACTGAGCATTCAGGGCCTAGGGGGTCTGGGGGTTCTCCCCCCAGGAAAATTTTGAAATTTGGTTGTATTTGGAGCGAATTTGCAACCATCTGGTACGCCTGTGCGATATGAGTCAATAAGAAAAATGTGAATTTTTTTTTCAAATTCTTTTAGGGGTGTCAAAGAGGATGAGAGGGTGAAGTGGGGTGGGGTGCCAGTAGGGGCGCAAGGGGTTGTCCCCCAGAAACATTGACCATATCAAGGTGTTATTTGATGATGTCTGGGCACTTAAAAAATGTCTGAGACAATACATGAAATTCAGAATATTTTCTTTTGTTTTGTGGGGGATGTGAGGGGTGGCTAACTCTCCTAGAAAATTTTACAATTTAAAGATGGTATTTGGTGCTTTTGGGCACTTTTAAAGTGTATTAGTCAATAAAAACATTGAAAAACAATCACAATTTTTTTCAAATTTTGGGGGTGTCAAAGGGGGGAGGGGTGCCAGAGGGGGAGGTGGGGCTGGGGTGCCAGAGGGGGAGCAAGTGTTTGTCCCCAATATCAAAATTTACAATATCAAGGTGCTAATCGATGAAGTTTGGGCACTTTAAAAGTGTCTGTGCCTAAAAGTGCCTATTTCCCAAGAAAATTTTACAATTTTAAGATGCTATTTGGTGCTTTCTGGGCACTTTTTGGGGTGTTAAGGGGGGGGGGGGGCTGCCAGAGGGGGAGGTGGAGTGGGGATGCCAGAGGACGAGTAAGTGTTAGTCTTCCAGAATCATTAACTTTATCAAGGATCGAGCTATTTGATGATGTCTGGGCAATTTAAAAGTGTCTGAGACAAAACACTAAAATAAATTTAGAACTTTCAATTGTTTTGTTTGGGGTGTGAGGGGTGGCCCACTCCCCCTAGAAAATTTTACAATTTTACGACGCTTTTTGGTGCTTTCTGGGCACTTTCAAAGTGTATGAGTCAATTAAAGAATTTGAGAAAATCACAATTTTTTTTTTGGGGGGGGGTCAAGGGGGGGGGGGGGCGCCAGAGGGGGGGGGGGCGCCAGAGTGGGGGGGGGCAAGTGCAAGATGCAAGAGGGGGAGCAAGTCCCCCAGAAACACTAACTATATCAAGGAGCTATTTGATGATGTCTGGGCACTTTAAAAGTGTCTGAGACAAAACACTAAAATAAAAGAACTTTCCATTGTTTTGTGGGGGGTGTGAGGGGTGGCCAATACCCCTAGAAAATTTTTCAATTTAAGATGCTATTTGGTGCTTTCTGGGTACTTTCAAAGTGTATGAGTCAATGAAAAAAAAATTACAAAAAAATATTTTTCAAAAAAAACATTTTTTTCAAATTTTTTTTTGTGGGGTGACAAAGGGGGGTGCGGTCGCACCCATCGCACCCCCCCATCTGACGGCCCTGGAAGAGGGCCCAGTCAAAGTTGCTGAACATTACCGCATCATGGCAACTTTCTTAACAAATCACAGTGACTTCTATGGCCGCGGAAGGAATCGTGAACTAGCTGTGTGGTATACAGTACAATACAACAAGATAATGAGAAAACTCACAGCAAACGCACTCATCAATGTACCGATGAGTGTATCCATTGTTGCTATGAGAGATCACTTCAAGGATATGATCACCTGTCACAATGAACTGAGAACAATGACTCAGTCCTTCTATGGCAAGAGCAAATCCAGACAGTTAAAACTATGGAACAAAGTCATGTTTGATAGAATTCCTGAACCCAAAATACCAGAGCAAGCTGAATCAAAGGCCTTTGGTATTCTCAGGAGTTTATGGTGCCACATGACAAAATACAATGTACAAGTACTGTTCATGATCATACTTAGTTATATAATTGTTGTATTTTCACCATGTGTGTATTACATGCTCAACAATTTCTAAAAAAACAATAAACCCATTTCGGGGGCCATGAGCCTGGGCCAGCTCCCGACTAGCATTGACTATAGCTAAAAGTTTAGAAAATTATTATCAAACAATAATCTCTGGCTATTTAAAGACATTAAAGTAAGTGTGACCAGAAAAAATGTATCTGGTTGATATTAAAAAATTGTGTTGATAATGCCTTGACAGTAGAGTACATGTGCTCATACAGGGAAAATGACTTTCATGAGATGTGTCCAAATTTTTAAATCAGTGTAGCTATGTCCGCTATATACATCTATGCTAAGTTGAAAATGTTAATTGGGGCAGATTGTGCAAAATATCCTGTAGAAGATATGTTACGATATTAAAAAAAACTTTAAACCTAAAAGATATATAATTTAATCAAGGGTTCCAATATGCTTGATCACCCAGTATTTTAATATGTATTTCCCATACCATGGGCTTTAATTGAATAAAGCCATGTCCATACTAATGTTAAAAAAAATTATCATTTTATGGCATCTAGACTACAGAAGTTTGTTAAAATCTTACAAACAAAACATTATATACATTTTTTTGACACAAATATGTATCTATATTTAAGAGAATGGAAAAATATAACTTTGAAAATACAAATGTATTATTTTGTACTTAATACAATGAATTTCTATCCATGCTTATATTCAAAGTTATATGGATGTTTATAAATACAAATTGCATTCTAAACATGGTCTGTTCATAGACATAGAGTCTAACTATAAATCTGTGAGACAATATGAAGTAATTCCTTAATTAATTAAGATAATACCTTTGAAAGTGAGATTAAAGAAACCATAGAGGTATTGAAAGTTAATCCTAGATGACAAGAGTTTAATTCAATATAGTCAGCTAATTTTATGGTTGTAACCTAATTAACATATGTTAATTGGCCGAAGCCAGGGGGGTCAATGAGTCAAAAATTCTTTCAAAATCATGCACTATTTGTCACCATTCTGAGCATTTTTTTAAATTGATTTTGGCCATTTTTGGACCAAAATTGTCAAAAGTCAACCCCGGGGGTTCACTCCAATATACCTCTCAATACCTATATGCCGCACCAAAGACCCCTCTTTTGAGCATTTTTTCCATGTCAATTTCCTCTCAAGATTGAAAGTTTCCAAGTATACTTCCTCTCGGACTTGTAAAAGGGAGTAAATTTCCTGAAATATTGGTGTATAATTATAAAATCCACTTTTTAGGTGATTTATCCCAGACCTCGCCAACTGATTTTACCAATTTATTACCATTATTTGTAGAAAAGCTGATTTTTTTACTTAAAAAGGCTCTCTCTTCGACAAATTTTCCATGTTTTTTTCCTCTCAGATTGGCAAGCTTCCATGGTTTATGCCCTAAGCCAAAATTGCCCCTGCTGCACATGCCTACCCAAATTTTTTAGAGTGAACCCCCCAGGAAGTCAACCCCCCTATTAAAAAGTAACCCCACTTGGCAAAAGCTGGCTATGGGCCTGAGGGTCATGCAAAAAATGAAACCCTTTTTTAAAAATGTAAGCATTTTCTTCCATCTCAATGTGTTCAATAAGTGAAACATTCGTGTATGTATATACAGGGTGGGCCATAAAAATGACATTTAGCTCATTTACACCCTTTAAACTAGAATATATGTAAGTGTCCCATTTCTATTGGCTCACCCTGTATATGAAGCATCGACAACTTGAGAGAAACCATGATTTCCTCCTAGGTCTCTCATGCTAAATCAGACAGTTGCATGCGATGTTTGTGTCACCCTGTATTTCTACTAAGAGAGGTATCATTAACTGGTGATATAAAGTGATTGCCTCTGCTTTGTTGTTTTCTCAAAAACTCTCTAGTTTTGAGGATGTGGGTCAATTAAGTCTTCATTTTTAGAGTATTGCCTCTTGACTCTCTTGAACTAATTTGGAAATGTAAAATGTAAAAATGGGTCACAGTTTTTATCTTTGGGAACATGCAGTTTGTTAACTACTTGAGTCTTTATCAGATTGTTGCCTTAGACACTGCATCCTCTTATAATAATTGAGCTGATTTCCTACAACACTTACTTACTTTCAAGAATATATTAATGAACAAAAACTGCATTTTTGGATCTGGCCATCATCTGGGACATCCAAAGAAATTTTTCTATACTATTGCTCTTCAATCTTTTCCAAAACTAATCCTTCTAAGACCTCGTTTTGATGCCTTGTTGTTCAGATTTGTCGTGTATATTTCAAATGAATGAAATTCAGAATTTGGACTAGAAAATAGTAAGGATGAAACCATTCAGTTGGCTCACAGTCACATGGTGATTCCTTATTATATGCCAACTCCTTCATACACCCATTACCAACAATTTGGTATGCATGATTTGATTTTTGTCATTTATCATCATATCTTTGTGGTCATTCTCAAAAATAAGTCAGGCTGCAAAAGAAGGTCCCAGTGAAAGTTTGTTGAAATTCCAAAAATAAGTCAAATCTCAAGTATAGCCTGGATTATATCATGCATGGATCAGTGGCTTCATCAAAAGGTAACATCCTCTGAACATCTCATGTTCTAGACTTACATGAGGACAGATCTCTTTAAGCCATGAAAATGCTGAACAATTTTGATATGACACCACCTTTATAAGACATATTACCTGCTCATAATAAGACTTGACACTGCTTCATTATATGGCACGACACTGCCTCATAATATGACACGACACTGCCTCATAATATGACATGAAACTGCCTCATTATATGACATAACACAATCTCATAATATGACATGAAACTGCCTCATAATATGACATGACACAATCTCATATTATGACATGAAACTGCCTCATAATATGACATGACACAGTTTCATAATATGACTGGAAACTGCCTCATAATATGACATAACACAATCTCATAATATGACATGAAACTGCCTCATAATATGACATAACACAATCTCATAATATGACATGAAACTGCCTCATAATATGACATAACACAATCTCATAATATGACATGAAACTGCCTCATAATATGACATAACACAATCTCATAATATGACATGAAACTGCCTCATAATATGACATGACACAATCTCATATTATGACATGAAACTGCCTCATAATATGACATGACACAGTTTCATAATATGACTGGAAACTGCCTCATAATATGACATAACACTGCCTCATAATATAACATGAAACTGCCTCATAATATGACAGGACACAATCTCATAATATGACATGACACTGCCTGAAAATATGGTATGACATCTGCTTAAAACAAAATATGACATTCAATCATCAAAATATGTTGTTACTTCCTCGCAACACCCCTCTCCCCCCTCTACCAACCCATCATACATCATGAAATCACTCCTAAGCCTCCTAAGAGATTGAAATGAAATCATGTGATAACAAATCACAAGCCAATTAAACTAGACTAGACCTTCTAAATGAAGGATCTAGTAACAAAGGAATTTATAATTGATACTTAAGATACATCCTCTTTTATGTTGAACCTTGCCTGGTGGTCCTTTGAAACAAAATACGACACTGGTCAAGTTTTGGCATATTGAATTTGATTAAATTGAATTTTAATTTATCTGAAGTGAATAGTTTAAAGCAAGACTGATATAAGTTTGAAAGTTTTTAATAATTCAGAGTGAATCTTATATGTCCCATTAATACATCAACATGTTCATATTTAAAAAGCATAAAATATAAAATTGATCAGACAAAACAGATTACCAGCATACTGAAACAGGTAGAAATGCAAGATATATAGTTAAATCATTCAAAATTGAGAGAAATAATGAAATAAAGACACTTCGATCACATGGTGTCAAATAAGGAGGCACTTCCATCAAACAGTGTCATGATCCCATGGTGTCAAATAAGGAGACACCTCCATCATAAAGTGTCATGATCACAAGGTGTCAAATAAGGAGACACTTCCCTCATACAGTGTCATTATCACAAGGTGTCAAATAATGAGACACTTCCATCATACAGTGTCATGTTACTATCTATTATGAGGACATTATATTCATGAAACAATGGAATATAAGGAAACAATTTTTTTACCAAAATTAATTAAGTTTGGCCACTTAAACATATCATTCTTTAGAGATTGCAAATATACCCTTCTAAACTACTTATCAGAGCTGGATATTACCCAGTTTCCTCTTGTATGTCATGTGATACAGTATCAACCAATAAATGTTTGATATATCCTAGTGATGACTGACCATTATGGTACCTGATATCTACAAGATAACTCCTTTGGAAACCTCCAACACATTTGACCACATTGGATCAAACGGTTATTAAAGAAAGATGTTTCAAAACTTGTCATTTACGAAAAAAGATTTACATAACAGTCGCTAATCACACCAAATCTGAAACTTGCCTAAACATCTGGAGGTCAGAACAACCTCTTTAAAAATACAAATCTCATATGGCTGCAACTGTGACATTTCTTTATGAGATCCAGGACTGAAAAGAAAAGAAAATACGGAAGACCAAAACAAAGGGAAAATCTAAATCAATCAGTCGGTTTTAGCACAAGGGCGATAGTGTAAAATAAAAAAGTACTTAAGATTTTTGAAGATTTCTTAAATCTGGAGAACAGCTGATAAAGCAAGTAAGCAGATCATAAAAAGCAAAAAGAAGATCTCTGGGACTTCAGTAAATCAGGTAGTACTATATACTATATTCTACTGAACATTGTAAAACACACAAGCAATCATTCAGATCTCCAAGCTTCTACTTGAAGTATATAGTTCAGGAGTAGAATTTAGATGAACTGGGGGCTAACTGACACCTAGAGCTAAAAGAAGCCACATTTTTATTTCACACACGCAACATAAGTATTCCATTTAGGGATTATAGAGGGATTATAGTACATTGAAGTAGATTATATAAGCCTGGTTCTAGAATTTGTCATCATTCTACAAAAACATGGAGACCAAATGTGTACAACTCAAATTTTTTCTGTGTGTTGCCTTTGGGTTTTTTATCATTGTTGATGCAGGAGTAATGAAAGCTGGAATGACACAAGATGGTGAAATTGGAGAAAAATTTTCAAGTTTAATTGAAGGACAAGTTGTTCAAGTTCCAATTCAGACTGAAATGGTAAATTTTGGAGAAACTATCAATGATGACAGAGCTGATGTCAATGATGATAGTGATGAAGTCAAAGATGACAGTAATGATGTCAATGATGACAGTGATGAATCTATTGAGGTCGTTTTAGATGAACAACAAAAAATTTCAAAAAGTGATCATGAAATTAAAACAAAAATAACAAAACACAGCAAAAATGGAAATAAAATGGAAAATCCTGAAAACCATATAAATTCAAGAAGAAACAATGAACAAATATATCAAAGGCAAGAAGGAAGTGGAGATCATAGTACTGAAACACCAATCAATGAGGCCCCTTCAAAGGATATGAATGAACAACCACAAATAGTGAGTGATGTCACAGCCAATTTCGATGCAAAACTTTTACAACTTCAAAAACAGGTGGATGAAAATCAACTCAATCAAAAAGAAAACAGGTAGGAAGACAATTAGTTTAAATAAAACATCTTAAACAGAACAAAAGTCATAAAAAATTTACAGCAAATTATCACTTTAAAAACATGTTTATTTGTATTCAAAGCAAACTCAATATTCGAGAAAAATACAGTATGCTTTACATAAATATTACCATAGCACACAGTCAAATAAAAAACAATTTGGCTATTGTCCCATAATCAATCCATATATAGGACCATTGTTTTGCAATTAATATAAAGGAAAAATGTAACATGTGGCATTATTGATGATTGAAAAAGTATACCTCAAAGAACTCCATTTTTTGTTTAGTATGTAGAAAATCTTTGAAGTATGAATCTCTAAATTCACTAATCTCACTATTTGGTGGAAAAAAACCAGTTGTGATTCTCAAAACCTCACTATTTGGAGTAAAACCATCCTAGTGTGATTCTCAAAATCTCACTATTTGGAGTAAAACCCTAGTTGTTTTATTCTCAAAACCTCATTATTGTGGAGTAAAACCCTAGGAGTATGATTCTAAAAGCCTCACTATTTGGAGTAAAACCATCGTAGTATGATTCTCAAAATCTCACTCTCACATAATAAGCGCACCTGGATCAGCAGCATTTCTAACAGAGCAGGTTCATCATATTTCCAAACTTGGTTTTGAAGAGAAATATTATATTTCCTAAAGAGAAAAATGACCACAAAAATTCTTTCCTTCCCTGTAAATTATAAGTCATAAACAAACCAGGTTTTCAAATAAAATTGTAGAAAACTGAATCGAATAAGCCAAAAATTAATGAGGCAGTCTCATAACATGATCATGTATAGATTCGCCTTTTCATCATTGGTTCAATCAGTTACATAGAAAACTTGAGATATTACCATGACCAAGGGCACTTTTAGCAAGGGGAGATCCACAAATGAAGAATGAGTTCATCTTGAACTAGATGCAGGAAGTGCAACCTTACACATTGAGGATATTTCACTCTTGTTGCAAAATATCCGTCTGCTCATGCTTATTCCTCTCATTTTCTCTTCAAAATTTCAAAATTTGAATAAAATGTCGGAGAATTTTACATTTCTATATTACTGAGAATTTCAACTTCAAGATTACAGATTCAATTTCATTCTTATTTCTCCGTATTATGCTTTAATCCACTTTTAAAAATATTTAACATGTTAACATGTGAAGGGGCAGTAATTCATCATCATGTCCTGAGATCTTCAAACCTGAGGACATAACAAGAACTGTTTCTCTGGCTATAAATACATCCATTTCTGAGTTATTTGCAATAGAGTGGTGTTCACTAAAGGGGTGTTTATTTTAGAGGTGTTTACATGGAAGATGCATTCATTTGGGGATACATTCACATGACATACATGCATTTATAAAGAAAATGTACTAATATGGGAGACATGCTTGAAAAGGGGATGCATTAACATGGGAAACATACTAAAATATTTATTGGAAACATGCTTGAAAGGGGGATGCATTTACATGATGGTTGCATCATATGGGACTTGTACTATACGGGGAATGACCTATAAGGTGGATTTATATGGGGGATTATGTCTCTCAATGGGCCTGGGATACAGTACATTCATATAGGGAAGGATCCCATGAGGCAAAACTGAGGCCCTAAAAGAGAAAATACATAACTGAGGTGTATATACAATGGCACAATCATCATGCCCAAGAAGCTTTTTCTAATGAAAAAATAATCAGGTGATAGTTCTAAATAAATTCACCACAATCACCCATGGCCCTAAATAATGATTGGCACTTTTGTTAGATGATTATGGATGATCAGTATTTTCATGGTCTTTAAGCAACAAGTAAATATCTTGAATTATCAGAATGGATTCAAGGGTGTGATCAAGCATTCATAGGCACTCAAATATAACAGTTCTATGTTAAATAAGATATTAAAAAATTGTCTAGTTGCAAAGTCCTCACCTGTTATTACTACTACAAGCACACTGACAGTTTCAAAACATTCCCCTGTTGTGTATAAAATATGGCAAGACTGGGCCATATGTGACTGTAAAGTTGTTCTCGCTACCGTACCTTAGTCGATGTCTTAGTTTTCACTAAGTGAAAACCTCTTTTATTTTTACAGGCCTTTACACATGCTATATTGGTAGCCACATCAGCTATATCCCACTATCTCCAGAAGGAGAAGCGCCCCCCTTGAAATTTTCCATCTCCCTGAACTCTACCTGTATGGCCCTCACTCCCCCCCCCCTTTCTTTCTCTTTCTTCCATCTCATGGCATTTATACTATATGTATTAACAAATAGTAAGTTCACAGTTGGCAAAGAGATCACTGAAGAAGAGACTTAACACAAAATCTGTTGCAGAATTTCACTCAACATTGCATACTTCAAAATACAGTTAACATAAAGCATCTACAACTTACTATGAAGCAACACGCATAATCCATTAACTTAATTTTCTGACTCGAATAACTGTTTTGAGATGCCAAGGTCAAACGGATCAAACTTTCTTGGAACCATTTTCATAAACATAAGTGTAACATAAACTGCTGTGGAACAACACAGATGTTTTTGTTGATACTCAGATTCACTGATAAATTTTGACAGACTCTAAACCTGTTAAAGCGCCAATATATCATCAAAAGTTGCAACATTTTTACCTTTGTTAATGAATAAATAAAATATTGATTTGGGCGTCAATGAATTTCTTTCAAAAATAGTAGAAGAGCAAAGAACAACATTATGTGGTAGTGAACATAATTCATTGAGCAACTTTAATAATCAACAATTATATAAACTTCTTGTTCTCACTGGGTCTGGTTTAATTTCAAGGGAATGATTCATGTACCTTCCAATATTATAATGTTAAGTTACTGGGTCTGTTTTTGAAATTAAAATGTCTTAATATTCTAAACAAACGAAAATGTTTGTCTTCATATTGTTTATTTATATAGATGCAATTTTCTGTAATCAAAAGTAGCAAATAAAAAGATAATAATGTTAGTTTTTCAAGAATTGTGATATATTGAAATAATTTCAAATTGTAGGTCAGACCAGCATTGTTTCTTAGATTTCATTATGTGCTAATTAAGACAACAAGTCTATTGTGATAAAGTCTGACAAAATGTAAGCCTGGATCAGGTTATAGGAGCACATGGTGGTCTGATTGTTCTTAAAACTGCAGACATATTGTGTATCAGAAGAGGCCTGTATCTTTACGTGTTTTTGTTGGTTTATTTTCCTTTTCTGATATGTCATCTGTTAATAATTTGTTGAAACTTACATCTAGAGTTTTCCATGATCCATTACTGCTATCCTTACATGTTGATATCTTCACAAGAAGATATCCTCACATATGTTTATTAATTATTATATCACTTGCCCCTAAAACCAAAAATTGGGCCCAAATTTTGAACACAGAAGCATGTTCAAAATTATAACATCTGTCAGCTAATTTATCGAATTACTATAAAGAACATGACATTTTGCAACACATGCCAGCCATCTTGTGCAGAATTCTCATTTTTATAACTCTAGTTACCCAAATATGTTCACATAGCTTGTTTAAATGGGTGCAACCAATTCAAATAGATCTAGTGCCTGGCTGATTCAATGCTAAAAAGATACTCAAATTATTTTTTTTATTTCAGGTACATCATTGCTATGCTGCAAAACCAGATAACTACACAACAAAATGATGAGACAATTCTAAAGGATGAGCTTACAACACTAAAACAACAACAAGACAATAGTCTTGCAAGAATTGAACAGCTAGAACAAATGGTGGCTAATTATGAATGGGCCTTCAAGGATATCAAATCTGTGAATAATTTAATTAAAACTGATGTACGATCTATGAAGAACACACTCAATACACATAATACAACATTGAGTATACACAATATGGATATTTCAACTGTTCATTCTGATTTAAAGAATATGAAGATCATCCAGAAATGGACTTTTGATGACTTTAAAGCGACAAACAGAAAATTGAGATCTGATATGCAAATCATTAAAACAGCCCAGAGGACTCAGAATGACACCATTGAAATACTAAATGATGATACAAACAGAGTTAAGGTTCTTGTAGACCAGCAAGGAAGCGTACTTGAAGCCATTTTAGAAGGGATGCAGACAAAGCTTAAGGAGCATAATAATATACATGACGAGGAAAATAATGTTGTTGAACAGATTCAAAATGAACTGAACAATCTTACTGACACAGTAAAATCTGAGAGAGGTCACACTAGAGCAGCCTTAGTTCGACTCCAGGAGGATCTTGCTAAAGTACATGCTGTACGACATCATAAAACGAAGACTGATAACCATCATTATAACACTAATAACAAAAATGTAGATGATGACAAAGCATTGCAACAAGATAATGGGCTTGAAGCAGTAATTGATGAGGATCTGATTCCAACTGATGTAGATGGAAAAACAAATATGAAAATTATACAAAACAGGGCCAAAAAACAACCACATAATCAACAAAACATCCCACAACATAGAGTTGCTCACCTTGAAAATAAAATTTCAAGATTCCCTGAAGAAGTAGAAGGCTCTGGCGAGGTAGATGGGGATAGTGGGTCACAATGGGAACACATTCTCTCTGGTCTTGAAGAAAGGGATAACACAATACAGCATGAGATCAAAGAGCTCCTTAAAGAAAAGGACACTCTGAGCAACAAGGTTGGTAAGATTGAACAAGATATAACCAACAAAGATGGGAAACTGGTAGAACTTAATCGAAAGATTTTAAGTCTTACTGATCACATTGAAACACTGGAAGAGACACTTCAGGAACAAAACCAGAGAACTTTAGAAGAAGAACTGGAAACATTCAAAAATATTATGATGAACTTTACTGAACAAGTCTTCACTTTGGACAATTGGAGGATGAAATCGAAAAAACATGTGAACATCACTTACGAAAACCGTAAAGACATAGAAGATATGGTCATTTATGTCAAAGACAACATTGCCAAAATAACAAATCTAGAAACAATAGTGTACAAAGACTCTAAAGAAACAAACAGGAAACTTGAACTAATACAACGAAAATATAACCAATTGAATAAAACAGTAGAAGTAGTCGGAACAAGAGTCCAAAATCACTATCAGCGATTCCAGCGTTTGTTCAATGGAGTCGATTATAAATTCACAAAAGCAGCGGAAAATTATAATCGTAACAAGGATAAGATTGCTCACTTAGAGGTGAATTATCTGAATGCTAGTTTGACCTACTGCATGGAAAACAACAAAGACCTAATACAGGACCTAAAATTTACATCTATAACAAAGAGCATCACAAAACTGGAATCTCTTGGGAAAGACGCTAGAAGTAAGTATTAATATTTTATTATGGATCAGTTACTACTTTTTACAGGGTTTCTTCACTCGTGTATATACCAGGTACATGTTAGAAAGTGCATATACCATGTACAAAATATTGTGTATTGTACACTGAAAGTCTTAAAGAATCTGTTTTTATGTTCATGTACTGGTATTCATGTGTTTTTGTTCTTCAAGTGTTGCCCCTTTCTCATTCCAATTGTAAAGTACATGTGACTAAACCTTTTTTCTGATGTTCCTCTTTTACTTTTATATTTATCTTTCATTTATGAGCTTAATAAAAATAAGTACAAAATTAAACACTTTAATCTATTAATCCTTTCTCCAGATGCTGTGTCAAAGTTTGACAAAGGGTTACAGATGGTCCATGAAAATGAAAACAGACGTGCGGCTGAGATAAAATCTCTTCAAACGCAGACAGCTGAGTGTGCCAAGGTCATTCCAAAACTCAAGGTCATCGAAAAAGAAGTGAAGAATTTTGTAACCCAGCTGCCTCAAGGTAAATTATTTGCTTTTGAATAAATAACTTTAATGAATTTTGAATTATTTTATCATAAGACAGGGGTTGATTTTTTGGAAACAGTACGACTTTTTATGTTCATTGCTCTCTTATTATTACAACAGGATTTCCATGGTTAAAACAATGGATTAAGTAATGTCTTTGAATAGTACACCCCAGATGGTGGTTAATTTTTTCCTTCAATGTTCTTCAATGATCATTTCATAAAGATCCTATGTCATTGATATTTCATCCTTGTGAGATCATTTTTTAAAGTTGTACCTTTTTATAATCTAGATTGCTCTGATGTGTTTGCATCTGGGTTCAGCAAGAGTGGTATCTATCTGATTAAACCAAAGAACAGTACAAAGTCAGTGCAAGTCCTTTGTGAGTTTGAGATAGATGGCCCATGGACAGTAATACAGCATAGGTGAGTGGAATAAACGCAATTTGCCTTTTAACTGTTTAATGTAGGTTCCAATACACCAACAAATAATATAACTATAACAATTGATAGTCATTTGTCTATTATCATATTACTTGCTCAACATTTTTCAAAGCTTTTTGACATTTCTTTAACTTCTTTCTTTAACTGTAGTATGAGGCATATAACATTTCAAGCATATATCACATCTTACAGGCATGATGGTTCAGTGGACTTCAATAAAACATTCGCAGAATACACAAATGGTTTTGGAACAGCTGCGACTGAATTCTGGGTAGGATTAGAAAATCTCCATCTATTAACAACAGAACGAAAATACAACCTCCGAATCGACATGTGGGATGTCTTCGGCGACTACTATTTCGCGGATTACAACGAATTCAACATTGGTTCTGGCAAATCAAATTACACCCTTACGATCGATGGTTACCTAGGTAATGCAACCGAATCATTCACATACTCAGACGGCACCATGTTTAGTACCTCTGATGTTGATAATGACGCAAGCAGCACACATTGCGCTAAGTTCTACACAGCTGGATGGTGGTACAAACATTGCCATTATGTTAACTTAAATGGACGCTATGGTGTCGGAATCGTGTGGTTTAATCAAGACACTGATGATTGGATAGAATTAAAGGAAACAGTTATGAAAATCAAACCATTAGAAGATGAAGACTATGAAGATGATTATGATTATAGAATATGATCTAATATTGTATAATATGCTACAAACTTACATAATATGTTCCCATGTACAATATGAACCAACATTATACAATAAAATCCCATGTATGATACTATCCAACATTATACAGTAAATTCCAAGATTATACAATGTGTTCTTAGCTTCCGGAATATCATCAAATATACAATATAATCCAACATTGTGTTATGAATTCTAAGATCATAATAATATGACCCCACATACAATATGATTGAACATTATATACAATACAAAACTATTAAAATCTCAGGAAACATTTATAAACTGCCATGCTGGTCAGGGTTACCAAGTTACGTCGTAAAAAGGCAAAATAACAAATATTATAACTCAAAAAACAAAACAATGTTAATGGCATTTATGTTAATAAAAATCCAAATATGGCAACTAGCTGATAGATGCTTTTGACCAATGAGATTGTCTGTTTGGCTGTTTATTATTCTATTTTAATATTCATAGAATTTATTTTTACATTACAAAACATAATCACTTGTTGTGACTGTTGAGAGCATTCTGAGGAGATATTGGATGGTATGTTCTTTTTTCACGGGTACTAACCTGACCCCATGATACCATGAGCATTTAAGGATCCACAAGTTTATCATCCTGCCGAGCTTGCTAATACATATAGTATTATTCCTAGTTTTGATTGTGATGAGTCATATTTTTAAAAGGTTAATGGCAACTGAACACTTAACTGTTCAATTACACATCGGAAAATTTACATATCATGGTTTCAGAATTTAGATTAATATGTTTAGTAGTGTGCATCACACTGAATAATAATTATTTTTATAGTTACAATAGTTGTAGTAGTAGTTTGTAGTGATTTAATGACCAATGTATCATGTAACTGATATAATATGTCAATAAAAGATATAATAATATACAATAATAATAGCTCCATGCTGTAGCCATGATACCACTGAGCAAGCTCATGGTATTATGGGGTTAGTACCTGTGTTTATTACTGAACTAAAGAGTCTGTTATACAGTAAGACTATGACCATTTAAAAATGAAGAAGATAATACAAGTATATAAAACAATATTATGATAATAAAAATATATATCAAACACCAATTTTTGTCTTGGTTGATTGTGGCTTACTCAATATATTTGTAAAATAAAATGAAGTTTGCAAAGTGTGGTGAATATATTAAAGCTTTCACAAATTGTGTAGAAGATGTAAATCAGTAATCACTTCTGACTACACAATTCCATATGCTTATGATTTTGACATCAGATTCAAAAATCATCTTACTAAGCTTACCTTAAATGTTACATGAGCAAATTGGTAAAAAATTCATCCTTCTGTGCCTACCTTAAAAGTTCATAAAATATATGAATGTTTCTTAAATGTATTTAGGGTCAGTGGAATATGTAAAGCAATTCATAAAATATTAAATGGATGCTTACCTCAAAGGGCACTGAATCAAAGAAGACAGCCAAGAACCAGTTAAGGGTGATGGTGGAAATCTCAATCTCTATCTCATCTAGATGTGCATGGAGCTCTGGTAGCTTCTCCTGGAATAGAAAATAATTAAGATTGTCATATCCATGTGGAATTCTGTGGCTTTTGATAGGCTGATGTGTATGTAACTCTGGTAGCTTGCTTATGGAATATATAAGCAAGAACATCATATCATTAAATTTCATTCAGAACATTTGAATATTTTCTACCATGTTTCTTTTGGTTCCCCTTTTGGGTATTTTATGTTAGTCTCAGTGCTTACTTATACAGTTTATTGTCACTATGGGCACTAACCTTGATAAGATCTTTGAGGACCTCCTGGTCAGCCTGGGCCCCAACCAAGTTTAGGTCAAAGTAGTTAGGTATGAAGATCTTCTCTGTGATTGCTATCAGGGTCCTGAAATATAATTCCAACCAATACATTTAGCAAGTTTCAGTCATGGGACCAAATCTGACCAATGAGAACTGCTCGGGTTTAGGTTTGAGTGATCATATTTGACCAAAAGAAGCTGAAAGTCTGAATTGTACGCAAGTATCTAAATATATACTCGCTTTGTATGGAGGTAAACTGACAAGACAATGCAATACAATACAACATAACCCAATGCTTAATAAGATTCAACCAATAAGACTGAAATTAAGTAAGGTGACACTCACCAGAACGAGTCCTCTGGCTCCATGAAGAGCAGACACATTCCCACTATAAAGTTCATGCCCTGGCAGTAGCCTATGGTAGGATTATGCATACAGAAGGCCAGGAGCACCTCTTGCATCTTTTGGATCTGAGAGTAAATCATATGTATTAATTTCAGATATAACATTGACTGGGCATTATGTGTAAAGGTTTGTTTTGAAGTTCAAATATAAAGGCAATTATTAACCCATTATTCACACATTAAAGTTCTCTGAAATTTAGCCTGGGATTAAGCACATAACAGGGGCGGATCCAGGATTTTGTGTTAGGGGGGGGGGGGGGCGTGTGATAATAACTGTGAGCGAATTAAAAAAGAGTCAAATTTTATAAAAAGCTATGAGGCAAAACACGAATTTTCCGACTTTTTAGGGGGGGCATGCACCCCCCACGCCCCCGTCTAGATCCGCTGGTGCATAATAAAGAGTTAATGTAGAGGGAGTTGAAATTCTCTTCATACTGGTATTAAAGTGAATTCTAGTTTCATCATTCTGTGTATTTGTTTGTTTCTTTATTTATTTATTTATTTCATTTTGTTTGTTTATTTCTTTCTTTGTTTTTTTTGTTTGTTATCATTTTAGAGCACACTGATCATGATGTGAAGAAATAATCATAAAGATACAAAAATACTTCCTCTCTCAGAAACAGTGAGGCAATGCATTTGCAAAGAAAGATACACACAAAAAAAATATAAACAAAACAAGCATACCCCATCAGCTTTCTGTTTGTTGAAATGAACGTTCTGAGGCATGGTACGCAGTAAGTCCAGCGAGATCTGCTTCCTATACTGTCCAGCGCATTGGGAATCTGACGCCATACTACAAAGGTATGCGTAATAATGGGGTCCCTTCTCTTCAGCTAGATCACGCACATGGTTGTAAACTAGCTGCTTCCAGACCTCATTTCGATGTTGCGGAGGAATCCCACCCCTGCACAATGCCTTCAATTCTTTCTGTAAGTGATATTTATATAGTAATCTATTTTTAGAGCTCAAGCTTAACAAATATTAAAACTTATAATATATCGGCCTGAAACTTATTGATTTGTTTATTTTATGTTTCAGTTGCACTTTGTTTTCATGCTTAAAACTAAAAGTTTAAGAAATTGAATGCTAGTAGAACAAAATGTTATGAATAAAGTAAAACCTGTCCAAGTTGAACACTGTTGGTACCTCTAAAAATGTTCCACTTGGGAGGTGTTCCAATAATGGAGGTTTATTTGACATTAAGTAAGATGATGTTTGGACTCTGAAAAGTGTTCTACTAACAGAGGTGTTCAACTTTACAGGTTTCACTGTACTTGGGAAAACATCAAATACATCTCAATAAAAGTATATATTTTGATCTGCAAAATGAAATTAATATAATTTAACAGAAACAGTAAAGTTAAGACAAAAAACACATTAACAGATATTTCATGGTTATAAGATAAAAATATTACAGTGTAGTTTACAAAACAACAATCGATGATGTATGTTGCAGATATGTTGGTATATGAAACAAAAAAATGACCCAAAAAAGAAAAATAACAACATATAGACATTTATAACATATTCATGCAATAACACACAAAAACAGAATGAAAATAAATCAAAAAATAAAAATAAATAAATAAACATATTCATGAATCACAGTGCAAAATAAATCTACAATTGTTTCTCAAGTATTAAGTACAGTGTGTATTTACCGTAATTCTAAATATGGTAACGTGCTGATGCATTGTGGGTATTGTAAAGTGTACAGGGCTTCTGGGTAATTCTAATCCTAAGGACTGAAGTGTCTAAAGAAATCGGAAAACACATCAGTCTAAATATAAGAATATAAAGTAATAAATAGATGTCAGGGCCTAACTGCCATGACAGCTACTGAACAATTTAATAAACTGTGTATGTTTTTCTGATAACAGATAGATGGTACTCTAATCAGTCTGCTTGCTATTTCCCACTGATGGCTGCTGATGATTGATGATCAAACAGCCCAATGGCAAAATAGTAAGCTCTCTTCAGAACAACTGAAAGGACTGACATATTGAAGCATACCTACCAAAGTTTGTAAAAATGAAATATTACTATTCTATTCTATATAGCCTTCTACATATGTGATGATATTAAGTTTAAAAGTCATAAATGAGTCTTGCGATAAGTCTCTGATTCACACTGTGTGTGTTTGAGTACAGACTTGAAATCAATGGTTTGAGGAAGAGAGGAAGTGAGGGGAAAAGAAAAGGGGAGGTCAGGGGGAAAGAAGAGAGGTCAGGGGGAAAGAGGGGAGGTCAGGGGAGAGAAGAAGGCAGGTCAGGGGAGAGAAGAAGGCAAGTCAGGGGAGAGAAGAAGGCAAGTCAGGGGAGAGAAGAAGGCAAGTCAGGGGAGACAAGAGGGCAGGTCAGGGGAGAGAAGAGGGCAGGTCAGGGGGAAATGACAGAAGGACTTGATGCAAGACTCAAAAGAATAAAATTGATGACAAATATTTTACAGATCAAGAAAGCCACCATATCCCTAAAACCAACATCTCCCACACCCAGAAATGTAGATACACCAAACTTTAGTTGAACATATTGTAAAGATTACACACATGTAAGCTCAGGAAAAATATGACAACATTAAAAATGAAACAAAATATACCCTTATTCCTAAGCCTGTTCATTTACATTTCATATAAGATTAGTTTAACATATTAGCTAACTCCCATTACACAAAAAAAAATTGTTTATATCTTACATTTTTCTCCATAGAGGTACGGTTTTCACGTAGATAATTCTTCCATTTAAGTTGGTGTTCCTCGTATGACTCCATTCGCATCGTGTAGTGTTGGTGTAATTGGTGACATATATAATGGAGAAGCAGACTCTCATTTGTATGGCTGTGTTTGAACCCATATGTATCAACGTGTACCTCTGATGAAGCTAGTCTGAAACAATGGGTTTCTATATACATGTACTGTTTACTTACAATGGTGATGAGGACTGTCAATAGGTGGGGGAAAAGTTCGACACAGGTCCAAACACAACTAATCAAAAATCTTCCAAGATAAATATTATTCATAATACTTAAGACCTTTTGATACTGAGTCATCAAACATAATGTGTAAAGAATTATAAAATTCTGAATTTGTGAAAACTGCATATATTCCCATATTCACTGGATAGGCTATTTTAGAAAAAAATACAGTAAAACATGTGTTACTGGAATACAATAGGTATCTTTAAATAGTCTTCCACTTAGGAGGAGTTCCACTTTCAGAGGTTCATTTTACATTATGATAATTGGTAATGGAACTTGGAAATACTGGAGATGTTCCACTTTACGGGTTTAGATGAACAGGACAGAGAAAATGCACGATGGTGTACATGTACAAAGCTAAACTCCAACATGGAAAATACAAAATAAGAATAACTTTTAAGATGTAACACAATGTAACTGTTGAACAAAGGGCGAAACAAAACTGGCCATGAAACATATTCTCCCCACATAAAAGGGGTGGTCCATTGAGTAGAATTCAACAAATTCATACATTCACATCATAAACTGTGAGCTACTCTTCTCAATTTCAGACTTACTTCTCACATGTTGGAAGGCCAGGATTTGTTTGTCTTGCCTCTTCAAGAAGTTGCTGGATACGCACCTTGTGCTGTAATGTAGTTATTAATTATAATTTTGACTTTGTATTTATCAATGCATGCATATATTTGTTACTTCCTTCATATAAATAAAGCAAACAGACACATTGTCATAACTATGAAGAAAAGTTGTTGTGTCCTACTCTAGATTTTATAACCAGATAAGAATTACACTAGTCAATCAATTTTGAATAAAATATTTCCAAAAAAATACATTTCCTTTAGAATATCACAAGCAATTATGCATTTCCAAATTCTCAACTGAGCAGATAAATAAAAAGATATAAACAAAGAACATGACAAGATGTCACCACCTGGTTGCGATTACAAGTGTCAACATTTGTTACATTATATGCTGAATGCCAGTACTAGTGCCAACGCCAACATTGAATGCTGGTCATAAGAAATGGTAGCTATAACCATATGTCACCACTTTATTGAGGTGATATTAAAATGAAGACTAGTCAGGCCCGTAGCCAGGGGGATTCGATGGGTTCCCTGGCCAAAAATTATTTCAAAATCATGAAGTTTTTCACCATTCTGAGCACTTTTCAAGTGATTTTGGCCATTTTTGGACCAGAATTGTTAAAATTGAACCCCCCTGGAATTTTGAAAATGTGAACCCCCCTTGGCAAATCCTGGCTACGGGCCTGGTAGTCTTGCGTATTTCTCATCCTCACCCGATTTCCGCCATACAAGTTCATCTCAATGCCATCGGACACATCTCCAGTGGGGACAGTGATGCTTGACTGTAGCAGGAAGACATAATCTCGCTTCCAGTTGTCCACTTCAGCATGTAGCTGGGTCATCTGCCTGTAACATTAAAAATGGAACAATACAAAAATGGCGCTATATCTGAAATAATGGTGCTATAATGGGGCTTTGGTTTAACAATACTATTTCATTAGAAAATGGTGCGTTAGTTTAAATAATGGTGTTATAGACGAAATATGCTATAACTAAAACAATTGTGCTTAAGTCAAAACAATGATATTGTTATGTAGTTGAAATACAATGCTATGATTAAAACAATGGTGCAATAGTTGAACAATGGTGGTACAGTTGAAACAATAGTATGATAGCAAATAAAATAGTGCTATAGTTGAAACAATGGAGCTAATTGAAATAATGGTACTAAGTAAAAACAACAATAGTCCTATAGTTCAAATAACTCACTTTTCTTGGTCTGTAAATCTATTCTGCTCCTGCTGTCGAAGTCTGGCTAATTTTTGCACCTCTTTGTTCAGGAATTGGTTTTGGTTTGAGAGTACCCGGCACTGCTCAGCTATCTTTTTATCTGGCGATACTGGGCTGTAAAATATTGGAAATTAACAATTTAATATGCCAATAGCAATTTAATCAAACTCCCATGCAGTGTCTCGGATAGACACTGCGGCGGGCAGATGAAGAAATCACCAAAAGTTTTCATCACAGATATACTCAATTTTCACAGAACTTATAAAATATATATTCTTTTACTTTCCCCAATCATTGTTTTGTCAAAATGTTTCGAAAATCATGATATATAGGAAGAAATATGCGCAGTAGGATTTAGAGTTTAAAGATTTGTTGATAATGTTTCACCGCACGCGTGTTTATTAGTTAATACGCGCAATCAAACCAATGAACTTGTCCAAGTGTCTAGATTTTACAATCACGTGAGAGCATGAGACGAGAACCAATCACGTCAGTTGTTTATTACAAAGTTGCCATGCTTACAATAAACGATATGCCTGCCGCAGTGATATGTTGAAGACTAGCACTGCATTATTGTCTCCTGATGATCTGCTGGTACTTACTAAACTGGGTTTTAACATTAAAATCGAAACAATGCAGGCTATATGAACAAATGAAGTTCATATTTGCATTTGATCATAAAATTGAGCTCCTTAACGGTAGTTTAGTGAATGCTGGTGAAATAATAGCATCATATATTACAATTGGAATGTTAAAAAGAAATAAATACCAGGATACCTGGTAATTCCCCTTCAGAAAGTTTCAAAACCATTTTTAAAGCAGATGACAGAATTTTTACATGTGCCCTGTTTAATAGTGATTATCAAAAGCCAAATGAACAAATAAAAACCTGTGTTAGGTTTCTTAAAAAATAAGTGCATGTACACGTATATGAGACTAATTATGTATAATGAAACACAAACATTCAATCTAGATATAATCTCCTAGACATATGGTTCTACATTCTATTATGCCATATACACTTTACTCGTAGAATGGCATGCGGATATTGTTTTCTTACAGTGTAATATATGCAGAAGATGCTTTGCATTTTTTTTGATTAATCTAACCTAAATTGAAATCTACTTTACTTTTTAATATTTTGTTGCTTTTGTGAAAGTTTCTCTATTTTATCATCAAGTTCCATGATCCTTGCATCCCTCTTTTCCAGGACCTCTTTGTAGCAAGCCTCCCTGTTCATGGACTTGGCCAGTTCACATTTCACAGCTCTAAAATAGTTCAAAATGTAAAAACCATGAGAGACCACATTGTGGAAAGCTCTGTTTTAGACTGTACATTAGCCATTGGATGCGCATATATATTTGTATACTGTATCGAATATTGAATCTTTGTCGCAAAGGCTTTTCCACCCAGGCTTTCACCCCAAAGCTTCACCGCCAAGGCTATTTTTCCTTAGTTGTAAACTATTGTATGTTACCATACTACTGCTTTAATAAAAGTTTTAATACATTGTTATTTATTTCTTGTGAATAATTAAAGTTGAAGAACAAGACAAGCACAGTTTAACTATGAAATAAAGAGCATATCCTATGATTTACTCATGATATGATTTTGATGATATGATTTTAATTCAACCATGGATATTGATATCATATCCATTTGTGGATAAAAATTGTGTCACTCATAAATCATAGGATCCCGGGCATAGGATATCCTCTATATATCTGATACATGTAGGAATATTTGGAGATGACCTTACATAAGTTCCTGCTCCATCTCAGCCAGGCGGTTGATCAAGTCACTTTCACTCTTTTCAAGGGCAGAATCACTGGAGGCAGACTGGCCTGATAGGGAACTGAAAGAAAAAGAAAATCATATTACAGGGCAGTCAGTTGTATATTGACCAGGTGGTAATGTCAACCACTCTTCAATTTTCCTTGTTTATTTCAAGCTTTCACTTCCAGTTAGTCTCTGATATTTAATTGATGATCCTGAGAGGGTTCTACCAGATAGAAGGGGGAATTGGTAGCTAAATTAATGAATCATGGGGATCTGAAATGTAATATACCAATAATGGAGAGAAATGGTATTTACAGCGCTGGTGAATTAAGCCTCGTTCACATTTGCTCTATGGCAACCGTACGGCTGGCGCAGATTCACAAAATTGACATAGAAAATCGAACTGATTATTCTTATTTTTATGCTGCATATTTCTCTCGATTTTGGGAAGCAGCCGCCGTACGCTAGCTGTAAATCAATTGTGACTGAGGGATGAGTGAGTTGATCAAAAGAACTGGCCTATTTTTCAGTATAGCTACAGAATGTTCCAACAGTTCATGTTTCATTTAATTATATGTCAAAAGTATCTAATTGTTTCATGATAAAAGTTGTACAAACTTTTACACAAATTTTGAACATATATTATTATTCTATTATAAAATGAGACATTAGAACAGAATACCAACTCAAAATGAAGGTCACATTGACACATATTAATTCAATGACATATAAGATGGTTATCTACAATAAATATCGATTCAAATGCAGACTAAGCAGAAGTTGTAGCAATAAACCATGCGTGCAGTGGGGGCTCACATGCAACGAGAAGTTCAGTGTTCTCATTTCTATTGGTTCCTCATCATCACAGTTTCAATATGACATCTGAGACTAACATACCTAAAATTGTATCTTCAAAATGGTGTCTGTCACAAAAGTAAATTACTATCCATGTTGACATAAGGACACCCTGTCCACGTAACACATTGGTCCTCGGTGATATGCATGTATCGATTTCATACAACATTCTTTTACTCCTTATTCATATATTCATATTGTATGAATACAATATATGAATCAAATATTGTGTTTTACTCTAATTCATACCTTCATATCGTATGAACACATTACATGTATATTGTACATAAATATCATTGGGCTACAAAAATAACACCGGAGCCGCCAAGTTACAAGGATTGCAGACGACATAGTTAGGGTGTTATTTCCAAATTCTACCCAACTCAACCACTTTGGTGATGAAATTGCTCTTCAATCTAGATATGGTTGAAGATCACAGTAGAGTTTCCCATAGGTGGCCATTATAACATTTTACCCTGTAACTTATTAACGATTAGTATCCAAGCCTAGTGCAACATACCACAGTGTTCGGGAGAGACTCGCCTAGCCTGCTATAACAATCTTACCATGGGTTGTCCACCGAATTTTTGAAATAAATAAACTTGAAGACACTAACCCCCTCTATCGTCAGATTTCTCAGAGAATTCTGGTCAAATCACCAAGGTCAAAATCACTCCGCCGCCAGCTTAAAATGAGATTTCCCACTGAACTCTGACATGTTTTCAGATAAATTAGGACCTACCCTATAAATATTTATTCCCGATTCACTTCCCAAACGCTAGATGGCGCTCCAATGGGGTAGAGAAGGAGAAAATGACTTTTTATTCAGAAAACCAAATCACTAACGGTAACCGCTAATGTCCTTACTCAGGACTATATCCTAATAGTAAACTGAATTAGTTTGTTTTCTTCCAACATGGTTATATTAGCATTGTAGGCATTATCCCGATCACAATGGTATATAACAATCCTATATTTGAGAAAAAGCACGGAGGAAAATTCAATCCTTATAGACACAGGTCCTTTTAGCAAAATTCAGAAAATTTGATTTTGAGATTTCTTGAAATTTCTTTGGGGTAGGGGTACACCTTACAGATTGCATCACAGATTGAGTACACCCAACTGAGGTGAACATGGCCATATGGGGTATCATTGGAAAGCGATTTCTACTATCTTTCAAGTGATATCAATTGCATCTTATGACGTCATATTGGTAGGAAGAAACAAAGGTTCATTCAAAACTGCCCCGAAAACAATTGAATGGCACGGGAGAATGGAATTCGGGGTACTTGGCACAGTGGCCTCGCCCCCAAAACACCAAAATTGCTTCAAAATGTCACGATTTTGGTAGCATTGTTCAGCTAAGATACAGCCCTTCAATATGATATGCGCTATTAGGCTTCTCAATGAACTAAAAAACCTCAAAAAGGGATAAAACCTTCAAAATGCCCCAAAAAAGCGCCTTCTAATAGGTTGAAAATCACAGTAGAGTTTCCCATAGGTGGCCATTATAACATTTTACCCTGTATCTTATTAACGATTAGTATCCAAGCCTAGTGCAACATACCACAGTGTTCGGGAGAGACTCGCCTAGCCTGCTATAACAATCTTACCATGGGTTGTCCACCGAATTTTTGAAATAAATAAACTTGAAGACACTAACCCCCTCTATCGTCAGATTTCTCAGAGAATTCTGGTCAAATCACCAAGGTCAAAATCACTCCGCCGCCAGCTTAAAATGAGATTTCCCACTGAACTCTGACATGTTTTCAGATAAATTAGGACCTACCCTATAAATATTTATTCCCGATTCACTTCCCAAACGCTAGATGGCGCTCCAATGGGGTAGAGAAGGAGAAAATGACTTTTTATTCAGAAAACCAAATCACTAATGGTAACCGCTAATGTCCTTACTCAGGACTATATCCTATATAGAATAAAGTTCTTTTCAAGGTAATTTAGTTGAATACAGTTGGACCATGAAATTAAAAGCTTTGTGAAATAGCCTTTATGTGTTAATACATTGAAATAAGGCCACTGACAAAATTCAAAGAGAAAAAATATAGTGGTTCTTCTACATGTAAACAAACTATACCTTTTTTATTTATTTATTTGTGAAATCACAAGAGACCTGCAACATAAACATACAGTAAAACCTGTCTAAGTAAAACACCTTTTGTACCTCAAGAAAGTGTTCTACTTGTGAGGTGTTCCATTTTTAGAGGTTCATTCAACATTAAGTCGGTTGGTATTGGGACTCTGAAAAGTGTTCCACTCACATAGGTATTTCACTTCCAGAGGCGTTCTACTTTACAGATTTCACTGTACTCAATATCATTTCTCCCATTATCTCCTTAAGGAGAAGGTACTTAGCCTTGCTCCTCATCCTTTTGTTCTGATCATTTTACATGTTCAATCACCAGATGGTACACTTGTTTATATTAAACATTGGCATTTAAAAAACATAAACATCCTGGCTGGCTGAGGTAAAACAGAAGGCTGGATGATTCAGGATATTAACTACTCTGAGCAAGAGCTTGATTGTTGTCTGCACTCTTCAATAATTCCACGATTTTACCTATATCCAATCAGATTTAATGAAACCAGCAAATCAGGACACTACATTATCTGCCTATAATTAGCTAAACATCAATTTCATATACAAACTCTATAAAAAACAATGAAAACTACATTTTAGATTGATTGGATCTTGTCAGTATTAAAACTGTTGAAATCATTCATGACAGTTAGAGTTAGACAAGCTGATGATAAATCAGGGTAAATATGAAACATTTGTTTAGCAGCATATAAAGGTTATTACGAACACAATTTGAATTTTATTATAACGTTGGCTAAATGAGGGATCATTAGTATGTAACAAACAAAATGAACATGCACTTGATGGTTTTGAGAAGATCTTTTTCCATCAGTTAATTGAAGCCCTAGCTTTAACAAATTCAAATTAAACATCAAAATATTCCAATTAAAGTTCATCAATATTTCTACATATAATTGGCCTCTCATATATCCAAGAAGGTACATGTACATTGTGATAATATAAAATGCATGATGGGATTGAAATACCCACCTTGTTCTTTCCATTGAAGATGTTTGTTCATTTGTATTCACGGGCATCGAAAAGTTCTTGTAGCTGGATAAATGACTACTAGAGGGGGGTAAACTTGATGAATATGTCTCGCCAAAAACGTCTGAAGTGTCAAGGTCACTTTCACTTCCACTACTGCTGAGTTGTTTCTGAGATCGTAACATGCGGCGTTTACTGCTTGAATTCGATCTGGTGTCACTATCCAAACTCTTCGATTCTGTTAATGTTATAATGGAAGGAGGTGATAGGCCTGGAAATAAAAAAATAAGTGAATCTCATTAAAATGTCACAAATTCAACCATTTCTTTAAAATGTTTCATTAAAACAAGAACACTTTGCAGTCATTTGTGGCTACGACACTAATGATGGTAGTTCATATGTTCTTGTAGTATTAAATTACATTTTTACACTAAACATGAAAGTTTTGGTGCCACCTTGCGTCCTAAACCTAGTATACTACAGCAACATTTAAGTGTACATTATATACTCGAAAAAAACATACTTGAAAAATCTGGCTTGACATTTTGTCTGTGAGGCTGATCCACCGACTCCCCAATCCGTCTCATAAATGTCTTATGTCTCAACATATCCCTATCCATCTGGATAGACACAGCACGTCCATATACTATATTAGGCTCGTTTATTTCGCCTTTTTTCCGGCGTCGAATATGACTAGCTGGCGTGATATCTGAACTTCGCTGCAATAAAATTCATACCATTCATAATGCTTATCTATAAAATATTGTAACACTTATCCGCGCAATATTGATGTATTTAATATAAAAATGATAGCATTGTTTTGTTTAACCTCACATTGTAATTTGTTACGGTAACCTTAAACAATATGATCATCATGGATATGTTTTAAACCTGAAAATTAATTATCACAGAGAGGAATCAGCAAGGAATAAAATATACAGGCATGCAGTGAACACTCCAAATTGTATAGATATACCATAAAATCAGATACTTTATTCAAATTTTAGAGTGAAATAACATGGAATAGACATGAACTGAATAATATTTTAAGCATGACTTCTATTATCAACACACCTGCTTTATTTACATACAGTAAAACATGCTTAATTCATGGATATCACTTTTCATGAATTGAACTTATATTGCAGATTTTAGTGAAAACATGTCAAAGTAGATATTTTAGAACGAAAAATTCTCTTAAAAAATTTACATTCCAAATAAAACAAGGCATCTAAAACATGCAAAATGACAACACCTGCCATTTGTTACAGACACCGAACACTGGATGCCAACTACTGAACACCAACCACCGAACACTGTTCTAAAAATGCTCTAACTAAAACCTAATAAACACATTAAAATACAATATGATAAGGTTTAAATGAATTGATATCCTGTATTAGCCAGTGATCAAGCTCAAAACAACTTTTATGAGCACTTTAACGGAAGTAAGACATCCAGTTTCAATGCTGCGGATGGCCACATCCTGACTTAGTAATGACTATAGCCATTCAATGATTTCAATGATCTGTGAGGTTATTTAACATATTGCATATTTTTCACTGTAAGTTGTAACATTAAAGCAGTCATTTTAATCAAAGTTACCACTTGAGAAAGAACTTAACTTTAAATCAATAAAAAAGAGAATATAGATCAACCTCTTTGATGAAATATGAATTTCAGATACATTTAATTATGAACAGCATTCTTAATAACATATTGATTGACTTTTTATTCAGTAAGTGCAATACAACGTACAAGGTATAATATTTTACAACACAACATGTACTGGTGAAAAAATGAAATATCAGAGAAAGGACATCCAGCATGATCTTTCTCTTTGGGAATTTACCAATGTGCAGATATCCAAAAAGATATGAACTTAAACTTTCCGTAATCATGACTAACCATACATCCAGGATAATTCTCTAAATATTCTACAAAATAAGATGTTTATATCTACGACAGCTTCTTGCCCAAGCCATTACCCCACCCCCCTCCCCCATCCTCTACACCTTATCTATTTATATCTCACAAATTTTATATATTCTAATATTCTAAGTCAATACTCTTCAATACTCAATTATCACAAGCAAACACAGGATACACCAAAATAGAATTTTATTATCACAATAAAACACAATTCAGACATAACAGGAAATTTAAATAATGTTATTAGGTTTTTCAATCTACTAAAGTAGCCCTTAATCTTGCAGCAACGGTTACCATGGTAATTATGTTAGATTCAGCATTAGAAGAATCCTCATGATAATAAATGCAAATCTTTTTTCACTTCCTTCTCAAAAGGATTTTTTATAGTGACATTTAAAGGTACACACCATTTTCCTTCGAGAGTCTAGTTATATACTCCCATCTCATACACATTGGGTATGATGGCTCAGAGTTTTTGATTTAGTCTCCATCTTCTCTCATGATTCTTGTCTATCCAAAAATGAGCAGTTTTCAATCATCTGAATGTATTTGGATTTGTCCAAATAATGTCTAGTATTTCAAGCTTCCAAAGTATGACAAGGTATGGAGTCTGATGAGAACTGTTAAAAACTTCAGAGCAATCAAACCTTTATATACATGGGAACATGGGGGGTTCTTAATATGCAACTATTGCTCATTAAACTCAAAAGAACATTGACAAAGTGGTACTTTTCCCGTAGGTGATCATATTTCCTATAGATATAAGAAAAAATGCGGCATGAGGACCATTTAACAGACATTAACTTTGTAAGGATGACCTCAGAGGAAAATAAAACACTTATATTTCCAAGAAAAAGTAATATGAATAAAAAACTCTTGCAATTATCTAGCATTACGAAATTTCAAATTTAGTAAAAATAATAACATTTTAGAGAATATACTGCACTCATGAATACGTATCATGTGATTTACAGCTTTTAACCTTTTGTATTAATTATGAAGAATCACAAATGCCCTTTTCTGATGGCGGCTAATTTCTTGAGTCCAGCCTTTGATAAGATGGCATCTAAATTAAATGCAATCTTAAAGTCCCCATGAAATGTTTGAAGAATGTTTTGATCATTGCAAAACTTTTTACGTGTTTTAAACATTATCACATTGATTATTTTATGCATGTAAAAAATAGATTACAGTCTAATAAACTTGGGATTGACAAAACAAATGCCTAGCAACAAGATAGATATCGCAATAAATAAAACTCATGCACAAGGACAGACAATAACCTCTATTACAAATAAAATATAAATAAAAAAAATATGGCATGCACTTGCTGAACAACATAAAACTAGAAACAATGTAATCAATAAACTAGCTAACATCAACAAGATTTCAATCAGATGATTTATTGTAAAACTATACCCGACTAATGTTTGGTTTCTTAGAATCCGCGCTAGAATCCAGTTTGTTACCAGTTACACGCAAAGAACGAGCCTAAAATAAAGATTTTCAAAGTACAGTGCATACAGATACTTTTAAGGAGGTTTTGAGGATTAGGATTTCTTATGTAGGCCCTCCATAATATTATGATGTCTAAGAAAAGACCTGCCCTATATTTATGCATTCCTTACGTGTAAGCACATCCGGGAATAACCATATAAGATGAAACAATGCATGTTATTTTGGTGTTATCTACATGTATGACTTCAGCTAATAATCTCAGTTGTTGGATTTTGTTAGTTAATTAATGTTAGTTAGCGCTTGTTGGTTAGATCTCAGATCTTGCTTATTAGATCATCTTATTTAGATCTTTGTAACAAGATCATGTTGATAGGCTCGAGATCTATTTTGTCAGATCATGCTGGTTAGATCTCTGACCTTTTAGATTAGATTTACTGGTTAGACCATAGATCTTGTTTGTTAGAGCTTGGTAATTGTTGTTAAGTCCTTGACAGTTAATCAGCGTATTGTGCACATACTAACCCTTCTTTGTTCATCTTCTTCGCTCACTGACTCATACACAGGAGCAAATAAAGATTTGGCCTGATGGTGAGAAGAATTGATGATTAAGAAAAATTTACAAACTCCAATCTTTGCTGCTACTTTAAATATATTATTCTAACTGAATAATAATTAATTCAAGTAAATATAATTTTATTGATTCAATGTCACTGAATATCTTATATTTTATTTTTGGCTACCCTTTATATCTTACTTACCCTACGTTTTGTCCATTGTGAATCATCTAAACTGTTAGAGCATCCTGTATTTATAGGGCGATTTGACACCTGATCCCTCTTTGCCTGGAATTACAGAGCATATCAGTATTCATTTGAGATTGAAGTTCTTAATTGATACATGTATGATGGTTCCACTTTTAATTTGACATTATCAAATGCTTTTGAATGTTTACTGACACGTGATTCTTTTGGAATACATGAACCAGAGATGATTGGTATAGATGAAACAGGGGAGGGGTTATCACATGAGTGATGTATGATTTATTTGGTAAGTATGGGCTAGAGGTGATTGGCATGTGATTTCTTTGGTATGCATGGGCTAGAGGTGATGGGCATGTGATTTCCTTGGTATGCATGGGCTAGTGGTGATTGGCATGTAATTTCTTTGGTATGCATGGGCTAGTGTTGATTGGCATGTGATTTCATTGGTATGCATGGGCTAGAGGTGACTGGCATGTGATTTCATTGGTATGCATGGGCTAGAGGTGATAAGCATGTGATTTCTTTGGTATGCATGGGCTAGAGGTGATTGGCATGTGCTTTCTTTGGTATGCATGGGCTAGAGGTGATTGGCATGTGATTTCTTTGGTATGCATGGGCTAGAGGTGATTAGCATGTGATTTCTTTGGTATGCATGGGCTAGAGGTGATTGGCATGTGATTTCTTTGGTATGCATGGGCTAGAGGTGATGGGCATGTGATTTCCTTGGTATGCATGGGCTAGTGGTGATTGGCATGTAATTTCTTTGGTATGCATGGGCTAGTGTTGATTGGCATGTGATTTCATTGGTATGCATGGGCTAGAGGTGATTGGCATGTGATTTCATTGGTATACATGGGCTAGAGGTGATTAGCATGTGATTTCTTTGGTATGCATGGGCTAGTGGTGATTGGCATGTGATTTCTTTGGTATGCATGGGCTAGTGGTAATTGGCATGAAATTTCTTTGGTATGCATGGGCTCGTGGTGACTGGCATGTGATTTCTTTGGTATGCATGGGCTAGAGGTGACTGGCATGTGATTTTTTTGGTATGCATGGGTTAGAGGTGATTGGCATGTAATTTCTTTGGTATGCATGGGCTAGGGGCGATTGACATATGATTTCTTTGGTATGCATGAGGTAGTGGTAATTGGCATGATGTGATTCCATTGATGTGCATGAGCAAGGGGTGATATGTGATTTCATTAGTATGCATGGGCTAGGGGTGACTGACATGTGATTTCAATGGTATGAATGGGCTAGGGTTGATTTACGTGTGATTCCATTGCATTGGTATGCATGGCCTAAGAGTGATTGACATGTGATTTCATTGCAGTGCACTTCACAGATTGGAGCCGATGTTGATGCTGTGGATGAATCAGGGGTAGAGCTACCACATGACTCGTATCATAGGTGGTAATACAAGGCACATCAAATATGACCAACATTGAAATTAACATGAAACATATGACAATACCAAAGGTTTCTTAAGTAATCTATATCACAGTCCTTGCGAAAATTAAACTTATCTCAGAAAAGCATGGTTTAGCTATTCAATTAGTTAAAAGTAAAGTAAAAGTGGCACATGTGCCATTGTGTACATTGAACTCATATTCTATAAAAAGAACATCTAGGTTAATATAATACACACAATATAATGATCGATAAAATAAATAGCAAGACTCTTTTATTGTAAGTTTTATTGTAAAGTAAAGAAATAGCCACATATGTGAGAGTAAGACACCATATGTAGAATGAGAATAATAAAAACTTGATCTTATGACTTTCAGAATATTGCCAATGAGCAAGCCATAGTTATTGGATATCAACAATTTAAAAAATCCATAATTTTGAGCTTGACTTATCAGACATATTGAAAACTATTTCAAAAAGAGAAAAGTTTAAAAAATGCATTTTTGATATTTCATATAGAAAATTGAGACTTAATTCCCGAACTATAACTAATTTGAAATAAAAGTATGATTTATCATCATTATTTAAGACCAATGTCTATGCTAGTTACCTTGACCTCAGTGACCTATATGTCTATATGTATCACAGTTTTTAGTCCTTTCCTGCATTTGTAATGAAACAATGAATGACTCATTTATGAACAAAATATGATTTTATTTAATAATCACTATAATGAAAAATCTAAACATATGATTCACTATGTGAGAAATCACAGTTGGATGAATCAGTGATTAATTTTGGTTTACTTCAAAACCTGGACTGTATATCAATCATATGGGCATTATCTTTTAGTTTAGAACTCTTGTGGCTTGCTCTTATCATAAAGTGTGCACAATTTTTTACTTTTGCATTTATAATTTTGAATTTCTAGACTCTTATGTCATCTTATCTTAGTATTACAAATGAAGTTATATTATCCTTTTAAAGATTCAGATTTTGATGCATTTCCTTCGAGTTGCTCTTCCAGTTTCTCTTTATACTTCCTTATACAGAAGTATCCTTTAAACCAATATTTAAAATTTGAGAAAAAAATTATGGTTTATAAAAATATTTCAACATTTTCAATTTCTTACCTTATTTTTACATCCTCCTAATCAGGTATCCAGAATCCATACCTCCTTCTTCCCCCCTGCTATAACCAATTTGGAAGCGCCCGATTAAACTGAATCACGTGATCTTATTATGCGCAATGACTTATACATGATTTCTGTCGCAGTATTGCGACAGCCAATCAGATTGCGAGTTCTTAATCGGGGAAAGGCTAACTGCTTATCACAAGGGGTAAAAAGAAAGAAAATATTCTGGATTTTGAAGCCCTGTGATCGGAGGATGTATTTTTAGGACCCATTCTTATCTTATTTTTAGGACCCATTTTTAAGAAGCACAAGAAATATTCAAATAAGCTAAAAATCCACTTAAAATAAGCGATTATTTAATCATCCTGTTTTTAAAATCAACCAGGTGAGGTGATAAACATCCTAGTTGAGCCTTGATTTTATTGGAAAACTGTCGGTTGTATTGAATCTATCATCTGTTATAGTTAGATAGTCTGGACTCATAAATCAAAAATTGTTTTAATTTGTTGAATTTTTCTTTTATGCAAGTTAAAGGATGTTGTTAACATTAGAGAAACTCTGTAGAATGCAGTCAAGGGCACAGACTGTAAAACAGCCAATTATATAATCACTTAACATATTGAATAAAGAGGATTAGGCATCAGACTGTACATACAGTACATACCTGTGTGGGTGGAACACTTTCGGTACAAAAAAAAAGTGTTCCAATTACAGAGAATTATTCAATATCAAGCCAATAGGTCAGGAAACTCTGAACAAAAAAGCACTTCACTTGATAATGTGTTCCACCTGTATGATTTCATCAATGTAACATCCCTCATCCTAAATGAGGTTAGAAGCATGCATTTGTTATGTAAATACTCATACATATTCTTTGAAGTGCAAATTCATGACAGTACCGAAAAAGATGACCTATACAATTTTGTTTTGAGTTTGTTGTGCAATCATGTGCAGCATGTAGAGTCAGGATTTATCTAGAAGACAATTCTTGAAAATATATTGTATATGATTCACAAAATCATGAAACACTGGTGATCCGCTCGATTACGCTGATTACCGAAATGGTTCGTTTCGGTTAACGAAATGTCGGAACGTCGAAGGTGCGATTTTTCTTTTTTCCTTATTTCATGCGTTGTAGGCAGAATCCCCACGACATTTTTTCTCACAAACGTATATCAGTATCATATGTTTTAGAAAATGTACATGTTTGTGAAAAATTAGCTCAGAATTGTCGATTTAATTCCTCACTTAAGTTACAGAAACGGTTTGGGTTAAAAGCGCAGATCTTAACTGTTTTTCGAAATACCGTTCCTGTAACTTAGGGGAGGCATCAAAAGTTTGATGTCGGATAGAAAACTAAATAAATCTAGTTAGGGGGGAGGGGGTTCAAACCCATTTCAGTTTGCTATCTGACAAATTTCAACATTTCAAATTTTTGTCAATTTTGACTCAGAATGCCTTGGAATGGTTTAAAAATAAAGATTTTACCTGATGCTTTCTTCGTAAAGGTCATTCCAATGGATTCTATTCTATTAGTGGTTGTTAAAAGCCGCAAATTACGATAGGAATTAACAAAAACTAGATTGTGTTTAGCAATAATTTTTCAAATTCTCAAACCAGAAGTCAGCGATCAACTTTCATGGTATTTAGTTTTAGGGGGAGGGGGGTCAGAGTCAAAACTAGATTTATTTAGTTTCCGATCCGACATTGATCTTTTGATGCCTCCCCTTAAGTGAGGAGTTAAATCAACGATTCTGTTGTCTTTTGAACTATTTGTTCAAATATTTAAATATTGTACATTTTCTTAAACATATGATACTGATACACATTTGTGTTAAAAATGTCTTTGGAATTCTGCCTACAACGTGTGAAATAAGGAAAAAAGAAAAATCGTACCTTCGTACCTTGTTACCGAAACGGTACCAGCGTAATCGAGTAGATCACCAGTGATGGAAGTTCATTGCCTTGAACAGCTTTGTTATAGCTACTCTCAAGACATTTCAAATATACAGAAACAGTGAAATAAAATTTCGATAATGAAAGAGAAACTTCTGGAGATTGTCAATCAATGGTTGAAACTATTACAAAATTGCATACATATTCAAATAACACATCCAGAAAATAAACTTTTTGATTTCAGAAAATAATTGAAACAACATTGAATTCAAATTATCAAAATTCAGACTGAAAATAAAGTTTGAAAATCATTCACGTTTACAGTATTTTTAATGATTCTAATTATCAGGTCAAGGTCATACTAACATAAAAACAGAAAACAACTCTGTACAATCGATACTAAAGCTTACAGTTAAATGTAAATTAAATATTGACATAGATACTACACTGAATGGATGTGGCCTCTGCTTTGACTTAAAGTGGTTATATTTTATAATTACATAGATACCATCTCACAAGTTTCACATTAAATTCAATTCAAACATCCTACATGTGTATAAGTAAGCGTAAAACTTTTGAGATGATCCCCAAAATGAGGATTTATATGAAAGTCAAAAGTGGTTATGATAAGTGCATTTATTTGTTGAGTTTCGAATTGTTTTCTATAAAACCTTAACTTACATTATGGTTTTTTACCAATTATAATTAATCAAATTAATTATTTTGATTCTTAACTTTGAGTTCTCATACATTTTGAAACCCATTTCTAGTTATTCTTTGAGGAGTAATGTCAGCTATAACAATGTCTTACCATAGCATGAGGCTCAACTCTATATCCACATGTTGACATTCTCTAATCAATTCAGAAAATCAAATCTAGTAAAATATAAATATATGTTACTATAAACATCTTTTCATAAAGGATAGATATTGCATTGTTTCATGAAAGCAGCATGGATCTTTACTGTTGGTGTCTTATTTTCTCAACTGGGAACTGAGGATAAGTAATGGTAAATTACTCAGTACTAGCGATACTCAGCTCAAACAATTTTTCCATATCTCATATCAGTCAATTTGAGAACTTTTGAATTATAAATTGTCCTTTCCTATTGTCAGATATAGCAGGCAAGGAAAAAAGTATACTTTAAATATGGCCTAATTATAAAGGTGAACTTAAAATGTATACTAAATCCTAGCCATTTTTTATGTAAACATTTTCATTAAAATCTGTACCTCAAAAACTATTATTAACCAGATCCATATCTGTTAGACAATTTTAGTACATTCATCATCAACAGATGCATAAAGAAAAAAACATCCTTAGACTCCACTGAGTATAAAGGAAAATGTAAATCAACAGACATATGGACCAAATGTACACCATTCATTGAAAATAGATTTTATCAGTATACATTTCATCTGTTTTGTCAAAGAATTTTGAATCAAAATATTGTTGCAAAATAATAATATGGGTAGACAAATATATTAATGAATATTACACAAATATATAAAGTTTTAATGTACTAAGTATCATGCAAAATAGGAAAATTAATCTAATATAAATATCTAAATGCCTTCTCGCTATTGATGCATTTGAATTGACTACACATACAAAAATATAGATGACGGAAATACTAAATCTTATTATTTAGGATAACTTGACCTGGAACAGTAAAGAACCTAGTTTAGTACTGTACTATAATATAAGATGTATATATTTAATAGTGCCTTATAAGATATAAACAGTACATACACTCAACAAATAAATTTAAAACTAAAGTACATGTAATTAAATTAATTAAATAAAACTAAAGCTAGAATCAGATATACTGTACATCATACCAAGTACACAGTTTGCGCATTCATTTACTTACACGATTATGCGGCAATCTTCTGCCAGTCTTGAAAAATAGTTTGAAAGTAAATATATTTTTACAATATGGTACATCTTCCAGGTATTAGAGTATATGAGGCTTTAAAATTCAAGTTCAAGTGCCTTAAAGATAATGATAGCCAAAAACTAATGAAGGACCCACGGTCCTATGCTCACACAGTTTGGAACCTTCAGAGGAATTTATATCCTGACTTTGAAACAAAAATATTGATTTGGATTTGTAGTCTCGAACTTTGACAAACTTAGATAGCATAGTTGTGTGACCTATTTGATGACCTTTGACCTTGAAAATTTTACTTATTCAGAGCTCAGTAAGGTCTTTTGTGATTAAGCTGACCAAAATTTACATCCAAAAATCAATTTGAAAAGTCAAGTTTTTGACCTTTCGAAGGTCACTGAAGGTCAAGTAAAGGTCAAATCCTAAAACTAATGTCAGATTTGAACTCCTGGTAACTTGTAGATGATTTTCAAAAAAAAATTTGGTCAAATCGAAGCAAGTTGAAAAATAACTTATTTTTACTGTTTTTTTGACGTCAAATATCTCAAAAACTGTAAAAATTTGATGCTGACATATATTGAGAAATATGTAGGGAATGCTTAAATCTATTAATGATGTAATTTATTGCAGGAAATGATCAAGTATAAGGCAAACTTTAAGAATCTTGTCAATCACAAAACCTGCCATTGACTTTATACATGAGAAAGTTTCCTGAAAATAACTAAGTCCTACTTTTTTTCAAATTTTATAGAGTAAACACCAAAAACCGTAATTACAAGAGCTTTGAAATCTTCAGAGGACATAAGTTGCATATACACCAACTACTAAAAGGTATTTGAAAGTTCTACTTCAACAAAGTGTCTAGTATTTACAGAAAATTTGACTTTTTGACGTCAAAATTCGCAATTTCTCGGAAACCGGGCGAACTTGGGAAATGGCGATGATAGGTCAAATAGGCATTATGGATATGCATAAAATGAATGTGGATAGGACTCAATCCGAATAGCAGTTTTAATTTGTGCGGCCAATGTTGACGGACGGACGGACGGACGGACCAACGGACGGACGGACGGACCAACGGACGGACGGACCAACGGACAGACGGACGCCTGGTCAATCCCATAGGCTCACTGTGTGAGCCAAAAAAGACTGCTTTCAAATTGAATCTTGGGTTTTACATGATTTTGTACATGCTGTCAACAAATATTTATTCAATGATAAGAAAAAATATTGTTCTGCACTGTTCCAATCTTTTCCTTCAGTTATAAATATGAAAAAATACCTTGATGGTTCAAGATGCTTAAGAAACTGAAATATGTTTAGTTTTGTGGTTTCTAGTCTTGCATAATGACTCCCATTGGCCCTTTGTTGAGGGGAAAAGGGCACTGATGCATGACCATGAGGTTGGTGTATTTTATGAAAAATATTACTTACCTGTAACCCTAGCAACCATATCATCATACTTTCATGATTGTCTGCAGTAAATATGTGGTCTTTTCCCTCAACCCTGAAAGAATGACAGCAAAAGTTGGGGGAAGATGAAAAATATGTCTTGTTGACTCCCCCAAATAAAATTGGAGAGGTACTGAACATATATGCAATTCTAAAAGAATAGGCATGTCTACTCATACTCAAGTGTTACTCAAATGTAGGCATGTATATTCAAATGTATGTCAGCCTGTTTATTCAAGCATATCTCAATAATAGCCATATTTATTCAAATATTACTCAAGAATATGCATGTTACTACTGCAAGTATATTACTCAAGTGTTTATATAAGCATGTTTTACTCAAGAGTAGGAATGTCTATTCAAGCATGTATTACTCAAGTGTAGATGTGTTTATACTCACGTGATGACAAACTGGTTGTTCTGGTCTAGGTCTAATGATATAGCTGATCCCTTTATGTTAATGAAACCCTCTGGTGTCTTTAACTTTGCATCCTCTTTGCTCTTATAGTAGAGCAGCTGACATTTGCTCTCTTCAAATAAGTACCATTGTTTCTTCTTGGATTTCAGCCTACCGAGGGCTGCAAAATATATATAACTTCATGCAATAGCGAATCTCACCAAACAAAACATGTTTTTACTAAAAGTGGCAGCAATTGAATAGAACAGCAATTCTAATCTTTCAGATCCTATTCTTGCATTTAATGAGAGTGTAGGATCTGTCAAAGAAAATGTGAAAAATTGTGAGCAGTTTTCAGATTGGAATTTTCTAAATGAATGGATTGATGAATGATATGAGTCAAATAGAATCTGAAACAATTTCTGAAAATGTTACATTCAATCTCAGATTACGATTGACTTTGTGTCACCCTGTATCATTGGTTTTGTACTTTTTGTGAATAGCTTGACTTGGCATCTCTTTAAGGAAATGTTCAACTCAAGAATTTTTATGCAAGCCTCTGGGTGTTGTGGTTTTGGTTTTGGCACATACAAGCAGTATCATTTTATAACATTGGTTAATTATTCCTAGCATGGTTGTCTCTTGAAAGCCCATGTTCCTTAATGAATAGATTGATATAAATTGTTGGGTCAGAGTAACCCAAAATAGAAAATATATTTGATATCTGGTTACACCAATGACATAGATGTAGAATTGACATTTGGTGAAGAATTGACCAATATATATACTGTATATATACTGTTTTTCCCTTGGCATAAAATTCATATTCCATCCCTCCCATTAAATAACCTCTATATATTCCAGCATATGATGCAGCTTAAAGGGTTCAATAACATCAATGAAATCATTTTATTGTTCTTTTTATGAGACTGTGTTTACAGGTGAAGATGAAGTGTTAGCAGGTCATCTAAGGATGCACTATCAATGGAGGTTCTGGTAACATGTGCTAGTTCTCCCACAGGTTTACTCAGCAACAGGTACATGAAAATTACTATTAAAGTATATATATATGTTATTCTCTAAGTTGATATACTGGAATGCAATATATAACTCAGAAGGTCAAGGAACAATTTATAAGTCAATTTGAGCCATATTTAACATGGATTTTAGCCTTCTATACTAAGTATGCTTGCTTTCCAAGGGTATATCAATTTCTACTTGATGTTCTTTTTCTAGTTCGTATTTTGGTATACATTTACCTTTCAAATAGAAAATTGATATATAGTCCTGTTTTGTTATTCTTATCATGATTACAATCAGACATAACACTACAGCAAGTATATAATGATTGATTATTTTTTGAACAATTACAGTAATAATGCTTTATAGTGGAGATTGCTTTAAACACACATCCAAAGATATCTCCTTGATCACAACCCCGGGTCACAAACATACTTTCTAGAATCAAGGAAATTTGTTCTAATCTTACATCAAGTTTTTGTAACTCCTCCCCCTCCCCACCTACTTAATCCCCATTATATTACTTTAAAAAAGATTAGGATAAAAATGATGAAAACATTCCAAACAAGACAGGGTTTGATTTGTATAGTATTTATTAAATTAATATACTTAAATAAATCTGGTATCTGTAGTAGTTGATGATAAAATCAATAATGTACAATAACTCAGGAAAATTCTTTTATCTGAAGATGTTTGGTTTGTGACAAAACATAACTATGTACTCCAAGCTTGTAGCTGATATATTCTGAGTTGATAATATGATTGGGTTGGACTCACTCTCATGATTGAATGAAGGATTATGGGAAGATAGCCTCTTTGTTGAAATTGTCATATTGATTGATTAATTTATCATTAAACATTTCTTCAAGAAATATAATCTAGAAAATGAAAAATATTCCCTTGCAAAAAATCATTTAGAAACAATCAAAAAAAGAGATTATATTCAGTCTGAATCAGTCAAGAATTGCAATAGACAATCAAGAAAACAGCTTTTTCAGGGAAATATTTCCCTCGAATGATACTACTTATTGCTGATATCACATGCCTGAATAATGCCATATCAAACATCAACTAGTCTCCCTAATATAACCAACCTGTTCTCTCTCATATGTGAGATTGTATATAGAATAATTACATCACAAAACTATCAAAGATTATATTCAAATTAGGCTGAAGTTAATGTAAACTTTAAGTCTATATCAAAATCTAAATGAAGCATTCTTTATGACCAGTTGACGAATGATCATGCAATGTTGCACTGCTTTATATGCACAGTAGATTCCAAATAACAATGCAATGCAAAGTTCACTGTCATGCTAATATGCAAAGTTGAGCAAAAATATAGTGTTTGAAAGAATACACTGCTTAAAATGCAATGCAATTCCCAGTCAAAATTCACTATATTTTGAGTACTTTGCTATAATGATCATTTGGCATGTTTAGATTACCAAATCACTGAGAGTCATTTAGGTGTAATAATCTATTCCCAATAAAATGAAGTTCAACAATGGTTTGATACAAAATTAACTTCCACGATCAAGTGAGCCATGAGAATGAAAAATGAAAGGAATCGGTTTCAATATCCTCCAAAGGAAAAACACATTTCTATGTCACTCAAACGGAAATGAAATAAATGATAAAAGGTCATTAATTTCTCGATTTATCATCCATAAATACAAAAATTGACATCTTCAAAATAAATCTCAAACATATCCTGTAAATTGACACTTTAATAACATGTTTTTAAATGACTTATTCATCATGTAGTACATGTGCTAGAGTCTTTGATTTACTGATTTAAAGGTCCAAGATCATTTATATATGAAATATTTCACTCTTGACTTGTATGCACTAAAACAGGCAGTATAGGGTCTCAGCCACCTTGGCCCAATAGAACAAAATGTATCTGACTTTTAAAGGAAGAAAATGAAAATCGCATTAATCCACATTATCCTAATTAGGGGACAATTTAAACTCCAATATAACGCCATGAAAGATTGAGGTCAGAAAAACTTTGTCAGCAATAAAACTAAAATTATCTGTTCCTCTCAGAGGAAAAGATTTTACTGCCGTTTTCTCACCATTTTTCGAAATACAGTAAAACCTGCATATCTGAACATGTCTCTTGCACAAATATCTCTCTATAAGAACACTATTTCTTTGTCCTAGTTTCGCTATCTGCCATTGATTCAGGTGTTTAGAATCCTTGAAATGTGAACACATGCTATTCCGAATACTTTTGACTGGTTCCAGTGATTTAAAGATTAGAAAGGTTTTACTATATTTCTAAATATCTCAAAACTAATATTAAACATCCAATTGAATGATTAAATTCTGAATTTACTAACTAATGCATCCACATGAAAACCAAACTGTGAATCATTCACAGCTGAAATAACATACAAATGTAATAATTAGCATCAGGATGCAGTGATCTCCCCAGCATTAGAACAACCAGGCACAGCACCCAGTTCAAAATCTGAAAATTACATATGCCCAATGACAGCAAAAATGTTCAATAGAGACAGGTTTTACTGTATATTGAATTTATAGAAAGATGCAATATCTTTTAAAAGTCACACTCTACATCCCGTATTCTATTTTTGTACTCCTAATGTATTGACTTTTCATTTTGAGAATCAAATAAAAAACAAAGTTAAGGAAACCTTGATTTTCCTCGATAACACTTTGATATTTACAAATGAATCAAAAGTTTGTTTTTAGCAAATCTGCCGCTGGTACAGAAACGTTAATCAAACAAAATATTATCCCATGTTTTGAAATCATGTTACATATACCTTTTCTCAACCACTATCACACTAAGAAATATCAATACTTCTTCATTTGTCAATCAAGAAGCAACCATGCTAATGTTTTCCTAAATATGTATACTTAAGAATAAGAGTGTAATAAACTGGAGCAAAAAATGAATCATCAAAAAAAATATCCCAAACTATGATTTAACATGAAAGACATTTCTTTTATGTTAGGAATATTGAATGTTAAACTTAGAGGTTATGTCACTATTGTGGCATATATGGCCAAGGTGGCCATGGCCCGACCTTGGAATATGTGCCACCATAGTGACATAAACAATTTATAACATACCTATGATGATTTAGAGTAGAGTGGTCAAAGAAAACTGTTTTTTATCTAATTGACCAACAAAGGGGTCAAAAACAACAAAAATTGATGGTCTGTTCCTGTGTCCACATTTGATCTAATGCATTACTACATGCGATCGACTGAAGATAAAACTACGCGAGCAATTTTTCTAAACCTACAACTTAAGCAGTTTAAGGACATAAATGTATCAATAAACACGATTAATAAATACATTTTTATGAAATTATATGAGATTAGGTGATATTAGGTGAAATGGTGACTGAACTGAGTTTAGAAAAATTGCTTGCATAGTTTTATATTCAATTGATCGGTATGTACGCGTGTAATAGTCCCAGTGCCTTGACCAATCAAAAAGTTAGCAGGCGCAGGCTTTTCAAAACTTATATTGGCCCACTGTCTTGTGAACAGTTTAGGTCATACTTCACCAAAGGTATGTTATTTTTCTTACAGTAGAGGGATTGGACAAGAGGCTATTGGCCATATTTTAAGTCCTTTCTTAAAAAGATATCAAATACCCCCTCCCCTATCATTCGTCCATGTGTTTGAGCTGTATCAGGTGCTGATTGGCTGGATAAGTTAGGAGATTTATCAGGTAAATAAAGAGTATGAGACAATCAATCACTTTTGCAAAGGATATCATAGATGGTGAGAACAAGACACACAGTGATAAATATCGCACTTTGAAGAGCAAACTGGCCACCATGCAATTTACCCAGCATGGCCAAAACCTAATCAGACCTTGGCACTAGTCTGCTCTTGCATCTGTAAACATTTCAAGTTGACAAGGTTAGCGGTTTTCCTGCAATTTTGATGACAAGAATTTATTTGTAGTCTTGAACTTTGGGAAAATTTAGATAACATTGTTTGTGACCTAATTTGATGACCTTCGACCTTGAAAATTTCACTTTTTCAGACCTCAGTAGGTGTTTTGTAATTAAGCTGACCTAAATTTAAATCCAAAATATCAATTTAGAAAATCAAATTTTTGACCTTTTCAAGGTCACTGAAGGTGAACAAAAGGTCAAATCTGAAATCTAAGGTCAGATTTGAACTTCTGAGAACTTGTAGATGTTTTTAAAAAAAAAATTGGTCAATTTGGAGCAAGTTGAAAAATTCAAAATGGCCGCCAAATTGAAAAATTCAAAATGGCCACCATGTAATTCAGCCAGCATACCCAAAACCTAATCAGATCTTGGCAATAGTCTGCTCTTGCATCTGTAAAAATTTCAAGTTGAACGGATAAGTGGTTTTCCTGGAATTTTGATGACAAGATTTGTTGAAAAATTCAAAATGGCCGCCACGTAGTTTACCCAGCATGCCCTTAACCTAATCAGATCTTGGCACTAGTCTGCTATTGCATGTGTAAAAATTTCAAGTTGAACAGGTTAGCGGTTTTCTTGGAATTTTGATGACAAGAATTAATTTGTAGTCTCAAACTTTGAGAAACTTGGATAACATCATTTGTGACCTAGTTTAATGACCCTGACCTTCGACCTTGAAAATTTCACTTTTTCAGACATCAGTAGGTCTTTTGTAATTAAGCTGACCTAAATTTTAATCCAAAATATCAATTTAGAAAATCAACTTTTTTGACCTTTTCAAGGTCACTGAAGGTGAATGAAAGGTCAAATCTGTGACCTAGTTTAATGACCTTGACCTTCGACCTTGAAAATTTCACTTTTTCAGACCTCAGTAGGTGTTTTGTAATTAAGCTGACTTAAATTTAAATCCAAAATATCAATTTAGAAAATCAACTTTTTTGACCTTTTGAAGGTCACTGAAGTTGAACGAAAGGTCAAATCTAAAATCTAAGGTCAGATTTGAACTTCTGAGAACTTGTAGATGTTTTTAAAAAAAAAATTTGGTCAATTTGGAGCAAGTTGAAAAATTCAAAATGGCCGCCAAATTGAAAAATTCAAAATGGCCACCATGTAATTCAGCCAGCATACCCAAAACCTAATCAGATCTTGGCAATAGTCTGCTCTTGCATCTGTAAAAATTTCAAGTTGAACGGATAAGTGGTTTTCCTGGAATTTTGATGACAAGATTTGTTGAAAAATTCAAAATGGCCGCCACGTAGTTTACCCAGCATGCCCTTAACCTAATCAGATCTTGGTACTAGTCTGCTCTTGCATCTGTAAAAATTTCAAGTTGAACAGGTAAGCAGTTATCCTGGAAATTTGATGACAAGATTTGGTTTATGTGCCGCCCGCACGCCCGCACGCCCGCACGACCACACGCCCGCCCAACAGCACAAGACGACGACAATATAGCACTTTTTCAAAGTGCGATAAAAAAGTAAAATACAGTAAAACCTGTGTACAGTGAACACCTATGGAGCCACAAAAATGTGTTCGCTGTAGGTAGGTGTTCACTACAGAGGCAATTTTATACCAAAGTCAGTGGAGTATGTGCTTAGAAGAAGTGTTCTCACAGGTGTTCACTAGAGAGAGGTGTTCACTAAGGTTCTACTGTATATACATGTATGCTGTAAAACATGATTTTAAAATTCACAAATGTAATTTTTATGGATTTTCATGTTGAATTTCAACATATTCTTTAATTCCCCATTATTTAGCTCTTGAATTATCAACATTTTACTCAATAAATATCAATGGTAGTTATCAATTTACCATCATTTAAATTGAACCATTAACATTGATTGTAACAAGTTTGTTAACAATCAAGTGAAACCAAGATGTTTTACAGTCCCTTACATATAATTCATTGAATTAATATGTTGACTTACTTCCCCCAGGTTTGTAGTGTAGATACCCACTGAGACTGTGCCACCCAGCCATCTTGTTAGAGAACCTCCTGTGCCCAGATCCTGTTGGGTAATCTCAACCTCTTGTGTCAGCTCTTGTCTTGACGCCTCTTAGTAGACGAGAGGTTGTTTTGTTTCTTCGGTCATTTAGTCCTTTTCATTGTAAAACTCCATTGTATTATTTAGACATTATAAATGGGTTTTTTTAAAATGTGTTAAGTTATTCCTCAACATTGTAGATTGTTTGACTAGTTAATTTTCTCATCCTTTGTTCTTAAAGTACATGTAAATATGTCAACATGTTTGCTTACATGGAGGTTTTACTTCAATTAAAGCTCCTGTGTGCCGCTAATGTATGTTTCTACTATCACCTTGTATTTCATTACATTCATTATCTACAACGATTTTTCATATTCTTTCTTGATTATTCCTTTTCTTGTTGATTGTTCTTTACATTCTTATTAGTTTGTGTCTTCCTTGTAGGGCTTATTATTCAGTGTCTAGCTGTTCATTCTGATTATTCCATATCTTTCTTAATTTATCCCATGTGTTTATTCATGATCTATGTTGTATTGCATTTGTTTTATATTTTTACTTTAAGTATATATTCCTTGTCTAAATTGCACTTTATTCCAAACATTCTGCAATCTGCATGTATTTTTCAATGGAGATTGAAATGCATGTATTATTTAAGTGAAGCTTGGTCTTTAAATGTTCCTTTCCTGTTCTTTTTCTGCTCTCATTATTCCTAACATATTCATATTATTCCTAGTCTGTTTCCATATTCTGACTGTTCCAATCTCAAAAATCCTAGTCTGTGCAATCCACTGATCTTGACAACAGCTTTTAGGTAGAACTCACTGAAATATAAATGATACATCATTATCATCATGTCAGGCATTTATCTATTAATATAATTCGTTCAAAGTGGAATCAGCTTCCTAATTGCTACGATTTTACATCTAGTGATTTTCATATTTCATAGTTATTAATATAAGATTAAATCTACACCATGTACATGTTTGACTTTTACACGGTTACGCTGACACCGTCTGGTAGAATATGTCTGGCTGGATCGATGGCTATATGCATCAGATTTAAAAAACACAAATGTTTATATTAATTGTTAATTCTCTAAAAACAATGAAAATTGACTTAAATGTATTAATATGTAGGTATGCATGGAAAATGATTCTACAATCACAACTTCAAAATGGAATTGTTACCATAAAACCTATGTGCTTTTTTAATAACCGTTGCTTCTTTTAGTGCATTGGGCAAAAATAGCCAATTGATTTGCATATAATATCAATGGTCTTGTGCATGAAAAAAAGATATAAAATAACAATTAAGACAGTCATTTAACACATAAAAAGGATGATAATTCAACAAAAAATCAAATCCCAAATGAACTTAACAGGGCATTAACATGCAAAATGTCACCACATGCCATTTGTTACAGATGTTAAGTGCCAAATGCCGTCTACAAAAAGTTAGAGACTATAAAATTGTGGCAATTGTGACTTGTGGTGGTGACATAACAATGTAAAATAGATATGATTTTTTAACCTACCAATATTTCATAAAGTTATTAAGTTATACCTATTGACTTCAAAGGTGGGCTTTCAATTAGAGCCCATGCTTCAAATAAAACAAAAAACTTTGTTTTCATGAAAATCTGAGTGTTATCTTTTCAATGAAGTAGCCATTTTGAATAATTTTTTGAAAACCATAATGCATCTTCACTCCAAAAAGAGAATCATACCAGTATTTGAATGACAAATGGATGGATACATGAAGCAAACTTCCTATATTTCCTTTAAAAACTTCCTCTATTGGAATAATCATGATTTTTATGAGTTTGAAAGCCCATTGAGGTGCATAAATTCAGCCACTCTTTTAAGAGTGACCATATTACCTAAAAAGGAAATCTGGCATTATCTCCGTCGTAAAACCTTCCCAGGAACTCTTCAAATGGGTTTGAGAAATAGAGGGTGGGCAGAGGGGAGATAGATGTACAGGGTAACTTAAAGGGTCTAAAAGTAATAGAATATAAATTACCTTCTTTATTTAGTATGTTCACTGGAAGTGTTCTTCACGATCTGAACCTGAAAATTCTCCCGATTCCCCAGGGTGTTTACAATTCTCGTTTTATCCATCTTATCTCCATTATACTGTGTAATAGCCACCTACGCTGTGTTGAAGGCCTCCGAGTCAACAATTTCATTATTCCCAAGGGTCATTAGTCTTACAGCGATTATATTTCATGATCTGCAGTCCTAAAAATATATCAACAAAAAGTTTATATTTTTCACAATAATTTGTTTTAATGTGGTTTATGTGATCCATTTGAAGTGTTTATCCTTTTGTTTATGCTCAATACTCAATAAATAGGTTTATGCTTCATTTAACCTTGAAATCTCCTTGTAGATATGATGCAGTCCAAATGAGGTTGAGGATGTGACACCTTGTGCAAGGGATCTCATAAACACAATTACCTTTCTAGACTATTCAGGCATATCATCATAAAGATTCATTATTCTTAACAAGGAAAACCAAGGAAAAACAATGAATTAGCACAATGACCTTGAAATAAAATTAAAAAAAGGGTTAACCAACATTTCAATTATTTAAAGCATGACTTGGCAATGGAGTAATAATTGCTTTTCTGAATCATGCGCAGCTGTTTAATCCTGAAGCTGCTTTATAAATACATTTTTGAATCCCATCATATATGTATCATCAAGAGAAAATATCTTCTGTACTTATGCCGGCCTGATCTATAAACTTAAAAATAAATCTACTTCAAGCGAATTAATACTGCAATTACGTGTTTCTGTGCTTTGTTGAGCAATTTGATACATGCATATTACCTATACTTCCTGGAATCATTCAGATTTCCATCGACTCCTTGCGATAACACAGGAAAATGCTCCATAAATCCATGCATTAAAAATGATATTTCACCCCCATAGATGTGAATGTAGATTATGCAAATGCTTGTTTATATTTTCTCAAATAGCACCATATGTTTCCTCAGCACAATGCATCGAACAAACCTCACTTTTCTATGGATTTATCTCCTTAGATCTTACTTGAGCCGATAAAAGAGCCAATCAGATCATTTCAATGATTCTTTCGCTAATTTTTCCACTTCCTCCTGCATTAAGATGTTATTTATCTGTTGGGAATAGTTTCAACATGATAGTGAAACGACTGTTGCTTTAATCACATTTGACAATTATAGACTTATGGGAAAATCTACAATAGGTATGATTAATCAGCCTAGAAGATTGTAATATCTTGAGAATTGTACAATTAAGAATTGTACAATTCTCAAGTGAACAGCTCTTCATTATGATTTGCATATGTCTAGTGAACATCTGTTATTGGTTAGTATTGTACTTATGTACACTGAACACTAAACAGAGAACACATTGCAACACTCGACTGGCCCTCTACTTATCACACCTCTTATGAACACCCAGCACTGTCTCTATTAAATATAACATACCCTTCCAAAAACACCTTCTATTAAAACACCTCCAAAGAACACTACTCTTAAACAAACACTTCTCTTAGTAAACAACAATCTGTTATGATCTCTTTACTGATCAGTTCCCTCCTGAATACCTCTCGACTGAACACCTATTTATTGAAAACCTCTTCACTGAATAATTCTCTACTGAACACTTTTCAACTAAACAATTCTCTACTGAATACCAATACCTCTCTACTGAACATTTTATAACTGAACAACTCTCGACTGAACACCTCTCTAAGCCTCTATATACTGACCAACTCTCTAGACTGTAATAGTAAGCAATTTTATACTAAATACCAATATTTTAACACCTCTTGTGAACATTCAACATGCTTCTTTAGATATATCTATTCTATAATTGAAAAACTGAGTACACATAATGCATATTGATCTGGTATTGATGTACAATAAAGCCATGGAAATGCAATATATTTTTCTGTCTATGCAACAAGTGATTTTACACTTACATTACCTTTAGTCATAAGATCCTTTCCAATTGGTTTAACTAGGATATCCAATAAGTTTTTCAGATTATATCAGGGTATTATGTTGTATCCATTCAATACCAAAAATAACATCATTTGCTATGTGCATGTAATAATAAACCTCATCCAAAATTATATCTTTCTGATCACTGGCCATATAAACAGTGATTCATTTTTTAACATGTACATAAAAAATTGATTAATTTCAACCTGGAAAAAATCTTGAAGTATAGCAATGTAATCTCCTCCTGATTGATGATTCGAAGCATGACATCCTAACCATGCATTTAATCTCCATAATCTACAAAATCTCCTTGGGTGTATTTTTTCACTTTTTCACTTGATCGATCAGTTAATGTTGCTAATGACCTGACCGGCTGAGTGGCTTATCATGTAATTACACCTGCATTAACTTGACATTTATACTGATCTCAGCTTTATAATAACTGAATCGCTCAAGGAGGATTGGCTCCCAGGATCGACACTCGATATTTTCCAACAATGAAAACGTCGAAATGTCGTTATTTTCGGAAATTATAACCGACTATAAATTCAAAATAAACGGTCCAAAAGATTCGAACTAATATCTCGATCATTTCTTGTGAGTTTTGGAATTTTTCGTGAGGAAATAAGATCAAAATTCACGATTCAAATGTTGAAGTGAACAAAATGGCGGATGCTTGAATTCGAATTTTGTATCACGACATGCTCATATATGGGACAGAATATCGATGTTGCACTCTGGGGGCCAATCCTCCTTGGAATCGCTGTACTGTAAGTGTGAAAGTGTTGCTGGGTGATCATTATATCCTGCTTAAAGTCACAAAACTGCAAAAAGACCTCAGAAAAAAATATCAAAATAGAACACTTTACAAAAATAGACAACTTTTATAGACTCATTAAGGGATACATCTCACTATTATATCATCCTTGGCCCAAGAGTAATTTCTTGCATTACATAAGTTGCTATTAAAGCAGTGAAGGATGATATTATATAACAAGTTTCAGTATATTTAACACTCTCTATAGGGAATATCATTATAGTATCTCATGTGGTCAGTAAACATGGATATTATAATTCTAAAAATAGCATATATTGCTTGGTAAGTAATGGCTTGAAATGTTGCATAAGTGATCACTTATTTGATTAGCTCTTTGTTTGAAAACCATCTCAATCAATATAACATGAACTAATAGTACATTAACTCATTACAGAGAGATGGCTGAATACAGTCTTGCGCATGGCTTCAGGATTTGCTTAGATAACTTGGTTCATAATGATTCCATTGGCATCAGATGATTGATTATCTCTGGGTGTTTTTATCAAATATTCGAACATGACTGTATTCACACTTTAATACCGAGTCGCGGCCACCCGGAACGGTATTTGAATATAGTAAATCACGTCACAATATGTCAAATACTTTAGGTGCAGGTGCACAACCTAACACCAGTCATGATATGAGAGAATTTCCGATTTTCAATCTGAGTGTCATCTGCCATCATCATCTTCACATATTAAGACCTACTTTTCAACATATTTTCCATGAATTTGAACACATTTTTCAGACCGCTTTACCAATGATTGAAAGACATTCATGAAACCGCCATTGCTTATGCGATACAAATGCTGCTGGAGTGTCACTCTAAATCTCATCCAATGAGTAAAAAACATTTTCTTCCAACCCTTCTTTCAACTTCAGAAAAGGAAGAAAATCACACAGAGCCATATCTAGACTATATCGTGCATATGGTAGCTGCTCAAGGTCAATAAAAGTGAGAATATCTTGTAGTATACTTTGTTCCACTTTGATTTCTTTCATGTTCTCCATTTCAGCAGCCATCTTGGAGCAAAAATGATACCAGAATGAGGGTTGCTTGTCTGAGGTCATTTTCTTAGAATTTGACAAATACAGCCTGTAATGATATCCAGTTTCTGGTATCATCTTGCTAACTGCCTTTGAGGTATTATGTTACTTGTACATGTGTGGGATTACAAATATACAACTTGGTCTTCTAAAGCTAGAACTTGTACTGTCCAGATCATTACATGGTACTGCGTGGTGAAATATTTAATAATACAATACAAAAAATGGATTATTAGCATAGAAAGGCCTAAAAATGATGATGAATAATATTCCGAAGCCAGAAAGGGTGGATTTCTCCAACAATTTGGAGAAACACTGGTTAAATTTCAGGAGTGAATTTGAGTTCTATCTAGATGCCCTTGGTGAAATCACAGACAAACAGAAGATAGGACTACTCGTTACCTGTGCTGGGCCCAAAGCCAGTCAACTGTTTAAGACATTCAAATTTGATAAAGAGGAAGACTCTACAAATTATAAAGTTGTACTTCAACAATTTGACGCATACTGCATCCCAAAGCAGAACGAAACCTATGAACGTTATGTATTTCGGATTAGATTACAGAAAAATGGAGAATCCTTTGAAGAATTCCTGTCAGATTTGAAGGTGAAAATCACCACATGCAAATATGGGACACTGGAAGATTCTATCTTACGTGATCAGTTAGTAATCGGAGTCAACGATGACACGCTCCGAGAACGCCTATTAAGGCAAGATGATTTGACATTGACAAACTGTGAGAAAATTTGCAGAGCTGCAGAGCAAACCGTTGAAAGAATGAAGACATTTAAAAATGTTGAGACTACTGCGTCTGCGGACATCAACAACGTGACAACTACCCCAAGGATGATAACAGACTGTTCACAATGTGGATATGATCATGCTATCCGTAAATGTCCAGCGTATGGACAAACGTGCAACAAATGCGGCAAGAGGAACCACTACTCATCTAAGTGCCACATCACGAAAGGTGCGCGACCCAAGGAGTATGGACGAAAAAAGCGACAATCAGGCCGCAGAAAACAGGTGAACATTGTAAATGATGAAAATGAAACCGATAGCAGTGACTGTGAGTATTACATAAATTTTGTAAATGAACAACCTGAAGAACAGTACTCAGAAATCAGTGACAATCAACCATCACATGAGATCAATGTTGTAAATGATGACAAATGGGTAGCTCCTTTGGTTGTCAATGGTGTTCTTATACCATTTAGACTAGATACAGGGGCCAATGCAAACATAATAAACCAAAGTGACTTGAAACAATTAAAATGCCCCCCTAGCATATTCAACAGAAATACGAAATTGTATGATTACAACAAACAGCCTATTGAAACATGTGGGGTGTGTGTATTACAGGTTCAAGTAAAAGGCAAGTGTCACAGGGTCCACTTTGTCATTGTAAAAAACGGAATTTCGTTGCTTTGTGATAAAACATGTGACAAATTGGGCCTTGTGAAGCGTGTCTGGGTTGTCAATAATAATACACCTGTAAAAGAGGTCAAAGAAATGAAAATGCCTAATGTGAAGAGTCCTGGGGAAAGTAACATGCATCACAATAGCAAATCACCTGCCACAAGGGTGGATAAATTGATAAATGATTATCCAAGTGCATTCAATTCAATTAGCAAGTTTGAGTCTATGCCTTTCACATACAAGATATCTTTGGAAGAAAATGCACAACCAGTTATTCATGCCCCAAGGCATGTATCAGTGCCTATGAGAGGTAAAGTGCACAGTGAACTTTCAAGACTTGAAACATTAGGCATCATAAGAAAGATTAATGACCCTACTGATTGGGTTAATAGCATGGTAGTTGTAAAGAAATCAAATGGTGATGTAAGATTATGTGTAGATCCTACAGATTTGAATAGGTCAATCAAAAGGGAACATTACCCAATACCAAAAAAGGATTTGATTATTAGTGAGATGAAAAATGCAAAGGTGTTTAGTAAGTTGGATGCTTCAAGTGGTTTTTTTCAAATTAAACTCCACCCTGAAAGTCAACCCCTCACAACCTTTAATAGTCCTTGGGGCAGGTACTGTTACCAACGTCTCCCACAAGGTATATCTAGTAGCCCAGAGGTGTTCCATAAGGCAATGGAACAGGTAGTTGATGGTCTAGACGGTGTACGAGTATATATCGATGATCTGATAATCTGGGGAGAAAATGCAACTGAGCATGACATGCGCTTAAAAATGGTCATGGAAAGACTGGTCAAATACAATGTCAAGTTAAATAAAGGAAAATGTCAAATTGGAGAATCAGAAATTACCTTTTTGGGAGAGAAACTAACTCAAAATGGAGTTCAACTTGATGAAGGTAGGATAGATACAATCACTAATTTAGAGAGTCCAAAAGACAAAACTGGACTTCAAAGAATATTTGGGGTGATTAATTACGCTGGAAAATTCATCCCTAATTTGTCTGCAAGAACTACTCACATGAGGAAGCTTTTAGAATCTCAAGTTATCTGGAAATGGGAAAGCAATCATGAGCAAGAGTTCCAAGACATAAAAAAGGTCATAAGTTCATCCCCAGTGTTAGCCTATTTTGACCCTCTAAGGAAAACAAGAGTTTCAACAGATTCCAGTAAGGACTCATTAGGGATGGTTCTTATGCAACAGCATGGTACTGATTGGAAGCCAGTGGCTTATGGTAGCAAATCCCTTACAGAATGTCAAAAAAGATGGGCCCAGATAGAAAAAGAATGTTTGGGATTAGTTGAAGGGTGTAACAAATTTCATGAATACATATATGGGATGGATAAAATTGAACTTGAAACAGACCATAAGCCCTTGATACCAATATCCCAGAAAAATTTAAATGACATGACCCCAAGGTTACAAAGGTTGTTCATGAAACTGCAGAAATATGATTATACAATGATATACACCCCTGGAAAAAACTTGGTACTAGCAGACGCCCTCAGTAGAGCAAGTTTCAGAACAAAAAGATCAGAACCAAGAGTTTCAAAACTAGATATCCAGGTAGAAAATCAAGTGAACATGATATTTAATGAAATACCTGTCTCAGAGAACATAATGAGAAAAATCCAAATAGAAACAAAGAAAGACCCCATATTATCCAAGATTATTGACTATGTAAGAAATGGTTGGGAAAAGGGGTCAGAGAAAATATACTCCCAAATGAAACATGAAATTACTGTAGTGGATGATATTCTCTTGAAAGGGCAAACAGTAATTATCCCCAAAAGTATGAGGAAGGAAATATTGAATAGGGTCCATGAAGGTCACTTGGGAGTAGAAAAGTGTAAGCGAATAGCTAGAAAATCAGTATACTGGCCAGGCATTAATAATGATATCTCAGACATGATAGGAAAGTGCGAAACATGTCTTGAGCTGAGGTACAACAATGCAAAACAGCCGTTGATAAATGGAGACAAAACAAAAGGCCCCTGGGAAAAGGTTGCAATAGACCTTTTCAAGCTCTTTGATAAGGACTATCTTTTAGTGACTGATTATTTCTCAAACTACCCAGAATGTGTTCATCTGTCAAGTACAAAGGCAAAAACAATAATCAGTCACATAAAGTCAATATTTGCAAGATTCGGAATTCCTTTGAAAGTGAGAGTTGATAATGCTACTATGTTTGAATCAAGAGAATTCAAGGAATTTGCAGACACCTATGAATTTGATTTGTCATTCAGTAGTCCTTTCCATAGCCAGGGTAACGGAAAGGCAGAAAATGGGGTCAAAATAGTGAAAAGGCTGATGAAAAAAGCAATTCGCAGCAATACTGACCCACATCTGGCCCTGTTAGCATACAGGAATGCCCCATTAGAGTGTGGTAAGTCACCAGCAGAGCTCTTAATGGGGAGACCATTAAGAACTCGATTACCATCTGCAATACAGGCCAACGATAGATTTACCGATATAGTGAAAAGTAAAGCCCTGCAGAAGGAGAAGCAGAAAAAATATTACGACAAAAACACAAAGCAACTTTCAGAGTTAGAAAATAATCAGACGGTTAGACTGAAAAGAAACCCGAAAGATAAATGGGATGTAAAAGCCAGAGTTGTCGCAAAAGTTTCCTCCAGATCTTACAAGGTAGAAACAGAAGGAGGGAAACTTTTTAGAAGGGATAGGAGAGAGCTCCTGTCATCAAAGGAGCCATTTAATGAGATAATGTGTCAAGACCTAGATATACAAACAAGACCTCCCACTCCTTGTCCCCCAAATTCCCATGAAACAAACCAATCAACCAACCCATCACCTGTTCCAACTAGTAACAGGTTCAGTCCCTTATTAAACATAGATGTGGAGCATCCAGCTGCTGAATTAAGGAGGTCTGGCAGAGTGTCAAAACCAGTTAACAGACTCTGTTATAATTAATCACTTTTGATCAGTTAACTGGTTATTGATACTTGTCACTTGATACTTGTTATTAAGACACTTTGATGATTTCAAAGATACTTAAATCACATGAGATATTAAAAAAATGAGAGTGTATCTAATAAAACTTTCGAAACTAGTGATATCTATATTGTAACATAAAGCTTTCGAAATTAGTGACATCTATATTGCCTTTTTTATAATCATTCAAACTTTGAAACATTTTTCTGAGATACTTAGAAGGTTAAAGATACTTACAATATTGTATGAATAAAAGGTGATTATAGGGTGCAGTTTAAACATCAACAATTTGTAGATTATTAGTGTGCTATGAATAGAATTAATGTACAATCATTCATAGATCATTGTTTAAGAAAAGTCTTTATTATGATCGATCATTTGTATTATTTATATATTCCTTTACATTCTTTAGAAAAAGGGAGATGTAATGATATCCAGTTTCTGGTATCATCTTGCTAACTGCCTTTGAGGTATTATGTTACTTGTACATGTGTGGGATTACAAATATACAACTTGGTCTTCTAAAGCTAGAACTTGTACTGTCCAGATCATTACACAGCCATTCATATATGACATGATATTTAAAACACAATCAATTGATTGCCTAATAATAAAGGAAGTAAACTTACATGGTTTAACATTCAAAATTTAAAGAAAGATAGTGGTCAAGACTTGTGAAACAAGTGAAATGGCGGGAACATTTAAGGCTGAAAGTTGTCATGTGCGTATACCGTTCCGGGTGGCAGGGTCCCTTTATTAAAAACTATCTAGAAAACTACATCAAATATATAATTTCTCCATGAAATTAACTCACAAAATAGTTAGGTTGTTGGTCTTTATTATTGGAAAGTTTAAAGTAATTTAATCAAAAACCAACAAAATTAGAGCAGGGCGTCCAAGACTTTTGGATCACCCCTCGTATAACTGTAAACAAACTCAAAATTTCACTACCCTTTGCATTCGTTTGACTTCACTTCTTAAAAGAGAGCTTCATCTTCACTCTTTCAAACTTAAATAAACCTGTGAACTCACTGCGCCAATCAGTGTTCTTCGGCCAAATATGACCGACGTTCTATATGTGGTCATTCCTTCTGACGTCATCGTTGAGCCTGGAATTGACCAATGACATGCGCAAATTTAATTAGAATGCATTTCGCGTATGTTTCTTCAAGCTCGCTGATTGGTGGAAGAAAGGTCAGCGCGTAGGTCAAAGGTGATTTATTACCCAAACTGTCACCGGTACCTGTCATGGGGGCGGGGCTACTAAACCGAAGGGAGTGAAGAGTTCAAAGCTTTTGTGCCTAGCTATGCAGGGTGTATTCGACGATATTACCCCTGCTCTTCAGTCTATATTTCTTGTACACTATATGAGGAACTGTGACAATTTTTCTTAAAAATTATTCATCTTTGTTTCAAATTACCAACATATTAAGTATAGAGCTCCATTGACAAGGTTTATCAACCCTAAAACTTAAAGCCTGAAGGAAAGCTGGCTCTGTCCTTGTACAACCCACAATATCATACAGTAAAACTTGCAAACAAGGAACACTCCCCAGACTGGACAAAACTGTTGATAGGTGTTCCATATATAAGGGTTATGTACTGGGAGGTTTTGGATATGGGGTTTATCCAGAGGGAGATATGCATATCTACCTGAGGGACCATAATTTTCTTTTTTTTAATTTTTTTTCACATTTTTTCTTTTTTTCAATTTTTCTATTTTTTCAAATTTTTTTCGAAGCGGGAAGATATGCCCTGGAGCGGGAGATATGGCGGGAGATATGGAGGTTCAGGATATGGAAACCTCAAAATCAGGATACGGGATATATCTTACCAACTTATCTCCCTAAAACTCTACTTGGCATAGGATAAAAATGTTTAATTACCATATATTTATTGTTATGAGCATTTTTATTCTGCCTCTGTTGATGTCTAGATGATGAATTATTGATGTGATGTATAGAAAGATGTTGCTAAGAACTGAAATTCAAGTTTCATCCACCCTGTTTTATAGCACTTTTTAGTTTGGATCATTAAAAGATTTAAGAGATTTGGCTCAACATGACACAAATGCATTTCTATTATCTTCAATTATCTACAATTGTATCAATCCCTAGATTATCCCAACTGGCCAGTTGCAGTCAAACTTTGAAAAAAAGCATTAGTGTTATGGCAACTAATAACAAACGGATTATGTTATTGAGGTAATTAATAATGGGTGGGATGTTCCATCCTGTTAACAATTGGATTATCCTTATCTCATTCATATTAGTCCAAGCTCCTTAGAATCAGATATTGACTAAGCAATTCACATCTCTAAAAACAATAGGATGTACAGTGTAGCCAAATTTCCATGATCCATGACTGTGAAGAGATGAACTTTGAAAATTTGCCCTAAAAAGACTGTTATTTGTTCCCAATTGGCAAGTGTTCCATACAGAGAGATTCCGTTAAAATGTAAGTCAATGGAAAAAATATTTGGTTCTTTTGAAAACTGTTTCATGTGGACATGTGTTCTATAAAGAAGGGTGTTCCATCGGACAGGTTTTACTGTACTTAGTATTTGCTTGGATCATAAAACATATCTCCTAAAAATGTCAAATCAGCACTTTAAATTACTTTACTGTATTTTTCAAGAACCTTAATAAATAGTTAATAGGATGGAAAAAGAACCATTGTGTTTAAAATTAAATTGAATCCCTATTCACCTATAAATATTTTGCATTTAATCTTTTTATTACACATGTCTTTGTAAGATACTGTAATAGCCTTTTAAAAAATATGTTTCAATATACTTGAATATATATTAATCTTATTTAATAATTTTTGTACCATATCACATATACTAATATCCCTCTTGAAATATAGCAGCTGATCATCTTCAATGTCCAAGGTGTTTTAACACTGAAGTTGAAGCAACTGAAACTTTTGAAGCAAGATGGCAGCTGATCTGTAACGGCATATGGTGCCATTAGATTTAAACTGAACGATTCAAATGTTATATGTTTCACCAGCATTTTACTGCCCTTATATCCTGCAATGTGGTAAACATAATGTAATACCATGATCATATTCAGATGTTCAAGACCTTATTCTAGGTAGCACGAACTTTATATGTTAAAGTCATACACCTGTACTGATCTGGGTACCATCATATTTATAATTTACAAACTCAGTTCTTTGCTAGGTCATTTCACAAGAGCCCGCCTTTCAGTCTACATTCTTTATACAAAATAAGATATAATCTTGCCTTTGTACAATCAGAATATGTAGCTAGAAGGATTCATTTCAGATCATTAAGATCTCACTTGCACTAAGACAATATAAATCTTATATTTAGGAGGGTTCAACATTTTCTATATTCTTTTTTACTTTTT